ATGCTGTAATTTATTTTGTAATGCATTAATCCTAGCTCCTAGTATCTTGTAATACATTTTCTGATATGACTGGGAGTACATTTGTGCATAAGTGCTTTGTTATCTCTAACAAACAGACAACAAAAGGAAGATGCAAGTCCCCCCCTTCCTATCCGTCTATTAAAATTGAAAACTGAATTACGTGTGTACCGTATTATTACTTGCTTTGAAAAATTAAAAGCCAAGTTCACCAGATGCTCCAAATCCCCTTCCCTTCTTCTGAAGCTGACAGTTGCGATGTGCCCTTTCCTTTAATAGGCCTGTGGGACAATGTTATCAGTCATCTGTTTAATGACTTTTCATCAGAGGTGGATACACAGGAACTGCGGAGTATTGTTTCTCATTGGATTGATGTACATTCAAATTGGCATCAGGATAACTACCACTGCTTCTTGGAGCATTATCTTCAAAGCTGCTTTGTTGTGATCAGATCATGTGCCCTTCTGAAGATGTTACCCTCATCTTGAAGGTGACATGTGGCTTGGCCAGTGAATGAAAAAACAAAGAGGAGAAGGTACACAGAGGTACCTTCTCAGAGGTACATAGGAGTATGTTTGTTAAGACTCAGCTGTGTGTTATGAATCTAACTACTCTTCCTCAGAGCCAGTGTGATGGCACTGCTAGAGTAGTGGACCAGGACACGGGAGACTAGGTTTCAAATTCCCACTCAGCCATGAAGTTCACTGTAGAAATGCATATATATTATCCATTTAAAATATAATATAAAATCATCATCACCATTTTATTATTTGTATGCCATCCAACTGACTGCGTTGCCCCAGCCACTCTGGGCAGCTCCCAACATTATAAATGTAGTTACATCTTTAAAACCTTGAATTCTCCATTCAAAACCAACATGTCACCCATAATAACTGCTGTTGGTTTTGCTGCTTGCTTTGTTCTTAGGTCGGATTTCATCTGGTTTTCAGCTTGAACTTTTACCTTAGTTTGTACTGTGTCAATTCTGCGTAAGACAGAATACAAATTTGCAGAGTTGGATCCAGTGCTGCCGTCACACTCATGCAGAAGAATTCTTCTTGTGCAGCAGAAGTTTCCTCTTCCTTCCTCTCTGCTGCAGCCCACCATGCAACCTCAAAATCTCCAGAGGGTTGAGGGACCCCGTTGAGCAGATTTTGGGTGCCTGCAGGAGAGGTGAAGAAGGGAATGTCCCTTGGCACAAGTGGAACCCTCCATTTGCACTGTATTGCACACAAACCATAAATAATAGTAGTAAATAATAACTCATTCAACAGAGTAATGTGACAAACTCTATAGTAATGGATAAACTATTAAATGCTGTACAGTCTCAGCCAGACCTTAAGGGTGGCTGTGGGGAGGCTTTTCTGGCGGTGCCACTGCTGACCAAGATTGTAGTCATATGGCCATACTGACTGCAATATTTAAGAGGGGTTAGTGATTGTGATTTTTAAATTGTATTTTGTTTTCTGTGCTGACTGATTATTGTATTTTAAATTGCTCTGACCCACCCCAATCACCAGTCATGAGGGATGGGGTATAAAACCTATAAAACCAAATAAAAATAAATAAAAGTAAGAACAGTAGAACACTGATGGATCAGACTAAAGGCCTTCTGAGTCCAGCAGGCCACTTTCCTCTTGCTTTTATCCAGTCGCTGTTTACCATTCTGCTCCCAACCATATTTGCATGGTTAGAGCAGTCATCTGGATGCGCACAATCCTGGCATGGTTATGCCTGTTCCTCCGGGAGCCTGGTTATCCCTTTACTGTAGTTCCATCCCTTCTGCCCCAGCATTGTAACTATGAGTGCAACTTTGAAAACATTTCTAGTACAAGACTACCCTCTGCTGTCACTAAGTGAGAAAGCATCCCTGGGAAAGTGTCATGCAGTTAAGCTAAACTAAACTCACGGGAGTTCAACATTTATTTTGTCTGCTTCTCACCCCTGCAATTGCTTCCTCTAAGTCCAGTGGAAATAGACCTGGCTGGGGGTGGTTGCTATGTCACTGCACAAGTTTTCCTAAGCCCATTTTATGGGATATGCCTCTTCCTTTTATGCTGTGGTTCCCTGGTTGAATTTACTGATTTGTGCCTTTACCGGCACAGCCTCCTGTCCTCTGTTAAATATCCAGGTCTCTCTCTCTCTCTCTGGCATCCTTCCTAAAGGGAAGATGTTCAATGACTTTCATCCACCTCATCAACGGTGGTGGCTGATGCCTTTTGGGACTGGTAAGAAGGAAGGCGGGGGTGGGGGGGCAGTGGTAGATGGAGCCAAAGCCAATAACGGGTGGAGCCAGAGACAGACAGGGCTGACTAATTCTAGCTTTGCCCCCATCTTCTTCTCTCATCTGAGTCCTGCAAAGGAGGAGGAAGCTGGCAGCCCAGGCCACTCCCTGGGCTGGTTGCAAGTAAGAAGGCAGGCAGAAATGGACCATTCACCCAAATGGACCATCCTCCCCTGCTTACAAAGAAGGGGCTTGGAAAGGGAACTCACAGATACAGGTTGTCTTTCAGTGGAGGATTTCAATCATTCAGTTGCAAACTTGCCTTTTCCGCAGGATCCCGTATGGAGCATCCTAAAATACCTTAATCGCTTATCTTTTTCTAGCTCAAGTGTTCCATTGACTTGGATCCTTAGGGAATCCATTGACTTGTTAACTAGGGAAAGGAAGGGAAAGGAAGTTCCCTGTTCCCTCCTGAAATGATAAGCCATAATATCACTAAGATGTTTGTCAGAAAGGTTCTTAAGGTGTCTTGTCACATTTTAGGCCCTTACTATTGCTAAGGATCACTGCAGATGGTGACAGCAATCACAAAATTAAAAGACTCCTGCTTCTTGGGAGAAAAGCAATGACAAACCTAGACAGCATCTTAAAAAGCAGAGATATCACCTTGCTGACAAAGGTCTGTATAGTTAAAGCTATGGTTTTCCCAGTAGTGATGTATGGAAGTGAGAGCTGGATCATAAAGAAGGCTGATCGCCGAAGAATTGATGCTTTTGAATTATGGGGCTGGAGGAGACTCTTGAGAGTCCCGTGGACTGCAAGAAGATCAAACCTATCCATTCTTAAGGAAATCCCACCTGTCTCTTTGATGCAGACTCCTACAGATGAAATTGGTCGTATCTCATGCCAGCCCCTAACTCTTCTAACCGCAGAGCTATATTGTCCTCCAGTTCAGTGAAGCACATCATCTGCCACCGGGGTAGACAATGCAGTCCCCTCCAGGTGTTGTTAGACTCTGGTTCCCATCAGCCCCAGCCAGGATGGGATGGTGGGAGGTGTAGTCTAAAAACTTCTGAAGCACACCATGTGGGCACCCCTCGGTCTACATTCATAGTCATATTTACAAATGCATTTAAGTTTGGATTTGAGCTTCCCACTGTGGCTGAGCTCCACATGGATCCAACGGCCACTCAATAATTGCCAAAGAACTTGTTGAATTTATTCTATCTTCGGGGAAAATTCTAGCAACTTGCATATGTGAAGGAGCTTAACTCGTGTGTGAATTTTATGACAAGTGAGAAAACCCGTGTTCATTCAACGTTTGCAAAGCCAACAGCAGGGTCCAAGAATAGAGTGAATGGTTGTACACTGAAACTTCTGTATGCTTGCCTAACAGCACAAACTAGCATGTGTTTACTTATGACCAGAATAAGTCCTGTTTATTTATTGGGATTCTGTCCATAGGATAACAGTCTAGGATTTTAAAGTGCTTCTTTGCCTCAGATTCAGGGAAAGCTCACACAATAGACAGTGAACAAGACTCAGATTGCTATCTTTAGGCTCTAGCTCTGTGTTAATGCACATAACTGTAGCTCAGGGAGGGGGAACTTGCGGCCCTCCCCACCACTGCATTATCCCAACAGCCCTTTTCAGATCGCAAAAGCCACTTCAGTGTGTCTAACTGAGATGAGTGAAGTGGAAGTACTTGATCCTTTCCCCACCAGCTGCTTCAGTTTTCCACAACTCCCCACCCCCACCATTGGAATTCTCCCACTCCTGCAAGGTTTTAAATGTGTCCCTTCCCCATTGCTTTCTATTATGGAGAGGTCCCTCTGTTCATATGACTTTGGGCTCTGCACTGATATGTGACAGACTTTCTACCCCTTGTATATCATGGTTTGGGGGACTCACTATTTACAAATGACGTGTGAGTGTGTGTGTGGGGTGCTGGTATAGGTGCGTGGTAGATACATACAGCAATGGAAAATAACAGTTCATGCACCCAATGAGCGGTGAGCTACTAAATGAAAACTCATGAAGGTGTTTTCCCCCCCTGCTGCTGCTCTTGTTGCTACAACAGACTAACACACCTGCTGCCCCCGTGCAGTGTTATATTAAGCCACGTTGCCAATTATCAGCCTTAGCTAACGGAAGGAGGAAGAAACCTGCTGTAATTAAATTAAGCACAAAAATAGATGTTGCTGCACACAACACATTAAGCACAATCAGTGCTATTTTTCTAGAAAAAAAGGTGATGGAACTCACCATGAACCCTTGTTCTCTTAGAATGGCAATGGCACCCACTTGAATCATGCTGAAACTGAGTTCCAGTGAGTTGCAGCTGAAAAAAAGCCTTGAGCACAACATATAACTTAACCCTTGGTGCAGCTTCTTCTTGTACCTTTGCAAAGGATGCACAGGAGTTACAACAGAGCAGCTCATAGGCATCTATCTGTTGTTATGAATGATGGCTTTATGAGTGGGAACAATTTCCATCCACTGGACTACTGTATGAGGGTCTTGGGAAGAGATCTAGAGAGGACTTGCATTGTTTGAAATAATGGTTTTTGCTACTTTTGCTGTGTACATCCCCCCACTTTACAATAAAAGAGATTTCTTTTGGGTCACACTGAGTGAGTTCCCCTATCGCCACCATCAGCCTTTGAAAGCAAACAGATCTCTAACCAGGACTGAAGCCCCCTTGATTATAACCTTATGCAGAAGCATCAAAGTATTCTAGGACAAGTGAAACAAGCAACAGCTGCTATTTTTTTATTATGTCGTTTATCGAAAGTAATTTTTTATCAGTGATTTTTTTTTTACAATGTAACATCACCAAAGAAAGAAAAGACAAAAAGAAGTTGACAATGAGGAAGAACGTACAAGGTGAATACAATGCCATATTTTGTTCAAAGTTCTGATTAGATGTTGGGAATTTATAACGCAGAGTATAAATACGTTCTCTTTCAAGACTGATTTGTTTCTTCTGAAGAAAGTGTTGCAGGTATGTCATCAAGAACCCCAGCTTCTGAAAAATAAATAAAAATTAAAAGTGTATGCTTGTGAAAGACAGGAAACAATAAGTGCTCGGAGACAAATCTATAAAACTACAGTTCACTTCCAAAGCAATTATGATACAAGACAAGGCACTTGAACTCACTTAACGCCTCCGAAAAGAAATAAAAACAATACGTCATTCCTTTCTTATGGTTTCATTCGACTGTTTGTAATTATGTATGGATGTAATTTTGATATAGGCATGTGTTGGGGTTCAAATCAGTGATGGGAAACCTACGTTCTAACATAGAGGCAGCTAACCTTTGGTTTTCAAAGTGTTGCTTCCATCATATTGACCTAGGTGGCTGGAACTGAGCGGAGTTGCAGTCTAACAACACCTGGAGGACCACAGCTTCCCTTGCTTAAATACGTGGCAAATTCTAAATATGCTTCTCTTCTTGCACTGTTGCATGAGGCTGGTCATCCATGAACATTTTCACCTGTCAATGAATGTGCTTTTCTTCCCTTATCGAGAAAGCATTGTGTGGCTTTGACTCAAAGGTCCCTTCATTGACAGAAGCACTACCATCCGATTTGCAATTACAGTGCCTGCCTTTCATCTTGCTGTTATTATTCTCTCCTTGTACGAATAATTTTCTACCTATATGACTCCCTTTGTAGGGGGGGAAAATCACACTGCCTAAAAGCCGAAAGAAATTCTGGAAAGATGCAAAACCCCATTTATTTCACCTGCAATTTTCCTGTAATAATTAAGAAGCCATTCAGCATTGAGAAAGTGTGTGTAAGAAACAACAGCTTTGTTTGTTCCGAAGTTAGAACGCTCCAAAAAGAAGGCCCAACCAAACCAGGAAGATCAATGGGATGGAGCAACTGCCCCATGAGGAAAGGTTACAACATTTGGGCCTTTTCTGGTTTAGAGAAACAGCTAGAAAGGGGGCACATGACCGAGATGTATAAGATTAGGTATGATGTGGAGAAACAAGGCAGGGATAAGTTTTTCTCCCTCATAATACTAGAACTCAGGGCCATGTAATGAAGCTGAAAGTTGGAAGAGGTAGGATAGACAGAAGAAACTACAGTGGTACCTCAGTTCTTGAACGTCTCCGTTGACGAAAGTTTCAGAACCTGAACGTCAAAAACCCGGAGTGGATGCTTCCGTTTCCTAATGCGCCTCGGAAGTCGAACGGCTTCCACTACGTGTTTTTCAGTTTTCTCAACTGAATCTGCAGACAGCCCTTTGCGCCTTGGTTTTCAAATGTTTCGGAACTCGAACGGTCTTCCGGAATGGATTACATTCGAGAACTGAGGTACCACTGTACCTCTTCACACAATGCATAGTTGAGCTGCAAAATTTTCTCTCACCAGGTGAAGTGAGAGAAACTTGGATGGCTTTAAAAGAGGAATAGACAATTCATGGAGGATAAAGCTGTCAGTGGACTGTTGGCTATGTCCTACCTCTACTGTCAGAAGCAGCACGCCTCTGAATACGAATTCCTCTGAATCAGAAGAGGGAGACTCAGGTCCTGCTTGCAGACTTCCTATAGGTATCTGGGAAGAGGATGAGCCTTTGGCCTGATCATGTTCTCACCTCTGCCAGTGGACAGGTTCAAATGTCCATGCAAAGCTATGTGGGTAATAACCAGCAGTAGCCAGATCTGCTTTTTCCAGGAAAGGATGCAGTTGGTACACCAACCAAACTTAAGCAAAGGAATTCCCGGCCATAATGACTGCCTGAACATCCAAAAGCCAGCCAGGTGTGCCTCTTCCAGGTTAATCCGTCCCCCTCTCCTAGTGTTCTGTTTACACCCAGTTCCTCACTGGTCAGTTTTGGGAGCTTTTTGTCCCCTTTGGTTTTGCCCCTAAATGTTTTCTTTACGTTTTTCTGCAAATATTTTCTGCAAATTCTTGGGGTTGGGGGGGCCTTTGGAGCAGATCTGGGGTGCACACAAGGAAAGGGGGGGAATCCTGTTGCTTGAGTGGAATGCTGCTCATGGAATATGGGTTACAATCCTCTGTAAGGATTATGTTAATTTTCATATTACAAAATGGTTTGAAGTGAAAACAGGTTTACTAACCTTTAAGGTGTAAGAATGTCAAAAATTCAATTACCATACGCAAAACATTGTCATCAGTCAGTGGTCTTCCCAAAATACCTAGAAAATATTAGTTAGGTATTACTAAATTTGCTGTTCATTTAAAATAATTAAGGTGGGGAAGGGGATACATATTGGCAGTAATAAAATATACATTAGGATATAAAGGGTTTGTTTTTCCCCTCTCAGGCTGATGAGACAATGTTAGTTATAGGTCTACTTATGTTAACCAGCTTCTGTAATCAGTGGCACTCAGTTTCCAGTGGAAAGAAGCTTTTCCTCTAGTTTAAAGTATATTTTTAAAAGAATATTTCATTTTCAAATGCACTAAGAATAAAAAGGGGTGATGCAATCCATACACCAGTTCATTGTCTGGCCCTGCTGAAACCTCTAGACTCCTGAAATCCTGCCCAGACGCCCCCCTGTAAAAGTTTGGAATAAAGGCTCTCTTTAGAATCTAGAAATGTGCCAAAGAATGTTTGGTGGGCAGCTGTTCAGATATCACTGGGATATGAACTCCTCAGTAAGTACGAGAAGGGGGTCATTTCATTACCTGCTTTTGTATTTCCTTCAAGCTGTATGTCACGTTTACCAGCTAGACCAGGCTGGGCATTAAAAACTTTGTCAATTGCACCTGTTAACAAATGAGAGAGGTTTCATTCATTCTGTAATGCTTACTAGAGTAGCCTGAGATTCATAGACGTCACCACACCAGGTAAAAAGATTTCAGCTTTGAACAAGAACGTGAAAGACATTTCGTGATGGGATGGTGAACAGCAAATGAATGGAAAGAAGCATTTCACTTAAACAGTCACACCAGCTGTAAACCAATGCATCACTGGCAAACAACTGCAGCACCACAGTGTCATAGATGATGATGTGGTGGTGGTACAGCTATTGGTATAACACGTCCCAATGACTTTATGTGTCCCTTCAGCCAAATGTGGAACTGAGTCATTAGCAAGGAATTCGAAAGGCATCTCCTGAACCATCTCTGATTCAAAGCCCTTGTTTGTCTTTTCCTGAAAAGCCGTGACTAAAAGAGTTGAGCATATCTGGGTGTAGTCTTGGGCTCATTGTGTCCAATTTAGAAAATGTAGTTGTACTGTAAAGACTTAATTGAACAAAAAACACCCTGGTGGTTATCACCAATTGAAGCTTCGTTACTCAAAACACTTGGCAAAAAGGGGAGGTGGCCTACATACAGAGATTTACTGAGGGACCAAGAAGGAAAGTGGAAATTAAAAGACTATGAGGAAATTAAAGAACATTTTCAGAGTTGGTTACATTACAGACAATTACGTGAGATGTATAAGGAAGATAGCAAGAAAGGGTTTAGTTATACAACTTCTAGATTTCAAAAGGAAGTTATAGAAGAAGAAGTGAAGCTGTTGAAGAAAGCATATAGTATTTTGCTAGAATGGGAGACAAAAGATTAGGAGGTTAAATCAGTTATGATTAAATGGGCACAGGATATAGGACATAACATACAATTTGAGGGCTGGGAAAAATTGGAAAGTAAATTTGAAATTTACAGATTGTTCTCTTTTGAAAGAAAATTATATGAAAATGATGTACAGATGGTATATTACACCAGTACAAATAGCAAAAATGTACAAAACCGGATCAAACATATGTTGGAAATGTAAAGAAAAAGAAGGTACCTTTTACCATATGTGGTGGGAATGTAGAGAGGTTATTTTGGGGGGGGGGATTATAAATAATTAATTGGAAAAAATGTTTAAAATGACATTCGTAAAAAAGCCAGACGCATTTTTGTTGGGGATTGTAGGAGAAGACCTGCCAAGAAAAACAAAGAACTTAATTATGTACGCTACAACAGCGGCAAGAGCCTTGTTAGCACAAGGATGGAAGAATGAAGAAACCCCAATGAAAGAACAGTGGCAAGGAAAACGGATGAACTATGCGGAATTGGCTAAATTGACATATAAATTACGTGAGAAGGACAACTTTGACTTCAAAGAAGAGTGGGAACTTTTTACAAATTACTTAAAACAACAACAAAAGGAATTGGACTCCTTGGCGGGTTTTGAATAAACATCCACAAATTTAGTAGATGAACATATGATAGATTAAGTAACGATACATAGATTCTTTAACATGCAGAGAATAACATAGGTATACAAATCAGAGAGAGGAGCTGAGGGAAGTCTCTGGAGGGGAAGGGAGGGAGGGTGGGATAGGGAGGGGAATAAGGAAAAAATGGGGGAACAATGTAATTGATTATTTGTTTTGAAATTTGTTTGTGGAAATTGTTCAATAAATTTTATAAAAAGAAAAGAAAAGAAAATGTAGTTGTACTGTTGCTTCCTTTGGTTTTAAGTAGCGAGTTGTCAGTTAGTTTGCTTTGACAGTAAACTGCAGTTAGTTTACACGAATAACCTCCAAAAGCCATCTTACGTTCCCCAGGTGGCTCTTCTGTCCCCTTTGCACGGGACATTTTCTTGAGGATCTGAGCAACACGACCTGAAACAGATTATGGCTATTACCCAACCTTAGAAAAAACGGAACTTTGATCAGTAGATCTCCTTTCTATGGAATGGAGATTTGGCTGTCTGCACAGCCTCTTCAGTCACTGTTTATCTGAAGCCAACACAAACAAATAAAACATTCTTAGTAGAGGTATTTAGGCACTGTTTTTAAAACTCTTGTATTATGCTTTACCCCTTGTAAGTAAAGACACTCCTCTTGTGTCCTTGAAAATAATTTCTACAACATACGGACGGATAGCTATAATCTAACATATCGGGCAATTATGAAAAGGTGTATTGAACACACCCAATAAGCAGCAAAGGTGTGAAGCTTGCATTCTGAAAATGTCACTTAGTTAAATACAGCTCCGTTATGAGTGAAGCAGCTGGAGGTTACTAACAGATGTGTAGAAAGGGAACCTTGGGCTGTATTCAGTTAAGCTTTACTTAGAGTCGACCCACTGAATTTAGTGAGCACAGCTAGGTTAGGTCTATTTATTTCAATTGATCTGTTCCAGGGATGTCCAACAGGTTGATCGTGATCTACTGGTAGTGTTAGGAGTCATTCTGCAAAGAAACAGAAAGGATGACTGTAACTTTAAGAACCTTTTCTGTGAGTTCTGGGAGTGGTTTTCTAGGCTGATTAGGTACAGCTGGTGATGACTACAAAAGGAGGAGAAGTTGCAGTTTGAATTTGCCTGCAGAGAGAGAACACCTGCATGCTTTTTGTTTGTTGTTTTGTATAGCTGTAATAAAACCTTTGTTTGAGTGTTTTACCCCAGTTTCATGGTTCTGTCGTCTGCCACCAGAAGAAACCACCCCCCCTAACAGTAATAGAGCCTTGCATGATGAGTGCCGGCATTTGTGGCATGGTCATTTGGGGCATGCCAATTTCTGCAGTATTGCAAAAATGCCAGAATTAAGTAAGGGAATTAAAATGAAAAAAATGTTCAGTTTTTCTGGACTGCAATACCTGCAAGGAGTCTAAAAGTAGGTGGGGATCTTATCCTGAATTAGCAAGAAGCCATTTGCTTTATTACATCCAGACCTTTGTGAGCCATTTGCAGAATCTGAAGGAGGAGCAATGTTTTTTCTGGTTCTTGTGGATGATTATAGCCGGTATACTTGTTAAAACACAAAAGTGAAACTGGTCAACTGATTAAAAATTGGGTCAACTATATAGAAAGGCAGTTTCCCTACAAAGTTACCCAATTGCAGAGTGACCACGGAGGCGAGTTCATGTCTGAAGCCCTCCATATATGGTTGAAAAAAACGTGGTATTAGTCACCATAAATCGTGCCCTTTTTCACCCGAAGAAAATTCAGTTGCAGAACGCAAGATAAGGTCTTTACAAACAATGCTAGATTCTATGTTATGTGATTCTGGCTTATCCAGGAAGTTTTGGAGGGAAGCAATTATCTGTGCTAATTACATACAGAACAGATTGTTTCATTCTACCATAAACAATACGCCTCATTTTTTTGCTTTATAGAAAAAAGCCTTTTTTGGACCATGTTAAAACTTTTGGTTGTTGGGCTTGGGTTTACATCCCAAAAGGACAGAGAAGGAAAGGTGTTCCCAAGGCAAAGAGACTTAGATTTGTTGGTTATCAAAGTTGGTCAAAAGTGTGTCATTTTGCACTAGGGCTTGGCAGAGTTGTAATATCAAGACATGCAGAGTTTTAGGAGTAAGATGGTTGGGCTTGTTTACATGGGAATTCAGAAGTTGTTTTATTTTCAGATGATACAGATAAATTTGTGAAATCTGAAGAAGAAAAGCCACAAATTAAAGAAAGTTCTGAAAGTGTTAGTGATGAGGAATCAGGGGATGAGGGTCCCAGTACACAATCTCCTAAAGCTGAACCAATTTCTCCTGAGCAAGATGAATTAGAAGGGGAAGATAGTTCAGAGGGGGAAAGTGTTCAAGTTTGAAGATCACAAAGAAGCAATAAGGGGGTACCTCCAGAAAGGTTTACTATACAAGAAGTTAAAACTGTTGATGTGAAGAAAGAACCTCGTGATTATAAGGAGGTTTTAAAGTTACCACACCAGGAAATAGTAATGTGGGAAAATGCAATGAGAGCAGAAATGAAATCTTTGGCAGAACATAATGTGTTTACTATTGAGCCATTGCCAGAAGGAAAAAAGACAGTGGACTGTAGATGGGTGTATAAAATAAAACACTTGGCAGATGGTAGTGTTAAGTACAAAGCTAGGCTGGTAGCACGAGGCTTTACGCAAAGAAAAGGTGAAAGTTTTGATGAAACCTTTTCTCCTACTGCAAGGAGTGAAAGTGTACGTTTATTGCTAGCTATTGCAGCACAACATGGGTTTAAGGTAAATCATTTTGATATTGAAATAGCTTATCTTAACGTAAATCTGCACGAAGAAATTTTTATGAATCAAGCACCAAGATTTGAGGCAGGGGAACAGAATTCTGTATATAGGTTACACAAAGCAATCTATGGGCTCAAACAATCAGCTAGAAATTGGAATGAGTGTCTTGATAATGCTTTAAAAAATATTGGCTTTAAAAGAAGCTTAGCTGATAATTGCTTGTACACTAAAGGAAAAGGTGATAAACAAAAATCACTACAAACAAGAGCCTCCCCGAATTTGAAGCATGGGAAGTCTCAACAAAAAAATTATAATTTAGGCAGAATATTTGGACTATTTGATATGTATTTGTATAATCTGGAACATTCAATGTGATTTGATTGGATTGTCAAAATGGGAAACTTAATAAAAAGGATTAAAAAAAAAATCACTACAAACCAGCACTTTAAAACTTCATGATGGGAGGAAAGAGAGATGCCATCATTTGGAAGAAGGCTGCCTGGATTCTCAGGAATGAGTGAGCAAACTGAATGAATACTGGAGGAAAAAGCAACCATGGGAACACCCTTTCTATTGCATTTATCCAAGTAAAAGACTTTTGAACCTTACTGTGAATTTTGTCCTCTGGCACCTAACCACTTCAATCGCTTTACCCTTTTCTCTACCAACATTACCTGTTCATGGATAACAAAATTATTTCCCCAAGCTGAAGTATAGTATCTACATAAAGCACTTATCATGGGCACAATCTAGGTAAAGTCCTATTCGAGTACACTCAGTGGGATTTAGGAACACAGGGAGCCGCTTAATATTGAGTCTGATTATTAGCCCCTCTTGCTCAGTATAGTCTACAATAGCTAGCTGCAACTTATCAGATCAGGCAGGGCTCTCCCCCAGTCCTAGCTGGCGACTGAACCCAGAACCTTCAGCATGCAAAGCAGATGCCCTTTCATTAACTTTGCTGGAATGGGCCTCAGTTGTTTGTAGACAGTCCAAAATACATCATCTTCTCAACAACAGTAAGCAAAGGAAAGTAAAAAGATGTGGACTCCAAAGCAGAAGATACAGTTTTCCAGCATAGTATTAGTTTGGCATATTTATTCCAGGAAAGTTGATAACCACTTTCAGAGATACTAGTATGTATATTTAATATTATCTGTAAATGGCATGGCTTTGGAACTGAAAGATGAGCTTTCAGATAAAATTGGTTTACTCTCATGATTCAAGCGCAGTGATAAGAGTCATAATTCCTGCAAAGCACTCCACTGTAAATAGGTTACAATAAACACCAGAGAGAGCACTAACTGAGTGATTTAGTGCTGTCACCTGCCACAAGCTGGGAATGAGGGTTAGTATGGGATATTGCATGTATGCTCATGTATAGTATGCGATGAGCTTTAGAAATCTCGGGATGTTACTTTTCTGTTATTCCAGATTGCCTTCAAATAATATAAAACATTTGGACTTACTTGGACCAAGCAGATAACCAGCACTATTCACAGTCCATCCCCTTTTATCTTTAGCCTTGCAGAAGGAAAAATTGTGAGATTATTATTTTTTCACTTATTACCACCACACAGTTTTTCTTTTAAAATACAGAAATACCAGCCAAGGAAATCACACATTGATCATGTTTCATAATATAGATTTAAACCTGTTTTCTTGAATGTAAGTGGAATCTATCATATATAACTATATAATGTTTATGGTGTTGTTTGAATAGTATAATTGAATTTTAAGGATAAATTACTATATAGCTAAAATAAAATAAAAAATAAGTAAAGTAAATGATTTGTTACAGGGTTTCATCCCTCATACTTTGTACTTTCAGGTTTCTCTGGAGTTGGCTTCATCAATTTCAAAAGAACTTCCTTCCAGAAAAGTAAACTTGGGACTGCACCCAGCTTGACATTAATGTCTCAGTAAGAAGCAACTCACATTCTCCTTGCTGTTAAACTGTTTCAAAAGATTTACACCACTTTCTCTGGGATTCCTGTGCTCTTCAACAAATTACTTGCTTCTCTCCAGCTGGAAAAGATCAACTCTTGGAAAATACAATTGTTATTCCCCCACTTCCCTTCCTGCCCCTGAAATGGGGAGGGAAATTTGTTCCACCACTGTAGGAAAATCACTGCAGAGGGATGACATTTTGGAGAGGTGACCAAGAAATGCAGAGGGGCTTTACTACATTCCCAAAGCACACCTTCATGCCAGACAACAGAATTCCACCAATCCATCATACCTGAAAGGGTTACACTATATACCGTAATTGTGATGGAAACTCCAAAAAATCACTACACACCACCATCACTCAAAAACCTCAGGATGACACTGGGGAGAAAACAGGGATGCCATCCTTTGTAAGAAGGCTGTTTGGATACTCTGGAATAAATGAGTGGCTATACTGCATCAATACTGGAGGAAAAAACGACCGTGTGAACACACTTTCTCTTGCATTGATCCAAGAGCAGGCTTCTGAAATTTAGCGTGAAATTTGTCCCCCACCCACCCTTCACCACTTACACATGATTATTGTAGACGGAGAGTAGTGTAGAAAGCAGAAAGCGACAATACTCACGGATAACACCAGCCCGAAAGTCTCTGAGACGGTAGCGCAGAAGATCAAGGAGGCAAACAGGAGACAGGTACACCTCTGCATCTGAAAGGAGACCAAGACGCACTGAACCCCTCTGCCTGCCTGCCCCTGTCAGCTGGGGGGTTTCAGACACCCGCTTCCCTTCTTACCACCCCATAATCCCAGGAGGAAGAAAGTAAAGGGGAACGAGCGATGTTCTATCTACAGATTTTATATAAACACACGCGCGCACGGCGGGTAGGAGAACTCAAAGACGCGCGTCAAAAGTTGTAGCCAAAGATGGGAAAGGCGCAGGAGGTCACGAACGCAGCGGGACAGTACCTTGACTTGCAAAGTGGTGTCCGATGTGTGTCGAGGTGGATCCTGGCGAGCGGTAGGACGGTGGTCCCCAAGGGCTGCTGACTGATCTATGGGAATCTTCCTCACTCAGTCCCTGCGTGGATCCCGCAAGCGGGGAGGAGGAGGAGGAGGAGGAGGAGCTTGCGGAAGAAGCGCTGGGGAGGCGGGGTGGTGGTCCGAGTGGTACCCAAGCCAGCCCGATCCGCGCTATTTATGAGCCTCGCCGGAGCTGCTTGCCTCTTTCCCCCCGGGGAGCCTGGAGAGCCGCCCCCCCCCGGTCATTTCCCCTCGCCGAGGCAGTGCATTAGGAAGGGCAAAAAATTACAGCAATTCAATTAGAGGCATTTGGAGGCAAGATGTAGGCTGCAGATGGATAACAGCCCGGCCAATTACCTTTCATTACGCTCGGCTTCGCCACCGTGGAAAGAGGTCTGCTTAGGTAGCCTGGCGGCCTCCTCCTGCCCGGCTCCCTCGGGCAACTTCACACAAGTTCTTTGCTGCTGTTGGAGGAGCAGGGAGGTGGCGGCGACGGAAATGGAACCGCGAGCCGGATGGGAAAGGGGAACCTCTCTTTTCCTCCTCCACCACCACCCTTCTCCTCCTCCAAGGATTCACAGACTGGTCAAGGGGTGGATTTTCAGCCCCATCTCTCTTTCAAAACCTCCTAACACTTTCCCCTTTAGATTCCCTTGAATCGGCAAGAAAAGCAGTTTGCTGTCTTTGGACATCCAGCTTGCTGTTATTAAGACGGAAGGAAGTCAACTTTGTTTAGTGTGGAGTTTAGATTGGCCCTTTATTGCCTACCGTTCGACGTTGTCTCCCTCCCCGACGGTTTTCTTTGGAGCAAAGCTCACTAAAGACTTACATTGCCTCTTCGTTTTATTGCGACTAAGCCAGAAATTCATTTGACCCAGGGCTACTTGGTGCCTTTAAAATAGACGACCTTGTTTACAAATGAAATGTACAAGTTGAGCAGGTGTTATGGAGCTGCCGTTGGGTTGTGTTAGTCGTCCTGGCAGACAATGCAAAACTGGTTGTAGCCTCTGCAGCGGATGGAGGTATTCCTGCAGTCAAAAGGTTTTGGCCCATAAAAAATAAAATCCAAAATTCATACTGGGACAATACCTTCCTTCCTTAGGCCAACCAAAATATCACAAAATATTGTTCAAGTTTTCATGTTCTCCAGAATTCTTCTCTGGGCTAAATGAGGGAACAAGTGTTGGGAGGCAGAAGAAATAGTTGGCTGGTGAAGCACATTGCATCTTGTAAGAGTCTTAAGATGAAATTTACAGTAATTTTACTGTTTATTTACAGTGACCTATGCACATAGCAACACACACTTGCACACACAACTGCACACAGAGACAAACACACGAAGTGGTGTTTAGTATGGTGAATCAGTTCATTTGAATTGTCAGAATGAGTTGCATACCAAAATGTGCTCATTTGAAAAGGTACAAGAGGAACTTGCTAAATTCTGGCATTGTTGCATTTCATTCTCTGAAACTCGAGGTTTCAGGGTTGAATTGTGTGAGAAGCCACATTTCGAGCTTTGTGTAAACTTGGAGACTGGGGTACCACATCCAAGAACAGGGCACTGTTCAGTCTAGCACTGATTTTACTCTGCATATCTGGTGGCTCTTTCCTCATCAACAAGGTTAGAATAGTGTCTTATTGGGACTTTGAAAATAATAAAGCAACAGGGCATATGATTGAAGCAGACTGAGACCAAATGCTGTGGCAGAAACATACACATAAATGGTTCAGTAAAGCTGTGTGTTGATTTTTATAAAGTACAATTTCCCCCTTCATAAATGAAACCATTTTTGTTATAACTTTTTTTGGGGGGGGTCCTGCTTTTTTATCATTCAAAAAAAGGAACAAAAGAGCATTATGCTGAAGTCTGGATTCCAGGGACATTACAATAAAAATGCTTTTGCTGTTGTTAGCTGGGCTCATTTGCTTCATCCCTACCAAAACCACTGTAACAATATGTTTTTAACCCATAACTTGAAATTGCATGATTTATGCAATTCTTTATCAATTTTTGGGTAAGATATTCTCATCTTTGTCAGCTGAGTAGATGATGAAAGCCTCTTTTACTATTAAGGACTCAGTGAAGCATTTTTGCACTTCATTTTTGACTTGCCCTATTTTTTTGTCTCAACTTGCATTGGCAGAATAGAATCAATTAAATAATTTTCTACCCATTCACCAATCGATGTATATTGTTCTCTCAATTCTGCTTGTCAAGAATATTATTTGTCCTTTTTTAACTTGCATGGTAATGACATGCTTAGTTGTGCAGGCAGAATAATTCACAATAATTCTTATACCTTTTTCTGTGTTAGCATTCAAATCAGCTATTTGTCCTGATAAAATTGCAGATTAATAATTTGGGTAGTCTTTCTAATACATTTACTTCTTACAGTTGCTTGCTATGAAAAATAACTTCAGGAATTTCAGCTGAAACAACACCTTATATGGATGTTGAATGTTGTCTTCTAATAACAGTGAGGTGGGGATGGTGTGCCTCCTCCTCAAACCCTCTCTTTCTTGGACATCCTTCCTGATGTTCGCCTCAGTAACCCATTTCCTTTTTCTCATCTCCATGCTTACTCTGAGGAACCTCAGGAGATACTTCTTTTTTTGGGTATGTTTTTTATTCTCTCTATCTAAAAAGGCCATAAAAATACTGGCTATAATAATAATAATAATAATAATAATAATAATAATAATTTATTATTTGTACCCCGCCCATCTGGCTGGGTTTCCCCAGCCACTCTGGGCGGCTTCCATAGAAACCAAAAATACACTAAAATATCACACATTAAAAACTTCCCTGAACAGGGCTGCCTTTAGACATTTATCTACAAACGTAATCTGTCAGAATTCTATGTATCAAAAGAAATCAGAATGTCCCAATTTCTGTCTTTTTCTGACTCTGTAAGTGTAACTGGATACATTTCCTAAAGGCTAACTTTGCCTGAGAAGTGAATGGGTCTGTAAACTGCAATCTCCCTGAAGAAAGTATAAAGTATTTTTTGTGTGTGCTAATATGGCTGTCATATATGGGACAGGCAGGCATGGTTTGAGGCAAACAGCTTTGTGAACCGAATTGGGGCCCATGTTCTGTCAAATGTGGCCTGCAGACAGGTGGTCCCTATCCCAAATGTCAGAACTTAATGTGGAAGGTGAATGATCCTTTAATTGCAATGAAAATGATAATTTAATTTACACACATATTGGACATAATTTACTATAATCATACCCTACCACCCTTCATGAACTTCGGAACAGCCCTGAGATGCTGATTACACTGAGTGTTTCATGGCTGAAGCTACATTGGAACCTAGATTTTGCAACATTCAGACTTAACACTCTAGCCACTGCAGAGCACAGTAAGTGTCATAATGAAGATGAATAAGCACCATCCATGTCTCTTCACAAAAAGAACAATTAATTTCCTCTATATTTAGTTTAAGAGGTTTAAAATGAATGATATTTGAAGAGTTTCTCTACACTTTTTATTTGCAACTCTCTGTAACTTGTACTTTGGGCTTGCATCGAATCATTTTCTACACCTTTTGTTGTATTCTGAACAATGTATGGTGTTTAAATAGAAAACTATATATTAAAGGCTGATACAAGCAGATGTATGGATAGCCAGTATGACTGGGTGGAAATGGCAGGATTCAGTAAATAATTATTTTGGTGCCATCAGTGTATCTAAAAACCATGGGAAGTCCCCAAGACCACAACTGCTAGGCACTGTTAATGACTCAAACACTTATATGGCCAAGTACATGACATAGATGTGGCCAGTTCTTCCTGTTCTTTGAAGTCCTTTGAAGCTCCCTTCATTCACATTACTGAGATTTCCTGGAACTTTTGCTTCAACTCATTATTATCCACCCATTTAGGGGCTTCAGTCAAGGCATTAGATATTTTGGAGACAGCAGTTGCACCTGATGTGAAGATGCTGTGGACCTGCCATTTACAATTTTCTAATGCCCTGAATGTATTTCTGTATGTGATATTTATTTTATATATCATCCACAACAGCTACAGAGGCTGCCTTCATCTTTTTTCATTTTGTCACATTTGTGGGAACAACTGTGGGTGTTTTTTTAATCAACCAGAAGCAGAGAAAATTGATGGAAAACCATGAAAATGGATGGTAATAAGGGAAGGCTCATTTTCTACATCTTTCCCAAGCCTTTGCCATTGTCTTCTCATTTTCTTGTCTAACACAGGGAAGGGGGGCAGAATGTGGATAGCCTTAGATCTATGAATCATTTGCCCATTTTGCACCTGTAAAACAGTGTCAAACTGAGCTAAGTATTAAAATTTATGTTGAATAAAAGTCAATTTTCTCTTCTAAGTTATAGAACTACCCCTTATATTTATCAGTCACTTTGGAAATCCCTTTGTTCTTATTACTCAACAATAATTATGTTCTTAACCTTAAACTACAACTATACCTATCTATCTAACCCATTCACTATTATTTGGTACACTACACTATTATCTATCTGATATCTATCTATCTATCTATCTATCTATGCACACATCAAAATAGCATTTATATCAAAGCCCTATTAATGTATTCTCAATAAAGTATTCAAATAAATAATGAAAGTGTATAAGGCCAAACTGAGACCTAGACTAAGGGGCTAGTTTGGATGGGGTCAGTGCTGGATTTATGTATAGACTAAGTAGGCTGAAGCCTAGGGCCTCTAAATCTAGGGGGGCCCACCAGCTCTCCCGTTCCCCAGTGGGCAGTCTCCCCTCTCCCAAAATTGTAAATCAAGACTCCATGCAAGGTCAGGGCAACTCAGGCCCAGCAACTATTAGGGCAAGCCAGTGGGGTCCAATTTGAAGCAGTGGGGCGCAACTTGATTATTATTATTTTTTGTAGGGCCCCAGTTCACAGCCAAAGTCTGCAAAATCTTATAGATATAAACAAAATCCATCTAGATTGCCCTGGTGCAGGGGCCCCCTTAGGAGCGGCCTGTGGGGCCCAATTTGGCCCAATTGCTCCATTGCCTTAAGTTCAGCCCTGATGAGACTGTGCAGGGGTTGGGCTGACAAGCCCTGCACCTTCTAGCTCCCTGGTGTCACCATTCAGAGTACAGACTCAAGGACTTGTTATGGAAATAAAGGGGGGCACTTACTGGAAATCAGTTTTGTCACCTCTCCCCCCCCAAACGCCGAGACAATGAGCCCAGCCACCTTTTATTCACAGTCGCATAAACACTACACTACAGCATAGCCATAAACTTTTTTATGTGTTTTCAATCAAAATTTCTTATAAAGATATTGGCCACCCTGGGACCACATTTGAAGCCCATGGCCCATGAACTGTTTAACCGTTTAACACTTGACCTTTGAAGGAACATCAAGCCCACATCATTTACCTTTTCTTGATCTAGAAATTCAACATTTAGTACACCGTGACCTAAACATTAGAGAGAAGAAGATAGGGAGTTGCAGGCAGTACAAATTGAGTAAGCAATATTCTCTAATCCTGAACGAACTTACTACTGATAAAAAAATTAATTATAAAACCAGCAGATAAAGGGGGAGCCATTGTACTAATGAATAAGATTGACTACATTAAGGAAGCAGAGAAACAATTAAGCAATTCAAATTTCTACTTGCCTATACCTAGTGACCCTACCACATCAGTGAAAAATAAATTACAGGTCATTCTAAATGAAGTCTTCTCTTTAAGCTATATAGATGAAGGTTTAGCTGATTTTTTATGTCCTGATGACACCAGAGTGCATAGACTAAGTTTGTCGTGCCATATGGGTCACTTTAAGAAATAAATTTTGTATCTATGGATTGCCAACTCCTGTAACTCAAATCAATAGTGTGTTTGTCCATGTAACTCTACTTTGTAACAGCTGCTGCTTATCACCATAAGATCCACTGCCATAAGATCCACTGTCCTGTTATATCACATATGGTATGTACAGTTGTTTATGGTTTTTATATTATTCTTTCTGTAAAAATGTGTGAGATCACAATTTTGTATTTATTTGCATTACCTAGAACTTGAACTACTGAAGAAGTCCAGGACGGCGAAACAAGGCTAATATTCCGGAAATCTTTGTCTTAGAGTCTGTGAAAGGATTCTGTGGAATTGTAACAACCTTTCATGTGGATTGTTTGGACTTTATGGACACAGGTGGAATAGCCACTAATACATGTATGGACCTTATGCATGAACTGATTAGAGAATGAACTGATCCACTGGGTCTTCTGCTTTTATCATTGAACTTTATGAGTTACTTTCATTGAAATTTACAATATGATACATGAATAGTATACTTTATTTATGCAAAAAGTACAGCCGGTTACGTCTCGTGTATCTATTGAGTATGTTTTACGTAACCAGAGGTTTGATGTTGTTTTGAAAGCAGGTGACCAGCAGGGAATGATTCAGCTCAGCCTTTGCACTGTTGACTGAACACCCCCTGCTTTTCAGATAATGGAGAAAGCTCATAAATTGTATCCCTTCCGGCATCCTGTCCAACTCTATTACGCTGGTGTAAACCCTGGTGCACCAGAAGCACAGAATAGCAGCAAATAAAATCTGTTCATATGTCAGCAACTGATAAGACTTATCAACCAGTTCTTCCAAAGTCTTCCTAAATTATAAAGCTCCAAAATGCAGGCCAAAAGAGAGCAGGTCTGGGAAGAGTGAGGCATACAATGGGCACCAACAGCGAAAAGGCCCTGCTCCATGTAACTCATGTGCTGTCATTTGATAGAGTGCCCACTTGCCCTTCTTCTAGTTCCAGGCCTGCCCAGGCCACAACCCCACAAAAGGTTTACGAAGTTCAGTTGTTGCAAAAGTTTTTCAGTGTTAATTTTATGCATTTTTAAAAAATCACCATGGTATTTAACAATATATTATGTCCTTTAGAGGAGAAATTGTGAATTGTAGAATTTTAAATACCCGTCATCATCCTTGGGTTTTAAATACCCGTCATCATCCTTGGGTTTACTCAATTTTGTTTATAACACTCTTCCATTTTCTTCTAGTTGTGAGGGTGGGGGATGGGGAGGGGCCTCACAAGTGGAGTAGTCTAGGGCCTCTCTTCATCTAAATCTGGCCCTGGATGGGGGGATGTGTACATTTGGTAAGGCTGATGTGTGGGTTCAACTCACCTGCCCAGCAAGCCACCCACACTTCAGCTCTGTTCTCTGGGCAGCACACAAGAGCCTGATGACTTCATCAACAAGCTTCTTTATCACTTCCAAACTTAAGAAATATTAACTCCTGAAAAACTACATTGCATACTGAGAGGAGCACACTGCCCTATCTTCCTGAGTAAGCCAAGACGTTTGACTTAATAAACCAATAATATGCACAAGCTAAGTGCTGATGTTTGCATCCTGATTGCTCCGACTTTGCTTCTCCCTTGGCATGAGTGGGTAAAGTACCCCTGTATGCTTCATAATTTATATGAAGCTGCTGAATGAGGTCATCAGAGGATACGTAGCTCTCTTTTCTAGCTGGGTCAGGTGAGGCAGAAAAAGTAATGGTACAGTGTTAGGTACAACAGACCTATCAGTTGAGGAGGGTGATATGCTGACTGAAGCCCAGCCTGATCTATCAGAAATTACCCATGTTCTAGGAACCTCCAAGTAGGGTTACTGCAATGTGCTCTACATGCACTAAGTCCAGAATGCTGAGATTCATTTGCTAACAAGGAGAGGCAAAGAGATCACAACTTGCCTGTATTAAAACAACTCTGCTGGCTGTCTATGAGCTTCTGAACTTAATTTAGAAAGTTTTTAATTTTAATAAAGATTTTAATTTTTAAAAGCTTTATACAGCTCAGAACACAGGCATTTTTGGGTTCACCTCTCATATCAGTCCACCTGTCCACTGAGGCCTCTCGCTGGGTGCTCCCACCATGAGAAGTATGGCGGGTGTTGACTAGACAAACTTTTCTGCCTGCCTAGAGACCTCATTACTATCAGGCAAAAGCATTTGTTTTCCCAGGCTTTTAAGAACTGCTAAAACATTATTTAACTTAGAATAGTTTTAGTTTACCATCTATTCAAATTTATTGTTGCTGTTTTAGCTTGTTTTAATTTACTGCTTTTGTCTGTCTGCATTATTATTATTTAATTGTATTCCTCCCTCCCCCCCCCCCCAGTATTCTATAAGACCCTGGGAACATAACTCTATGATGAAGGTGTGGGGTATAAATTATGTCAATAATTATTATGTTTTTCTGGACAAAGTAGGGATATTTAGGACAAAATTCAATTGGGGGAAAAATTAACTGTGACTGTTGAGGCACCATTTAATTCAGGATTAGAAATGGCATAATTTATAAAATATTGAAAAACAAGGGCACGCTACATGTCACATGTCATTCAGGGCTTAAGTAGTGCTAAGGGACTAGCCCTGAAAGCAGTTTCTTTGACAGACTAGTTCTGGAACATGTAAAATGATATTTTAATGCTTTGTGCTTAAGGATAAACTTAACTGCACTGGAACCTATTTCTCTCATGTTATGGCAAGGATCAATGTTTCTCCTGCACCCACAAGCTAGCCAGACAGGTAAGTATTTACCAATGCACATGGAAAGTGTATTTCCCTTACTGTATAACTGTCTGAGCACAGCTAGCCTCTGTACTTGGATCTCTGAAAACTGGAGAAGAGCATGGCAGGCTATCAGGAATCTGGAACAAGAGTGCTCCTACTAGGAGAAGATGCACTGCACTGCAGCATTTTGTTGCAGGTCCTACCTCTATCCACTAATTATCAACTAGGTGTTCAAGTGTCTATCAGTCTGGAAGCAAAAAAGATCATGTAAAAAAAGGTACTGATTCTACATACATGGGGGACCCCCAGGAGTGTATGCATAAATACATAAGTTTGTAAATTAACAGGGGGTAAATATATCTCTACCAATGCCAAACAACCCAGTGAGGACTGAGCATGTTGGCTGACACATTGGTGTTCCTTTGGGAGGAAGGGTAGGATACAAATCTAATTTTAAAAAAACCAATTTTTTTTTAAATGTACATTTTAAAATGTTTAAAAATGTACACAATGCAACATTACATTGCTATTTCCTGAATTGCGTTTCCCATGCAAGCACTTTGAATTACACGCACTAGAGGCTTGGGGAAGCCTATGGTAGCATAGACTCAAATCTCCTACACCCGAAAGGCAGCAACAGGATTAGGGCTGGCTGAAGACATTTCTTGGCTGTGGGTGCCATTTTGCTCTCTCTCTGACACTCCACAGACACACCCTTAGAGGGGAATGAGGCTCAGTAGGATTAGTGGCAGGATGCTGTGTAATATATTGGTGCTCTCCCTGGTCCCCGCGCCCAGGGAAGTTGTCTGAGGGGATGCCAATGATGATGATGATGATGGCGGAGTCGCCGCCTGCCTTCAACCTCCACCAGCGCCCTCGCCCACCGAATTCTCCTGACGACATAGGCACGTGCTGGCGGGGGAGGCCCGGCGTGAGGTGAGTTTGAAATCCAACGGACAACCGCCGTCCGCGGACGAAAGCCGCCGGGAAGCGGAAACGGCTGTTTGCCTGCCGGAGCTCGCCGCTTTCAGGGCGGGGAAGAGACCGCTCAGCCCGCAACTTTTGAAGGCGCCGAGGCCGCTCGCGAACACGCAAACTTTTCGCACGCGAAAGGGATCTTGTGGGCGGCTCCCCAGCGGCCTCTCTCCCTGGCTCCGGCTCCCTCCTAGAAGCCCATGGGCTTCTCGTACTTCGCGGAGGCCGAGGCCTCGTGGAAGGCGAGGGGCGACTTAAACCTCAGTTTGCCCGCCCCGGGCCCCGGCCGCCGGACCTACATTTCGATGCGCCATAACCATGACGACGACGCCGATTTGTATTACGACAGCTACCACCTCATCGCGAAGAAGCGGCCGATGATTGTGCTCGTGGTTTTTATGAGCTTCCTCTTGGGAGGTAGGGCTAGTGGCTGCTGAGTTGCATTAGCTCGCGCGAGTGCAAGAAGCAGCCACGTTAGGCACTCTTATGAGTGGGTCCGTACGATAAGCTTGTGAAAACGCAGACTCCCCCCCCCCCCAAAAAAAACAACCGTATAACATAAGACAACTTGGTATTGTGGAGTGCCAAGCACACGGATAACATTTAGTAAATGCTAGTTAGAATTGCTAAAGGTTTGCATGTTGACTATCATGGATGCTTAATTGGACGCCTAAATAATAACCCCCGCAAGGTGCATTTTCTTTTCCTGCTGCTTTAATGCAATCGGAGGCCCTCTGAATAACACCTGCAGGGAAACACAAGTCTAGAGCAGAAGGTCCTGCTTGTGAGCTTATAGGGATCTAATTCTAGTTAACTGGACCAGGTGGGCCACTGACCTGAAGCAGAAGGTCTCTTCCTATGTTAGTACCACAAGCTACCTTGTGGGATAACTAAAATGAAAAGTGGAGTAAATATTTTACATAAAATACCCAGCTGCAGGCGACTTTCCATAGTGGAACCTCTCACTCTGTTTTTTGTGTAAGGCCCCCATGCCATAAATTGGTACCAACTTGAATTAAATATTGGGGGGAGCTAGGTCCTGCCCTGCATAATCGATCACACGACACAGTGCATGCACACCATTTGAATGGCATTGCCCATCAACTTTTTGGGGGCAGCCCTCCAATATTTTATTGAATACCCCTTGGACCCTAGTAGTTGGTTCCTTTGGATATGCTGCTGCTACTACATGCTGATCCTAACCTGAAGAAACCACTAGGCCACATATCTTGCCTTCCAGTTATTGTTAGACTACCGCTCTCTTCATTCCCTGAACATGAACTATACTGGCTGGGGCTGATTGGAGTGGGAATCGAACAACACCAGGGGGTCACAGGTTCCCTTTTTTCTGCTCTACACTTTGATTATTTGGGGGATTTATAAGCCTTACTGACAAGGACAGCTTCCCTTAAACTCGTCTCTAGAAATATTAAAAACTACAGAGATGTATCTACTCCTCCAAAGCCCTGAAGACACAAAACTTAGCAAATCTTGTGAAATATCCTTAGGACACAAAAGGTACCTGGACATCCATGCAGTCTTAACACTTAGCAAAGATTTCCCTAGAATTGCATTTTTAAAACCAATGAAGTCAAATGTCAAAGCATAAACAAATTTATTTGGGGAAATTGAGAAAAGTGGGAGGCAGCAATCAGATTTGCAAATAAAACCACTAAAGTACATATAATTTAGCTTATTACATATTACCTGCTTGAGCAGTCTTGGGTGGCCTTGCAAAACAGAGGTTATGAGAGAGACCATCTCTGGCTACCTGGCTGGATGGTTCCAAGAAGCAAATACAGTGGTGCCCTGCAAGATGAATGCCTCGCAAGACGAAAAACTCGCTAGACGAAAGAGTTTTCCGTTTTTTGAGTCGTTCCGCAAGACGAATTTCCCTATGGGCTTGCTTCGCAAGACGAAACTTCTTGCGAGTTTGTTTCCTTTTTCTTAAAGCCGCTAAGCCGTTAATAGCCGCTAAGCCGCTAATAGCCGCTAATCCGCTAATAGCTGTGCTTCGCAAGACGAAAAAACCGCAAGACGAAGAGACTCGCGGAACGGATTAATTTCGTCTTGCGAGGCACCACTGTACAGAGGTGATGCTTGTTGCTTTATCCGGTAGTGAGAGCAGTTACATCTCTGATGTGAGTTAGATAGCCAACCATAAATTTCTCTAAATGATTCTGGATTTATAATATAAGAAAATTAACCTCAACTTATTGGAACTAGATATGTTAAAAAGGAATGAGAGAGACTAGCTTCTTTTTCACATAATCCACCTCCCATTATGAACACTTTATTACAGTTGTCATGTATTTTTTAGAAATAGGTTTAGAAACCACTAAAGATTTAGGAATATCACAGTTTGATTGAAGAAGGGCTTCCTTGCGGTGTGACCCAATCATTTATGGAATGCTAATTGTATATCGTTAGATATTGTTTCATTATTTTTTAGAGGTTTTCCGCATAGTTTTGAGTCTTATTTTTATAGTGTACATTGCTTCAATTATTTCAGGCAGTAAAGTGGTTTATAAATTTATATAATAAAAATAATAGCAGTGTACTAAAAAATTAAAAGATGGCAGTTAGCTAGTAATTAAAATAATTAAGTGCCCCAGGCCATCAACCTACTATAACTATTCACTTTAAAAATATTAAACATAAACAATAATGCCATTTATACTCAGAAATATGAGTGAAGGAATGAAGGGTTATTCATATGAACTGGATTAAACACAATTCCCTTAATAGTCACACATTTTTATATACGTTTGCCGTATCACATCAGGTAATCTATCCAGTTACTGAGAATTTGAATGCCAAACCATCTGAAGAAGACAAACTGCTTTTAAACTTTCTTGCCATATTACAGAGAATATTGTGTTCTGTGTTTGAAAGCATCATCATCATAACTCAGTTGAAATATCTGCAGCTGCATAGAAAGCCCTTAAATGCTACTCATGACTCAGGATGTAATAAGAGTCTCATTATTGAATTAGAACTTTGCATTTATATGAGAGCTAAACTATTATTTGCATATACTCTTTATTTTAGCAGTTTAGAATGGGTGAATGAATGGGATCTTTTAGCATCTAATACACTATTTCTTAAACTGTATTTTAATGGTGAAAATAGTTACATCTAAATACTATTCCTTTAAAAATGAGTTTGTTGCAATAAATGGAGAAATTCTCTTTCCCTCTATAGAAGTGACTCAAATTATGATTTATTCATTATTTTAATCTTTATAGTAGAATTCAGTCACAAAGAAGAAAGCAATCCAATAAATATTATGGCATTATGACACATCCCTTTGTGCAATATAATTAACAAAAATGTCTCTTAATAATATTTTATGTGCAATTTATATCTGTATCCTTATACATCAAACAATGGCTTATTACTTTAATGGTAGTCCGTAACAAATATGTTTATATAATTATACAGAATTACATTAGAATATAAATATGGTCATGATTCAGCCAAATTAAAGTCCCATTAATTTCAATAGGTGATTTAAGAAGTGTTTACTTCCCACTGAAATCAATGGGATAAAAATGCTTTTCCTAGACAGATCATACTCTAAATATTATAATTGTACAGAATTAAAAATAAAATAACTACAGGCATATTACTTCCCCAAAAAGTTTCTATATTTCTTTAAGAAGCAATATACTTTAAAAAAAAATGACAAGGTATACAGCTCTCATCTCTAGTATAAATTGTTATGCAATTACCGGTACTTTAATGCTATTGTGAAATATTCTCCTCTTTCTAGAGTTTGATAAGGTTCGGGACAGCTTTTACAGAAGACAAAAGTCCTCCAGACATATTGTCTTTGTAATATTGTATTTATTGATAAATCCATTGCTTTTCAGACACTGGGGGCGGGGGCATAGAAACAAGTGCACGGGCAGGCAATATTTGTCCCAAAGCACTTTCTGAACTCTAAAAGACCCAAACTGTTTTTACCTCCAAAACCTTTAATTACTAGATGAGATTAGATAATTTTTTTTATCAAATATATCTTTATTTTAATACTACTGTGTGTGTGTGTGTGTGTGTGTGTGTGTGTGTATTCTGTCAATTTATATCGTATTTTTCAACAAGTGTCCTCAAAACAACTGGCAAATTTATAAAACACAACAGAGACACTAAGATTTAGATTTTATAAATCTCAATTTGACTTTTGGATTAGACGATACAAAGTTATTACAACCCCCCCTAGAGGGGTTTCGGGATATTACAAGAACGGTCGTAAGTGGAAAAATACCCTGGGATTCGCACAGGACTTGTTATCTTCTGGGAAAGCTGCAAAACTGAAAGAGTATTTTGTCTACAGAGGAAGACAATGGAATTTTTATTGAAGAAAGGAAGGGACTGGACGTAAGTTTTTGTTCCTGAATAACAAACCTCTGCAGAGACACTAGATTTCTGAATTAGAAAGTTTTAGCAGCTGAACAGGACAAGAAACCTGAGAAAGTGAGGAATAAGAAGAATAAAGGACTGATTACGACACGGAAAGAACAACGGGAGGAGTGGTAAAGATCAAGGAAATTAAAGGCCTTTGTTAGATTGGACATTTGAAGTCAAATATTATTTAAATTAATAAACTAAAAGAAAACCGGCAAGATGGAATCGGGAGAAATCTGGTCATGAAATGAGACTTCCAAGCTGATAATGTATAGACTGATGGACATGGGGAATTCAAACCGGGAAGGGGGAGATTTGAAATCCAAAGGCTGTGTAACCATTTTTTGAATTTTTCTATATCTCTTATTTTCTATTTCTTTACATAACTTACGCATGTTATTTTATTTTGATCGGACGTGTTTAAAAAAAAAGGGAATTTGTGGAAGGAACTGGGGTGGATCTTGGGGAAAATCTTTTTTCTTTTTCTGTTAATGATGTGGGACGGTGGTAAGATTCGTACAATTCAATCTGGATAGTGGGTTAAACAAATTAAGCTTTAAATTGGGAGTGAGAGCTTGTAGAACCAAATTAAGGAAAGGGGAATACAATTGGCGGAGGGGGAGTCCCAGAAAGTAGGGAATGAAAGTAAGGTTTTTAAATATCTTTTTTCTTTTGTCTTTTTTCTTTGTATTTTTATATTTTTGGAAATTTTAATAAATATGATTTAAAAAAAAAAATAGATTTTATAAATCTCTAATTTACTTGTAATTTTAGTGATAGGATTTTGATGAAGACTTTCTTTATGTCTACAGGCATGTTCAGTAGTTTAAACATTTAAGATAAGTCAGTAATTTTTATGATTGTTCAGTGTTGTGTTTAATACTATTTTATTATTTTGTAAAAAAAATTGTGTTCAGCTGATAGTTTTCATTTTATTTATAGAAATGTTGATAAACATTTTTATAAAGAAACATTGAATTAATAAAACTATAGTTATTTACTGACATTCTTGAAATTATGTAACAGTAGTATTGATTACATTTGTAATATATTTTTTCCCTCAGCCCTGTTACGAACAGTTATCAAAGAAGTAAAAATTCCTATTCTGGTAATTGTATGTTTAGTAGGAACTGGCATTGGAACAATACCCCATTTTTCAGCTCAGGTAATGGAGAACTATTAGTTTCCCCCATTTCAATAACTAATAAGGGAATAGATTTTACTGATATTTTGTAAACGAAGTGCTGTTGCAGACACAGTAGGTTGAGGAGGAGGCAGAAGGAGAGAGGAAATTCAATTCCATCTCTGCTCTCCCTGCATGTCTCTGACACCAGGTCTTTATGCAAATTGTCTCCACATTACTAGCCTACAGAGGACAACAGTAGTTGCTGTTGCCAGTTTAGCATTTTGAGGTTCTCTAGGCAAGGTGGATTTGTGGACCCCTCTTCAAGTTGCTTTCTTGAAGATGAGCCAGTGGGTTCTGCCACTTCAAAGCCATTCAGCTTGGGAAATACCCAGATTGAAAAGCGTTTGCTACTGAAAGAAGTGGCAGAGCAAAATATATGGGTTTTCAGGGGAGAGGGTTTGGGGAGAGATCTGAAATTTGGAAATGAGCTTGGAAGAAACAGGCTTCTTGCATATATTTTAAGGAAAAAGCATGGTATGCCAAGCCCAATTCCAACTTGAGCCAAGGACTCATCATTTTAAAAATGTTTCAAACATCATTGTTTCTGTAAAAATTAACTTGTAGATTGTTTTACCAGAGGGCACTAAGAGCTACTGCACAAGGGTAAAGTTTCAGACACCCAGCTTCCCATCTAACACTGGATCCGACTCTACAATTTAGGAGGTCCTCCTCCCAGTGGCAAGGCTAGCCGCTCAGGTGCCCAGGGCAGTGCGCGTGCCCTGCAGCCGGGGACAGAGCGAGCCGCCCATGGGGCGGAGCAAGCCAAGGCAAGGTGTGCTGCATGGAGCCTCTCCGCAGTCTCCTCCTCAGCTGTAGGGCAGCTGAGGTGGTGGGCAGATGCAAGTCCCGTGCTGCTCAAAAAAGCAGCACGGAGCTTGCAGGCAGTCCGCCCACCGCCTCCCCCTCAGGAGAGATGAGTGGCTCAGGCATGCTGCAGACCCCGCAGTGTGACGTCCATTGCCCCGTGCCTCACCTAGCTACACCTAAGTGTGGTTCTCCAAACTCTTCTCCCTCAACTCCCCGAGCCATCCCCCCATTGCTCTTGCTCCCTACCATAGGAGCCAGCGGCTAGACTGTGGCTGGACGTATGCTGATGGTGGAAAGAAGAATGCAGCCCACTTATGGAGAGGGGAAGAAATGGGGCCAGATGGTGGGTTTCTGGCTTATTGCAGAGATTCAAAAGTTGCTTTTTAGGGCAGCAAGCCTCCAAAGGCAGCTTCCACCATGCAGTCATAAAACCCAGAGCAACCCAGACCTAGCAAAAAGTATTAACTCACTCCCACACCACCCTCGACAATACAGTGGTACCTTGGGTTACAGACGCTTCAGGTTACAGACTCTGCTAACCCAGAAATAGTACCTCGGGTTAAGAACTTTGCTTCAGGATGAGAACAGAAATCACGTGATGGCAGTGCGACGGCATCAGGAAGCCCCATTAGCTAAAGTGGTGCCTCAGGTTAAGAACAGTTTCAGGTTAAGAACGGACCTCCAGAACAAATTACCGTATTTTTTGCTCTATAAGACTCACTTTTTCTCTCCTAAAAAGTAAGGGGGAATTGTGTGTGCGTCTTATGGAGCAAATGCAGGCTGTGCAGCTATCCCAGAAGCCAGAACAGCAAGAGGGATTGCTGCTTTCACTGCGCAGTGATCCCTCTTGCTGTTCTGGCTTCTGAGATTCAGAATTTTTTTTTCTTGTTTTCCTCCTCCAAAAACTAGGTGCGTCTTGTGGTCTGGTGCGTCTTTTAGAGCGAAAAATACGGTAAGTTCTTAACCTGAGGTACCACTGTACCTGTTCCAAGCAGCCTCAGCCCATTTCAACCCAATCAAGCCTTGGAAACCTTCCAGGCAGCTAAAACCTGGCAGGAAGATCCCCTCCTGGCTTCCAGGGGTAGCCTCGCTCTCTGCCTGGCTGCCCGCGCTGGGACTCTCCCAGTTCCTGCAGAGGGAAGTGGCTTTCCTCCACAGATACTTACTGTGCCAAAGTGAGCAGGCAAGGAAGACGGAGAGGAGGAGGCAGCCTAGGCAAATTCATGGAGGAGAGGGCTGTCGAAGGCTACTAGCCATAAGGGCTGTGCTCTTGCCTGCAAAGTTGGAGGCAGCCATGCTTCTGGTTTCTGGAAATCACTGGAGGGAGAGTGCTCCTGCAGTGGCATAGGTAGGGGCGTGCGGTGGGGGCGGAAGTTGTTTTTTGTCACCCTCAGCGATGACACCTGGGGTGGCCCATACCCCCCTTTCTAGGCCACTGCCTCCTCCTTTGCTGTTCTCCTTGTACAGAAGAAATCTAGGTACTCTTTCTCCACTCCCTCTGATCATATGCTTGGGCGGGGAAGAAATATGTAAAATAATATAGAAGTATTCACAGTTAACAATTCCTTGTGTTCATTTTGTGTTGCCAGATTCCTATTGTGAAGAGCATTGCAGATATAGATCCTGTACTTTTCCTTCATTTGTTTACACCAGTTATAATATTTACAGCTGCATTTGAGATGGATTTTTATATATTTCGAAAATCATTTTGGCAGGTCAGACATATATACAATTTTCTGTTTAGAAATTTACTTTAAACTTCAAATTAAGGATATAGTTGCATATTGCACACAAATGTGTCCAATCAAACCCCAAAGTAATATTTTCCAGGAAAATAGTTTTGTTTAAAACACATCCAGTTCATATTTAAAGCATTTGACCTCCCCCAAGCAATCCTGGGAACTGTAGTTTGCTAAGGATACTGGGAACTGTAGCTCTGTGAATGGGAAACTATAATTCTCAGGATTCTTTGGGGGAAGTCTTGGGCATTAAATGTATGTTGGATGTATGTGTGTGCGTAATTTGCAGTGAGAAAATGAAAGGCACCAACAATTGGACAAGAATGCTCCGAGTAAAACTTAGTTGGCTATCACCCTACAAGTACCTTTTTTACATTTTCATTAATATGAGCTGATTGACTGTCATGTCATATATAGCACTGTGTCATTAAATCTCCAGCCTTATCCACCTGAGTTTAATGTAATTTTATTTTGCAAATGATTGATACACACACACATATATTGTCATTGCAGGTGTTAATTCTTGCAGTTCCTGGATTTTTGATGAATTGTGCTTTCCTTGGATGGTTAACTTATAAAATTAATAAGTATAATTGGTCCTGGGATGATAGCATGCTATTTGGAATAATTCTTAGCACAACAGACCCTATCCTTTCTGTGGCTTCTGTAAGAAACATTGGTAGGTATTTACACTGATTTTTCTGATAAGCTGAATTCATTATAATACTTGAATGTGGAGTGTACTGTTTACAATATAGCTTCACAGAGCTTACTTAATTGATAATTAACTGTAGTCTGTAACAAACAAATGTGAAGTGATATGGACAGTTTAGGGACACGTTAAATAAAATTACCATATTTTTTGCTCTATAAGACTCACTTTTTTCCTTCTAAAAAGTAAGGGGAAATGTGTGTGCATCTTATGGAGCGGATGCAGGCTGCGCAGCTATCCCAGAAGCCAGAACAGCGAGAGGGATTGCTGCTTCCACTGCGCAGTGATCCCTCTTGCTGTTCTGGCTTCTGAGATTCAGAATTTTTTTTTCTTGTTTTCCTCCTCCAAAAACGAGGTGCGTCTTGTGGTCTAGTACGTGTTATAAAGCGAAAAATACGGTAGAATTATTGAGGCTAGAGTTAGAAGTCATTTTGGCTGTCCTGAGTGAACTCTTTCAAATGCGTATACATTTATGTGGCAGTACATTGTTAACTGTGCTTGCTCAGGCTTGCTCACATCTGAAAAACTGTTTCTCCCTTGTAAAGTATTCAGCAGGGGAGCAACAAAGATGACACCAGAGTATTTGCAGAAATAAAGTTTTATTTGAGGAAATAAAATGCGACAATTTGAAAATAGAACAATTAGCTGTAGAATGCTATCTCAGAGAAAGAAGTGGGATTGACTGTTAAGTGGAATGGTGGTGAGCTAATGTATGTTTTGCAATGATGTTTCAACATTTGGGTTAAAAGGAAAGGGGTTGAAGTGGCAAATGCTTCAAAGCTGGCAAAAAAGAAAAATAGAATGATATTTCCCCTTCCATATGATCTGTACAAAAACCAGTACTTGAAGAGGATGAACAACCAGCTATGTAGCTTTGTATTTATGGAATTAATGTTGAGTTGTCAATTGTGTCACTATAATGTTAAATATACATTAAATTTTGACTGAGGATACAGTTTCAAGCATCTTAGGGGATTCATCTAAGATATTATCCCCTAATGGAGTCAGGTTTGATTTGAACATAACAGCAAACTATGGTTTGTCAAGCAGGCATGTGAGTGATTTGTGCTCTCCCTTCTCTTCCTTGCTCCTTACCTTTGTGTGCAGGGAAGACTTGAGAAGCTTCCATTCCCATTTGGACAATTGTTTTGCACAAACCTGAATCAGTGATTGGTTGTAAATTGATTGGAGTCTTCTCCACTGTTGGAAGCATACTACCTCCAAATAACTGTTGCTGGGATGGGATTCGTTGTATAGCATAGTGCAGGCTTCCTCAACCTTGGCTCTCCAGATTTTTGAGACTACAGTTCCCATCATCCCTGACCACTGGTCCTGCTAGCTAGGGATCATGGGAGTTGTAGGCCAAAAACATCTGAGGTCCGAGGTTGAGGAAGCCTGGCATAGTGCCATGCATGGATTTGCATGCTTCCCATAGGCATCTCTTTGGCCACTGTGAGAGTAGGATGTTGGACTAAATGGGCCTTTAGTTTGGTTTCGCACAGCTCTCCTTACACAGGAATAATAAGACAGATTGCACAAGTGAAAGGCTTATACCTGATCATTACCAGTGTTCCAAACTTTGGTTTGTAGGATAATCTGAAGGCAGACAGACCCTTCTCATATTTTTAAGGTACAGTAATACCTTGGTTCTTGAATGGCTTAGTTGCCGAACAAATCGACTCCCAAATACCGCAAACCCGGAAGTAAGTGTTCTGGTTTGCGAATGTTTTTCAAAAGCTGAACATCCGATGTAGCTTCCACTTGAGCGCAGGAGGCTCCTGCAACCAATCAGAAGCTGCACCTTGGTTTTCAAATGGTTTCGAGAGTCAAACGGACTCCTGGAACAAATTAAGTTCGGGAACCGGTACCATGGTATTTTGTTTCACTTGAAATATAATTTTTAGCATAAAGTGAAGCAGAATGGAGCAATATTGGAAAGAAGAGAAGACAAAATCATCTAGTTTGCAAGTTCTTTTATTTTCATAATTCTCACAAAATGATTTTATATGGGAGTATGTTGAGGCCATTCTTTCTCTTGATTAAAAAAGTATGCAAAGTTTATATTGTGCAACAAAGAGATGCAAGGCCTGGTTATAAGTAAAACAACAGTGTAAATAATACACTATTTGACTGTAATTTAAAATAATTAAGCTGTCAGATTTGCACTGTTTAAGAAATTTAAGAAGTAAAGTTGATTCGAATCAGTCTTTTTCGTGGCTGATATAAACTGTCATGATTTAAATATATTCACTCTTGGAGAAACAGGAAACACGGGAGGATACAAAATCAAGCTTCTTCCTCTTGAACAGCTGATGAACATACTGCATATTATTTGCCTGAGGAATCTATTTTTGTGAAGCTGCTGAATCAAAGTGCTATTGTAAATGGCTTAAATCTTTGCATTCCACCTTTATTATCCGGTTCTACTTCATAGCCACCATCTCTGCAAGGTTTTTGAATGGAAGGATGATGGGAACTGTGGGAGCTTTAGAATGGCTGCATGTGTATATGCAGACTTAACGGTGAAGTGTTAATGGGAATTGTATGGAGAGAATCAGAGCACTTTTCCTTCATTGTTTGAGAAGAATATATGCACTAAAAACAAGCATATCTTAATCATGTGATTTTGATTCCCCCATTTCTTATGGGTCTTGTTATAGTATCTTTCCACCTAAGAAGCAAAAATAAAAAAGAACTTGTTCATTTTGTTATCTTCCCCCCTTTTTTCAGGGCTTTCAAAAATAGTTGTCAACTTAATAAAAGGCGAGTCTTTGTTTAATGATGCTACAACAGTAATAATTTTTGAGTTATATAGGGATCTTGCAAAACAAACTCACCAAGAATTGAGTAAGTATATTATGTCCTGTATTTCCCCCCCCTCATAAAAATACAATCCATATTACGCCACAAGCCTTATTTTTAACTGTTGAGATCTAGGGCATGCAAGCTGAAAAAGAAACATGAGAGGCACAGTCACGTCACTAGCGGGTCCACCCCACAAAAAGGGTTGTCTGCTGTATCAGTCCCATCCTCACTCTGGTAGCTCTGCTGTCATAGCAGTTCCTCAGGTGGTGGATGGCAAGGCGAAGAAAGGGGTAGGTGTTGTGCAGCCTTGGATCCATCAGAGCTTCCCAGGATGTGGATAGATAACATCAGATAGAGCAACACAAATGCTTGAAGGATATGGCACAAGACAGTATTACTAGGGGGAAGAAATACATCAAGCTGGGTTGTAGGGTATTTTGTTGAAAAATAAGTACTTTGGGAGTCAGTTTGTTGTCTCAAGTTTTACGAAATATGGAGGTGTTGCTATTGTTTGAAAGCTGGCTTACGTTTTGAAGTTAACACCCTGCTCAGGAAAGACCTAAAAGAAGGATAAGATTTTATTTAAGGCATTTTAGAGGGACAGAAGATGTCCCAAATATGAGACTATTGCTGTCAGTCTAGCAGTGGAGATTGACTCTATCATTGTAAAGTTGATATCAGGCAGGCAGGTAATGATTACAGAGAAGATGATGCTTGTTAGGACAAGCTGAGTAAAAGGCTTATCTGCAGAAGTGATAGTTCCAGCTTCTACTTCTCACTGAGTAAGCCTCCTCCATTAAAGTTACACATGTGCACCAATGCATCGGCTTCTTGCTGGACGGTCTGTAAGGACCTTGGCACTTACCACCATATATGGTGGTTTTACCCTAAATTGTTGATTTGGGGGAAGGTATCTTCCTGGAAAAAAATAAGGTCACTGAACAAAATTTAATATAGACCCCAGAATTGGCAGTGCTAAAGAATGTGGTCATGCAGTAAGTCCTTGATTTTATGCCTTTTGATGGCAGCACTGCTTAAAACATCTAAGCAGAGAATATATTTAGAAGGAACTACAATGGAGTACAGTAACTATAACTATAAAGTGTAGTACCTAGCGTTGATCGAGAAACTGACACAAAAGCTCAAAGTCAGTCATTAGAAGTCAAGTAAAAGCATACTTTCATCACAAATTAGTACGATTTTCTTAGTTTTACACATACGTATCAGCTGGAGCATAACAGAGGTCCACCAACGCAATATCCAAAGACTTGGAATTCCTGAAACTGGTCCAAACACTGGCTTTTCCTTTTCAAGTAAATTCCCAAGGCTGGACTTGCACAGGATCTATGAACAGGACAGACAATTCATTTGAAAGCTGTTAACATTTTCAGCTGGAATATTCTGTCTCTCAGATCTATTGTATGGGGTTATGGTTGGGTTTTTAAAAATTTACTACTACTATTGCATTTTGCTCTTTTTTTCTTGTCTAAAATATAAAATCATAATTATTTATATATAGATATATATGAAAAATAAGTGTATAATTATAAAAGTTTCCTGAATAGATTCTGTGCATCCATAGACCTAATATGTATGACTGCATAGATGACTGTTGAAAAAACAACACCAAGAGTTGCATGTAAGCAACCTGTTCTTCTGGGTTCCAAGGAAGAAGAGGGTTCAGGGTACAATCAGTTAGCATCATTAGTTATAATTATCTTTAAATTAACTACTGGAAAGCAGATTGTAAATAACTATTTTCTTTTTACCTTTTACAGTTAAAGAAATTTTTATAAAGTTGATTTTAAAATTTTTTGCAAGCACTGCTTTGGGATTTTTTACTTCAAGATTAGTTAGTTATTGGTTGCAACATATTTTCAATGATGGAGTAGTTGAAATAATTCTAAGCTTCTCAATGGCATACATTATTTTCTTCATCGGTAAGTTAAACGTCTTTGTCAAATGTGATGCATTTGAAACAGTTGTGCTTAATCATTAATAAAACTAAATAATAGTGGTTTTTTAAAATAACAATTCCCTATTTTTTCTATCCTTAGCTGAATGGCTTGGAATGTCTGGAGTTATTGCTATTTGTATTTTGGGCCTTCTTTTAGATACTGTAAGCTTTAGTCCAGGATTGGATATATTTCTTTATAAGTAAGTGCTCATAAGTAAGTGTTTATCTTTAAATTTCAGTTTGAATCATTTTGAAAATTTCTGTGGTAGCTAAATGTATCCCATTTACATATTGTGTAAGGAATGTGAACTAATAGGATTGAAGTCCTTGTAGAAGATTTAAAAGTGCCTTGTAGAAGCACTTTAAGTATTCAATGCATAAAATTTCTATTGTTAACCAGATTCTCAGTGACAAATGGTACTTAAGCACTGGTAGACTTGAAATAGCTACAAGAGGTAATTGATTAATAAAGTTTTTTTTGGCTTTGAATAATATTTTTTTAAATGTACGTAGTATAAATAAAGCATGGTGGTTGGTTGAGTAACAACTGACTGGTTTATTAACACAGAAGTAACATTTCCTGTCAGATCTTTCAATGATTTGAATACGCAACTAGACATGAAACAGGAGATCTGTCGTCAGCATTTAGTAGTTTAAAGAAGGAAATGCAACCCTGGGGGACATAAAATTGGATTTGAACTATACCATTAGGAAGGTCTTTTTTGTCTTTTGCAATGTGAACATTTGATTTTAAAATGTTATAACTACAATAATATAGAATAATATTATAAATGCACATTGTGTATTCTGTATTAAGAGCCTGTGAGTTACATTGTGATTAAGACTTGTAGTTTTACCCTTCTGAAAGTCTATGTTCTTTCACAGTGATATATGGCCAGACTCAACAGCCCCAACTGGTAAACACTTAGATCAAATTGTAACCAATTTTATTGCAAAAGGAACCTGTACATGTTTATATCAAGTCTAATACCTTATATTTTAGCTACCAAACTACTCATTAATATAAATAAATATACAGGCAAAGAATCTGTAGTTTCCTTTCCCTTCTGAGTTCAAATGGTAGATAGAAAAAATACAAATCCCATGTTCATTGGCCATTTCCTGTTGAGTATTGGATTGCATTTCCTCTGGCTCTCAACTGAGTTTGAGAGGTAGAGCAAACTACAAATATCATGTTACCTGCTAGGAAACACTCTCTCTCTCTCTCTCTGTGTGTGTGTGTGTGTGCGCGCGCGGTTTTGCCTATCTCTAGTTTCAGCTTGTTTTGTGGAATTCTAATCCAAAATATAATCTAAAAAATTGTGTTTGACCAAATATTCACTGTGTTAAATGCTTTGAAAGTTTTGTAAGAAACTGATTTTGAGGTTGGGGTGAGGGGAGAATGCTTTTGTACTTTATATACCGCAAAGAATTATAGCTTTGCTAATAGTCAGCCCCCCTTAGCATGGTTTAACACATTTTTTTTTAAACAGGTTCTGGTCAATGTTGACCTTTTTGGCTCACATCATGATATTCCTTATAACGGGAATTGTGTTGGCTCAGAAGGCATTTCCATTTTTTAATTCTCGTGCTATTTTTTATATTATAACAGTCTACCTTTCATTAAATCTTACAAGGTAAGAATTGTTTAATTTTCCTTATTGTATTGATGTTTTCTGCCAATTCACAAAGCTCACTGTTAATATTCTTCAGACTGCAATCCAAATGCATTTAACTGGGAGTAAGCTACACTGAATTCACTAGGACTTACTTTTTATGCATGTATAGGATGGTAGATTATATATTATTTTCCAAAATTCTTAAGTTCAAGGCACACATGCTCTCACAAGTAACTGCATGGGAGCCATGAAGAACATAAATAGGTCCTTATACTTACCAGAACTTCTAGTATTGGTGCCTCTGAACCTATTACCCAGTTTGCAGTATGAATTTGGCATAGTTTTGAAAACACACTTTTATTCGAAACTTATTCCAAACCAGGCCATCATCACGCTTCTTTAACAGTTTGGATTGCAATCTGCTTTGTGAAGAGCTCATTCTACCAGACCACCTGGTTGCTTCTACTTCTGTGATTGTAGCAGCAAGGAGGGATTCTCATCCTTGCCACCTTGAGCCCCTTTGGAGGAAGGTTGGAATATACATTGGAATATACACCCTCTTTTCCTGGTGCTTTGAACATTCCTGGTGTGATTGACATTCATATGCCCTGGCTTAAAGGATGCTACTGTAGTGGCATTCCAAGCAATAGTGAAGGAGAAGATGAACAAGAAACAGAGAGGCACACCTTCCCTGCTATTGCTGCTGTTGCCTCCAGATACTAACTTTGGCAGCTACTAACCTTTAGGCATTAAGCACTAGAGGACAGCCACTAGTAAGTAATACTTACATGTCTGTCTAGATTTTGTGTATATTGTGTATATATAAGACTTTGCACTGAGTGCCACCTGCTTAACCACTTGCCCATCTGCCTCCCAGAATTTTAGTGGACAAGCATTGTATGAATGAAAATTATCTTAAGGTGGCCCAAGAGCCTTTGCTTCCTTGCTTCCTGAGGAATATAAAGTTTGGCTGTTTTAATAACTTTTTGAAAATTGTGGCATTTGTCAAACAGCTAGCCTTATGAGTAATGCTTGGAGGTTAGAGGGTGATAGCCCCTATACACTATTTCAGGGCCCTAATGATTAGGACATTAATGAAACAAGTAATGTGCGTTGCTGAATACTGTTGAAGTGAAAATATTGGGAACTAAACATTGGCAAAGAGTTTCTTAATGCAAAATAATTTTGAAGTAGACAATTTTATATGAATTAGATGTAGTGGAGGCTGGAACCTGATTTCTGAATACTAAATTTATTCCCTTTGTGAAAAACAATTCTGTGCTTTGACTTTATTGCCATGGTAATTCATAGCTTCTGTGCAAATTGACGTATTTCCAAGCTGAAAACAAGATTTAAAATCTGCAGTTTCCTGAAATTATTACAGTTACCCAATCAGTACAAAGGAAGACTTCATATTTATTTATGCATTTTGGTTTTTAGTAGGTTTGTCTCTTACTTTTTGACTAGAGTATTCAAAGCAGTTCATAACATTTATAAAATGCAATGGTTACATTGCACATTTAAAACAAACCACACATTTCAAATGAAGTAGGAACAGGAGCATTTCATTTTCTGTCTGTGTGCTTCCCTATCTCCTGGATTCCTTCTCTTAGGGGAATTAGTGTTAGATGGCCCTGTGCTAGGGGAAGGGACAGCCCAGCTGCAGCAGGAGCAGACATCTGATGTTCTCTTTGCATACTTTTGTAAGTTAGAAGAGGGATACACACTTGTCCCACTATATTGCTGATTGCCTAAGTATATGTTAATAGTTAGGCTCAACACTTTTTGTTCCAGAAGGTGATTGTTGAAAATTGACACCAGTTTTAGCCATGCTCTTATGACTTAATTATTGGTTCCCTATTATCCCTGTTGTGAAGTTAAAGATATGAATCCCCACACACCTTGAAATGTAACACCCAGAATTTGTGTTATTTTTATTTTAATAGGTTTAAAATAGGCTTAGAATAATGTGGAACATATTAAATAGGTCAGATTTAAGCTGGAAAATCTCTTTTACTATTTAAACTAATGAAGCAACTTTCTGAACATACCGAAGGTTTTTTGTTTCTAGCGTTGTCAAATTTCATATTATATCGAAAGGAAACAATAGGGGTGCACCCACCTAACTCATTGAGCAAGCAGAACGGCTTCTGCTAACACAGTGGAATTTCACTCCCCCCCTTCTCCCTCCATGCACCCCAGACCATATTTGGAGGCAGAGGGAGAGAAGGGGGAAGTTCTGTTAGATGAGTGGAAGTTGTCCCACTGAACAGATTGACTTAGTTTAGGGATGGGCAATATTTTTGGCTTAGGCTGGATGTTTGTATTACGCCATCTCATGGATGAAGTTTGGTAGGACAACCCACCTGCCAATCACAGGTCATTGTGATGTCAGAGGTCTAACAGTTGGGAATTATGTACAGACCCAACTATAGCTTAACCGTAGGTTAATGGGAATGTGTTCTCTTATATCAGAGATTACTGGTGCTCTACCCCAAATAATTCAGGATGATTTTAGACAAGAGAGAGTACTTCCAGTTAGTTGCAAAGCAATTTTTAGAAAAATATGTATATATAGAATGCTGGACTCCCTCATCTTCTTAAGAGTGTGTAGTGAAAAAACAGATGGAATCAGCTCCTCATGGCATACAATTTGAAGCAGTGATTCCTCAGGTAGTTCTGGAAGTTTAAGCCATGCTACCATTAGCCAGGGAAAAAACCCCTGACTAAACTCATGATCTGTTATTTAACCAGGGTATGCTTTCTTAAATGTTTGCTTAGTTTGTTAACATAGTGTTTTAAGATTTAAATGCATTTTTGCATTTATTTTTATTTTATTCAGGGGTTTGGTTGTTTTTGTGTTGAGCCCTTTTTTGAGTCGTCTTGGCTATGGATTTAATTGGCGTTGGGGAGCTGTTTTGATTTGGAGCGGAATGAGGGGCACCTTCACTTTGAACATGGCTCTTGGAATTAGCCAAACAGAAAGCAAAACTCCAAATGAGTTTCAAATTAAAACCATGGTAAAGTAAGATCATTATTTTTGGAAAGCATTATCAATTTGTACTAGAAGCCTGCTTGAAAATCTATATAGAAAGATGTGTTTATTTCTGATGCCATATTTTCAGTTTATGTACTCATATAGATATTGGGAACGTAGGTATGCCATTAATTTTTACATTAAAGGTATGCACAACATATTACTGAAAGTATAATTCTGTATATCCAAAGAAATAAATATGCAATTGTTTGCATTGAAAAGAGATTAAAATCTAATGCATATAATTGCTAATCTGTCTTTAACACAGCAGTCGGGAACATTTTTCAGCCCAGGGTACAATCTTCTGGGGTTTGCATGTCTATGGTAGGTAGGGGCAGAGATGAAAGTGTGCTGAGCAATAGATATCACTCTTCCCTTTGTATTCTTACCTACATGCCAGACACACACAAGTCAGATGTTTCTGCACCCACATGCACCTCTATCCTCCATCTAGATGAGCAAAAGGCATTTTCACAGTTCAAGGACACATTTTAGCCAGGCATTTAAACATAAGGAAGGCCTGCTGGATCAAGCCAATGACTCATCTGGTCCAGCATCCTGTTCCCATAGTGGCCACCCAGGGGCATGTGGGAAACCACAGATTTTGTAGGTGAGCTTCTTGTCTTTGGGGAAATTGCAGGGGTTGGCAAAAGCTATTGAGAGTGAAGAGGGCACATTCAACCCCTGGGCCTGAGATTCCCCACTCATGCTAAAAGATTGCGTAATATTCTTTCCATTTCTGCCCCTTGCAGTTTGTGGCCTGTTGCAAAATCTAACTTTCTAGAACTCAGAACTCAGTATTTTCTTGTTAGGAAAGTCCCCTTAGCACAGTTAGTGTGCCTGTAGAAATGGTTATTATCTGGAATGTGGTTGAGGGAGTACAATGAGCACTTATGGATTGTGCTTCTGGCATCACTGGTAAGATTTGATACAACTTTGTCTGTCCACAACAGTGCCTTTTGTGACTTTCCTAATATACATATATATTTTACAAGGCAGGTTAAGTGCTTCCTTGCAGTCAAAAAGTTGAGCATGGAAAGTACTTATTTTCCTTTTTTGCCTAACAGCAAACCTCCCAGTTAGCTAACAATAAAATAAAATTAACACACAGTAAACATACCATTTTTGAAAAATAAGGAGGCAGTGGTGACTGAAATAGGTATTGTGTTCCAGCAATTGATCTCTGCTTAGTTAGAACAGGGTTTGTCCTCCCCTGCCTCACCCTGGCAAGGAAGCCAAGGTGATGTGTGTGTGAGAGAATGAGTGAGTGAATATGTGTATGTGATAGACCAAGTGTGTCCAGACATGCCCAATGGTGCTTGGCCCCTGAGTGCATTGCTGCATTGGCCCTTGGGAGTAAAAAGTTTGCCCACTCCTGCAATGCCCAATACAGAAAAAACTGTGATGGAATCCCCAGTGTTGTGGTTTAAATCACATGGGTATAGGGTGCCCACCACTATGTATAGTGAGGCCTCCCTAGGCAGCTGATTGGGCTGTCATGAAAGGACAGCAACTTGTGAATCATTTCATTTACTATTACTTGTATTTTTACTGCTAGGGAGGGGGATAGGTGCTCTGAAGTGCACAAAACATAACCTGTAGATCATGAAATCTCATGTCATCATTTTGTGACTGCTTTGCCCCGCGCTGACATTTTGTGACTTGGTCTGCCTTGCACCCACCACTATTTTGTTACTGAAGGGCCTTGGTATTTTCCAGCCCTCTCAAGTGGTCCCTAAAAGTAGAAAGTTTGATAACAGCTGCCGTAGATCATATTTGACAAATGTCAGTAAGAGCACCTTAAAATATATTTTGGAAGTTCGAACTGTAGTATTGCCTCACTGTAAGTTGAGAACATTAAGAGAACTGCATTGAACGCAGTCAGCTTACTTCTGATTAAACATTTGTAGGGTCTCATCATACTTTTGTATCCTGCTCTTTTCCTAAGATGTTTAGGGCTGATACAGATGATTTGCTTTTTTCTTTCAATAACTCTGTCAGAGTGGTTATGGTAAGAAATGGTTCAGTGCCACGCATTAAGCTTCATGGTTCTGCGTGGGCTTGAAGTCTGGGCTCTGAAACCAAATCAGATGCAATGGCTGGAACTTTTAAACAGAGAAAAAAATATAGAATAAGTAAAAATAAGCATTTTTAAAAGAAAAAAATAGATTCCAAAGGTACTTAAAATTCCATTAGGCATTCCTTCTCTGCCAAGTGGGAGAGTGCAATTTGCAGTGGAAAAGTGGTATGTGGGGTCAGTGCTTGACCATTCTGCAGGCAGTAGAATGACTGCTATTGAAAAGGTCAGCGCTGGACTGAATGGGTTGTAGCAAGTTTTGCTCAGTTGCAAATACAGTGGTACCTTGGTTTGCAATTGCTTTGGATTACAACCGTTTTGGATTACAAGCACGTCAAACCCGGAAGTTCGTGTCCCTTTTTTTTGGATTACAACCCATTTTGGGGGGGAGGCCCCATTGGCGAAAGTGCCCCTTGGGTTACAACCTGTTTTGGTTTACAACCGGACCTCCAGAACGGATTATGGTTGTAAACCAAGGTACCACTGTACTTCCTTTCTTGGGAAAGTGACTGAGACAGTTCTGGCAGAACAACTGCAGACAATTCTGAATGAGACTAATGATCTAATCTTTGACAGTCTGGGTTCAGGCCTGGATTTGGGACTGAATGAGCCTTGATCGACCTTATGGATGACTTTTATAGCGAGGGAATACGACTCTGCTATTTCTGGTTGATCTCTTGGCAGTCTTCAATACCACTGATCACGATATCCTTCTGAACCGACTCTGCAGGATAGGTATCAGTGGCAGTGTATTGCGATTACAATACTCCTGCAGGGTCAGGTCCAAAGAGTAGCATTGGGAGAGTGCACTTTGCCCCCTGGTGCTTACACTATGGAGTGCCATAGGACACTATTTTGTCCACAGTGCTATTCAACAGCTGGCTTTCCTGCTGCTACTTTGCTGAGAAGGAGCATCAGGTTTTTGCCATATTTGGTGATATTGTAATGTGTAGTTCCGGCTTCTTTCCATTGTTCTGTGCTGAACTCCCAAAGCAGACTAAAGTATTATAAAATGCTATAAAATGTAATGTTATATTGCTGCTTTTACTAGTTATGATAGAGATGCTAATTGCTCAAAACTTTTCAGTTATTACTGCATTCAGGAACTGCGTCTTTGTTGACCTTGATGATTAATTCTACCACTGTGAAAAGGCTGGTTACAACACTAGGTAATACTCTCAACATTTCTTCTTTTCTTTATTAAAATAAAAATTAATGTGTTTTATTCATACTTCAACTTCAGCCCTATTTAAGCATTTTTTAAAAAAAATATATGATTTAAAAGGGATAGGAAGACCAGTTTTCTGCATGCTGACCCTACTCCTAATTTCCTTGTGCTCACTGGGCATGCCCATTCCATCCCTCGCCCTCTTGGAAGGTCTGAAGGGGGCTTTTAAGCATGTTCAGATGCACAGTCTTTCAGCCTTCCGCACAACTGGGAGCCCTGATGAGGTAGGGTTCTATTTCCCAGCCATGCTGTTGTCTCTTTGCTGTATCAAGCACTCATGAGTCTGGAATTAGATGACCTTTGCTGCTGTCTTGTAAATCTTATTATGATCAATGAATTACTTTTCTGTTTCTATAGGCCTTTGTAATATTACCCTTCCAAAACGTATGGCAATGCATAACGCTGTTCAGCGAATCAGACAAATGGAAGCCAATGCATTTGCAATGCTGAAACTTGATAGATTTTTGGCTGATGCAAACTGGACAATGGCTGAAGAAGCAATTAAAATAGATTATCCTTATAAAGTGAGTATCTTTCAGTTAGTGTTAAATAAACATAACTTAGAAAGTGTGTAAAACCAAATGCAAGGTGGGCTCATAGCCTGAGCTCACTTGTCCGTTTGCTTGCCCAGAACAGAGCCACCTATCATTTGCCATGCTAAGGCTTGTGCCTGCACTGCTCTTCAAAAGGAAGAGACGGGGTATGACACTTGTTGGGCAACCTCAGGTCATGCTTAGCCATGCAATTCACCTGCTATGTCTTTGTTAAAAGAATTTGGCAGAATTAGCAACCTGATTTCAAGTTATTCATCTGACAGCAAGGACTGAGACATAGAAGGTGCTGGACTAAATACTTCCAAGAAGGACCACAAATTTTGAGGAATCTCTCATTGCTTGTCTTAGCTCTTGTTTTTCCCTAGGTAAGGGTCCCAGCTGAGAAACAGGGCTCTAACCTAGTGGGGATTTGTGTTAGGAACAGAGTCCACTTGAACATTTATTTATTTGTAAACATATTTGTAAACTGCAATTTTCTATAAATATCAAAGTGGTTCATAATAATTGTAACACAATAAAAACTACATAAAATGAAAGTAGATCACCAGCTAACTACCGTATTTTTCGCTCTATAAGACGCACCAGACCACAAGACGCACCTAGTTTTTGGAGGAGGAAAACAAGAAAAAAAATATTCTGAATCTCAGAAGCCAGAACAGCAAGAGGATCGCTGCGCAGTGAAAGCAGCAATCCCTCTTGCTGTTCTGGCTTCTGGGATAACTGCGCAGCCTGCATTCGCTCCATAAGACGCACACACATTTCCCCTTACTTTTTAGGAGGGAAAAAGTGAGTCTTATAGAGCAAAAAATACGGTATTTAGAAAATGTTTTTCATCAATTATCTGCATAAGCCTGGTAGCAAAGAAAAGGTTTCAGCAAATGTTTGAAGGTTAAGCTAGAAGGTGCATGCACCCATTCAATATCTAAGAAGCAGAGCATGGTCAAGCATAGGTCAGGTTTGAGTAATGGAAGGTCAGACACAGAAGTCTGGATAAGCAAGATCAGAAAGCAATAATACAGTCATACCTTGTGTTGTGTTAGGTTCATGTTGCATCTTTTCAGTTTGTGAACGCGGCAAACCCAGAAGTGTATACTTCGGGTTTCGCCACGTGCATGTGCGTAGAAGCCTTCTGTGCGCTTCACATATGCGCGGAAGCGCTCTATCGCGCTCTGCACTTGCGCAGAAGTGCTGCTCTAGTTGTTGACTTTTTGGGGTGCGAACGGCACCCTGGAACGGATCATGCCCGCAACTAGAGGTACCACTGTAATAATAAAGGTGTTTGGTTTTTTTAAAAAAGTACACAAGTGATTAGCAGAACAAAACTATCTAATAAGTCAGGGGCAGCATAATCACTTAACTAGGGGTTAACATAGGGGTGCTGGAATAAAAACATTTTCACCTGGTTTATAAACACTATTAAGGATGGAGCCAACAGATCTTCTGGGGCAGGGAGTTTCACAGGCTGGACACCACCGCATAAATTCCCTCACACATCCCAACCAGCTGCACTTCTGATGATGTGGAAAAGTTGTCTCCAAACAATCAGAGTGGATAGGCAGAATCATGTGAGAGGAGACTGATGTGTTTCCTCACCACGCTGACATGATATTCTGGGATGCAATCAAGCCAAAGTTAAGCCCATTCTTTCAGCTCCTGTCTGGGGTGCAATCTCGCCCTCAGGATTGTGGGTGCCTGTTGCCACAACACAGATGTGTGAAGGGTGCCTCGCTGGGTGGTTGCGGAGGGCAGAGCTGAACTGATTCTCGGAGGCAATGCCGCTGCCACCTGCCGGCTTTTCTCATTGACTTTGTGGGAGCTCTGCCCCCACAATTACCGTATTTTTCCGTGTAGAATAATAGAATCATAGAGTTGGAAGAGACCACAAGGGCCATCGAGTCCAACCCCCTGCCAAGCAGGAAACACCATCAGAGCACTCCTGACATATGGTTGTCAAGCCTCTGCTTAAAGACCTCCAAAGAAGGAGACTCCACCACACTCCTTGGCAGCATATTCCACTGTCGAACAGCTCTTACTGTCAGGAAGTTCTTCCTAATGTTTAGGTGGAATCTTCTTTCTTGTAGTTTGGATCCATTGCTCCGTGTCCGCTTCTCTGGAGCAGCAGAAAACAACCTTTCTCCCTCCTCCATGTGACATCCTTTTATATATTTGAACATGGCTATCATATCACCCCTTAACCTCCTCTTCTCCAGGCTAAACATGCCCAGCTCCCTTAGCCGTTCCTCATAAGGCATCGTTTCCAGGCCTTTGACCATTTTGGTTGCCCTCCTCTGGACACGTTCCAGTTTGTCAGTGTCCTTCTTGAACTGTGGTGCCCAGAACTGGACACAGTACTCCAGGTGAGGTCTGACCAGAGCAGAATACAGTGGCACTATTACTTCCCTTGATCTAGATGCTATACTCCTATTGATGCAGCCCAGAATTGCATGGTCTTGTTACGCAGCCGCGTCAAACTGTTGGCTCAGGGCAAGTTTGTGGACAACCAAGACTCCTAGATCCTTTTCACATGTACTGCTCTCAAGCCAGGTGTCCCCATCTTGTATTTGTGCCTCTCATTTTTTTGCCCAAGTGCAATACTTTACATTTCTCCCTGTTAAAATTCATCTTGTTTGTTTTGGCCCAGTTCTCTAATCTGTCAAGGTCGTTTTGAAGTGTGATCCTGTCCTCTGGGGTGTTAGCCACCCCTCCCAGTTTGGTGTCATCTGCAAATTTGATCAGGATGCCCTTGAGTCCATCATCCAAGTCATTGATAAAGATGTTGAATAAGACCGGGCCCAAGACAGAACCCTGTGGCACCCCACTAGTCACTCTTCTTCAGGATGAAGAGGAACCATTGATGAGCACCCTTTGGGTTCGGTCAGTCAGCCAGTTACAAATCCACTGAGTGGTAGCATAGTCAAGACCGCATTTTACCAGCTTCTTTACAAGAATATCATGGGGCACCTTGTCAAATGCCTTGCTGAAATCAAGGTAGGCTACATCCACTGCGTTCCCTTCATCTACCAGGCTTGTAATTCTGTCAAAAAATGAGATCAGGTTAGTCTGACGTGACTTATTTTTCAGAAATCCATGCTGACTATTGGTGATCACAGCATTCCTTTCTAGGTGCTCACAGACTGTTTGCTTAATGATCTGCTCCAGAATCTTCCCTGGTATTGATGTCAGACTGACTGGGCGGTAATTATTTGGATCCTCTCTTTTCCCCTTTTTGAAAATAGGGACAACATTTGCCCTCCTCCAGTCTGCCGGGACTTCGCCTGTTCTCCAGGAATTCTCAAAGATGACTGCCAGTGGTTCTGAGATCACATCTGCCAGTTCTTTTAATACTCTTGGATGCAGTTCATCTGGCCCTGGAGACTTGAATACATCTAAACTAGCCAAGTATTCTTGTACTATCTCCTTAGTTATTCTGGGCTGTGTTTCCTTTGCTGAATCATTTGCTCCAAATTCTTCAGGTCGGGCATTGTTTTCTTTATCGGAGAAGACTGAGGCAAAGAAGGCATTGAGGAGTTCAGCCCTTTCTGTGTCCCCTGTTTGCATTTCACCATCTTCTCCTCTGAGTGACCCCACTGTTTCTTTGTTCTTCCTTTTGCTACTGAACATACCCATAAAAGCCTTTTTGTTGCTTTTAACCTCTCTAGCAAGCCTGAGTTCATTCTGTGCTTTAGCTTTTCTGACTTTGTGTCTACACGTGCTGGCTATTTGTTTGAATTCCTCTTTGGTGGTTTCCCCCCTTTTCCATTTTTTGTACACATCCTTTTTTAATTTTAACTCACTTAAAAGTTCTTTAGATAGCCACCCTGGCTTCTTTAGGCACCTTCCATGTTTCCGTCTCATTGGTATTGCCTGACGTTGTGCTTTTACTATCTCCCTCTTAACAAACTCCCAGCCATCATGAACTCCTTTTCCTTTTAGTATTACTGTCCATGGGATCTCACCCAGCACTTCCCTAAGTTTTATGAAGTCGGCTTTCTTAAAGTCAAGAAATTGAGTCCTAGTATGCTTGGCTGCTCCTTTCCGCTGTATAGTAAACTTCAGAAGAGCATGATCACTCGCGCCTAATGATCCTTCCACTTCTACCCCACTAACCAGGTCATCAACATTGGTTAGGACCAGATCTAAAATGGCTGTTCCTCTTGTTGCTTCTCCCACTTTCTGGACAATGAAGTTGTCTGCAAGGCCAGTGAGGAATCTGTTTGACCTTATGCTCTTGGCTGAGTTTGACATCCAACAAATATCCGGGTAATTGAAGTCCCCATTACTACTATCTCCCTTCCTTTTGCATGCTTGGCCATCTGTTCCAGGAAGGCATCATCTATGTCCTCCGTTTGGCTTGGGGATCTATAGTAAACTCCCACAATGAGGTCACTGTTATTCTTCTCTCCCTTAATTTTGACCCAAATGCTCTCACTTTGGCTTTGAGGTTCTAAATCTTGGATCTCTTCACAGGTATACACATCCCTGACATATAACGCCACTCCTCCTCCTTTCTTGTCTGGTCTGTTTCTCTGAAATAGATTGTATCCCTCCATTATTACATTCCAATCGTGGGACGTATCCCACCACGTTTCAGTGATGCCTATTATGTCATATTTAGTTTGCTGTACTAAGAGCTCAAGCTCATCTTGTTTATTTCCCATGCTTTGCGCATTAGTGTACAGACATTGAAGTCCATTAATCATTCCCCCGTGTCTCTTATTTAAGGATTTTTTCCTCCCACCACTAGGTCTTATACACCACTAGGTGTATAAGACTAAAAAAATAAATGTGTATAAGACTAAAAAATAATGTCAAAAATTAGGAGGCATCCTTATACAGTGGTATCTCTGGATGCGAACGGGATCCCTTCCGGAGCCCTGTTCGCATCCTGAAGCGAACGCAACCCACATCCGCATGTCATTTTGATGATCTGTGCATGCGCGAGTGACGAAGCCCGGAAGTAACGCGCTCCGTTACTTCCGGGTCGCTGCAGTGCGCAACCCGAAAATACTCATCCCAAAGCTACTTTAACTCGAGGTATGACTGTACATGGGGCCATCTCTCCCCATTGTCTTAAATCTGTGTCCCCCAAAATAGGGGGTGTCTTATACAAGGGGGCGTCTTATAAATGGAAAAATACAGTATATTACTGTGGGTGTCCAGGCACCTATGGCCCCCTAGAGTTGTCTCCTATGACTCCTGTGTGTGATTTAAACCAAACTGGCCCTGCCACACAGTAGTGTGAATCAGTGACTTCAGGCAGCACCATGAGCAGGGTAGATAAGACAGGATTTTAGTGTGTGAATGCTGCAGCATTCTTTGTAAATTGTTGAGTCTACAGTAGAGTATAAAAGTGCTCAACTTCCATTGGATTGTGCCCAAAATGTTTAGATTCTTAAATTAATTTAATATTACCCTTGGTTTGATATTGAGATTTCAGTCAATGTATATTCTGTTTTTTCCTATCCCCCCCCTTGTGCAGTTAGATTCAGAAGAAGTTGATCAACTGATCAAATCACTTAGATGTCCAGAATGTAATGCCAATGTTACATTTGAAGGAAGTTCTCAACAAATTGCTGACATAATGGAAGAAGCCAGATTGCGTCTTTTAACGGCACAAATAGTTCGTACTTTTAATTCTATTGGCCTTTTATTGATGTAATTTCAGGATTATAATTACTTAACAATATAATTGAGCATTTTATGGTGGTTCACAATGAAAAGTCCCAATTCTATAGAACATTTGAATCTTAATGTTTTACTGTGAATTCAAAATACATTGTCTCTAGTGTGGTCCATAGCTATTAAAAATACAATATTAAGTGTCCATATAATTAAGGTAGAGAGATCTTTTTATCTGTCTTTTATAACTACCTCTTTATTCCTAGGAAATAGTTCATTGTTAATCTGAGAATTAGTTCTAATGTTGGGCATTTCCCCCCAAAAGTTTTATTGGAAGCCACTCTTTGCTGTAGGATGCCTAATCAGAATAATTTAGTGCGTTGACTACTCCGTACCTGCCTACCCCACATTTCTTACTTGTGATCAAACCAGTTAAAGCAGGGGTCCTCAAACTAAGGCCTGCGGGCCGGATTTAGCCCACCAGGTTCCTTGACCCAGGTGCCCGGCAACTGCAGAACCCACCACTGTGTAACAGTGGCAGACTCCCTGACGAGGCAGGCGGCACAAGGATGGATGAGGTGTCCCCCTGGCTTGGCACACCCGCATCCAGCGGTGCGGGCAAGGGACAGGGTGAACATGCAGGGAGGGCAGGCTGCGTGGCTCCGGGTGCTCTTATAGAGGCGCTGTGCTGCCTCCGTGTGCGAGTGCCTGGCTGGGTGGCATCTGCGGGGCTCCTGCCCACGCCTCCAATCACCAGCGTCAGTGCTGCCCTGATTTCCTGATGTGCCCAAACTGGTGCAAGACAGGTTCTTGGGCACCCACACCGCCGCCTGCACACCGAGGAGCCGTGCGCACCCCGTACCTCTGTGCAGTAAGTTGCACCTTGCCCAGCGGAGCTGGGTGGTGGCATGGGAGCGGGGGGAGATCCACGTGAGGAAAGGTCTGGATGATGCAGGATTGTCCCACATTTCAGTGTGGTCCCAATAAAGGCATGGCCCAGAAATGGGGATCCTAACCATGTCTACTCGGAAGTAAGTCCCATTGCTGAGTAAGTGCCTGTAGGATTGCAGCCCTCAAATTTTTAAAATGTATTTTTAATCTTTTGTTGGAAGCCGCTCAGAGTGGCAGGGGAAACTCTTTTCACATATATTTTTTTTTTTGAAAGGGCAGTTTCATCTGTCTAGTGTGAGGTGTTCCTACCACCACTGCTCACTTTGCAAAGTTTTAAGTGCTGCAAATCCCACTGGGAGTGATAGAACTTGATGTGCCATCAGACTTTAAGAATTGCAGAGAAAAAGTGTGGGAGTGGCTATGTGTTTGCTATACAAATCCCCCTTTATGAGGTAGTGCTACAGCCCTTGAACCACAGTATAAGGAATCTGCAGGACACATATTCTGATAGGCACATGGATTGAGCAGGTGTGGATGAGATTAGTCCACTTTGGACTCTTGAGTTTGACAGAATCAATCCCCTTCTTTGTTTTCTTATGTAGCATGGGATCTTTATAAGTGGCACAATCCTAGAAAATCTACTGAGGAAGTAGTCCCACAAGTCAAGTGCATAATGCTGCCTGAAAAATCAATTGTCGCCTGAGATTATTACACTGTGTACTGCAGACCATTTTCAAACCAAAATGTAATAGTGTTGTATCTTATTACAGTGTTGTAAAATGCTTAGGCCCGATATTGGATTTTTCTGCATTGCTATTTTTTTTTTTTTAAATAGTATTTATTAAGGTTTTAAGTTTACAAAAAGGCAAAAGAAAACAGAAAAACACCAAATTGAACAATAGCAAAACAACACATCACAATAAAAAACAGAAATATAGGAACACTTAAAAAAAAAGACAAATCGAGCCTTCCCATAACTTATCTTTCATTTGCTTGTTTCCCTGACCTCCTCACACCTCCCTTTTTTGTATTCTAAGTCAGTTATCCATTTCAGCAAATCCTTTCCCTCTCTTCAAAATTCTTATCCTGGAAATTTATCTTGATCTTAATATAAGTTTACTTCCCCTCTTTTCACCAGTTAACAGTCTATTTTTCTTAAATCTTTGATACATTTTTGCTAAAGTCACATAGATTCATTCCAACATCATTCTAACATTCATTAATTTTACAATGTTTCTGTAAATAGTCTTTAAATTTCTTCCAATCTTCCTCCACCGACTCTTCTCTCTGGTCTCGGATTCTGCCAGTCATTTCCGCCAGTTCCATGTAGTCTATCACCTTCATCTGCCATTCTTCCAGAGTGGGTAGATCTTGTGTCTTCCAATACTTTGCAATAAGTATTCTTGCTGCTGTTGTGGCATACATAAAGAAAGTTCTGTCCTTCTTTGACACCAATTGGCCGACCATGCCCAGGAGGAAGGCCTCTGGTTTCTTCAGAAAGGTATATTTAAATACCTTTTTCATTTCATTATAGATCATCTCCCAGAAAGCCTTGATCTTTGGGCATGTCCACCAAAGGTGAAAGAATATACCTTCCGTCTCTTTACATTTCCAGCATTTATTATCGGGCAAGTGATAAATTTTCGCAAGCTTGACTGGTGTCATGTACCACCTGTATATCATTTTCATTATATTCTCTCTTAAGGCATTACATGCCGTGAACTTCATACCTGTGGTCCATAACTGTTCCCAGTCAGCCATCATAATGTTATGTCCAACATCTTGTGCCCATCTAATCATAACAGATTTCACCGTTTCATCCTGAGTATTCCATTTCAACAGCAAATTATACATTCTTGACAAATTCTTAGTTTTGGGTTCTAACAGTTCTGTTTCCAATTTTGATTTTTCCACCTGGAAGCCAATTTTTTTATCCAAATTATATGCCTCCATTATCTGATGATAATAATAAAGCCAATCTCGCACTCTATTTTTTAATTTTTCTAAACTCTGCAGTTTTAATCTGTCTCCCTCTTGTTCCAAAATTTCCCAATATTTCGGCCATTTAGCCTCCATATTGAGCTTTTTCTGAGCCTTCGCTTCCATTGGTGACAGCTATCTTGGGGTTTTATTCTCAAGCAAATCCTTATATCTTATCCAAACATTAAACAGTGCTTTTCTGACAATATGGTTTTTAAACGCTTTATGTGCTTTGACCTTATCATACCATAAATAAGCATGCCACCCAAAGACATTATTAAAGCCTTCTAAGTCCAACACATCAGTGTTCTCAAGAAGCATCCATTCTCTCAGCCAGCAAAAAGCGGCTGATTCATAATAAAGTTTTAAGTCTGGCAGGGCAAATCCACCTCTTTCCTTAGCGTCAGTTAATATCTTAAATTTTATTCGAGGTTTCTTGCCCTGCCAGACAAATCTAGAGATATCTCTGCCACTTCTTGAAACACTCCATTTTATCTAGTATTTGCAATGTTTGAAACAAAAACAACATCCTTGGCAATGCATTCATCTTTATCGCAGCAATTCGGCCTAGCAATGATAACTTCAGATTTGACCATATTTCTAGATCCTTTTTCACTTCCATCCAACATTTTTCATAGTTATCCTTAAACAAATTCACATTTTTAGCAGTCATGTTAACCCCTAGGTATTTCACTTTCTTAACCAATGTTAATCCTGTCTCCTTCTGAAACCTTTCTCTCTCTGTCACTGTTAAATTTTTCTCTAAAACTTTAGTTTTCATCTTATTAAACTTAAATCCCGCTTGTTGTTGTTGTTTAGTCGTTTAGTCGTGTCCGACTCTTCGTGACCCCATGGACCAGAGCACGCCAGGCACTTCTGTCCTCCACTGCCTCCCGCAGTTTGATCAAACTCATGCCGGTAGCTTCAAGAACACCATCCAACCATCTCATTCTCTGTCGTCCCCTTCTCCTTGCGCCCTCTATCTTTCCCAACATCAGGGTCTTTTCCAGGGAGTCTTCTCTTCTCATGAGGTGGCCAAAGTATTGGAGCCTCAGCTTCAGGATCTGTCCTTCCAGTGAGCACTCAGGGCTGATCCCGCTACTTGTCCAAATTCTTGGATCATTTCCAGTACTCTTTTGGTACTAGATTCTGGCTCCTGTAATGTCAATACCAGATCATCAGCAAATGCTTTCAGTTTGTACTGTTTAGCTCCAACTTGTATACCTTTAACTGTTTGGTCCCTCCTAATCATATTTAAAAGAACTTCCAGGACCGATATAAAAAGCAATGGAGAGATTGGGCAACCTTGTCGTGTTCCTTTCTCTATCTTAAATTCTTCCGTCACTACATTGTTCACAATTAATTTAGCCTTTTGTTCTGAATAAATTGCACCTATACCATTTTCAAAACCTTGACCAACCCCCATCCCCTGTAGGTTTTTCTTCATAAAACTCCAAGAAATATTGTCAAAGGCTTTCTCCGCATCCACAAATATCAAAACTGTTTTAGTATTAATATTCACTTGTAACTTTTCTAGAATGTTAATTATATTTCTCGTGTTGTCAGACAAGTGTCTGCCCGGGAGAAAACCGGCTTGGTCTTTATGGATTTCTTCTACTAGTACCTTTCTTAATCTTTTAGCCAAAATATCTGCAAAAAATTTATAATCCACATTAAGCAAAGATATGGGGCGGTAATTCTTAAGCTGTGTCTTCTCAGACTCTACTTTCGGTATAAGTGTGATGTAAGCTTCCTTCCACGACTCTGGCGCCCTTTTCCCTTCCAATATTCCATTACAAACTTCTTTTAATGGCTGAGATTTTTCTGCATTGCTAAATCATACAATCAGCATTTCACATTTGAAGATAGGGACATGGTTGTAACAGTCCCTTTCCAATATGAAGGATTAATGCCTGCACTCTGTCCACCTCACCCCACTCTATTGCACATACTGTTACATATCACTGAAAGTTTTTTCACCTGCTGTATAGTATCAGTTTGCCCACTCCGATTTAAAGTATAAGGTGTTGGGGGTTTTTTTTTGGTTTTGTTTTGCCAGTGATTAGTATCAGACTAGGATGGGGAGCAAGGATCAAATTGGATGTCTTTGGGCCAGTCACTATCGTTCATCCTAACGTACCTCACAGGGGTGATGTGAGGATAAAAATGAGATGGTGTATGCCTCCTTTAGCTTTTGAAGGTGGAAAGGTAGAATCAGTGCTGTTTTTCTAGAAAAAAGAGTGCTGGAACTCACCACGAACGCCTCCCTTGTTCTTTTATAATGCCAATGGTGCCTACCTGAGAGGTGCTGGAACTGAGTTCCGGCTGAAAAAAAGCCCCGAGTGGAATATATATTTAATTACATAAATCCCAGTCCTCCATCAGAGTCAAGAAAGGTTCAAGCTCTGGAAGGGTAATGATTACCTCCCACATTGAAATACTTTTGAAGTCTGTTTCTTGGATTAGAAATCTAGGAATGTTGTGTTCAAAGCATTGGTTGCAGCCAGAATGTACTTCAAGCCTTCGTGGAAGTTGTGGTGTAATAGAAGGGAGGGATCTCTGGACCTCCACATGTTGAATTTCAGTTCCCAACATCATCCCTGACCATTGGCCACAGGTTCCCCACTCCTCCTATAGAAGTTCAGGTCCAAGCAGAACCTTGGACAGTTGCAAATGGCATTCAGGCTCACACATGTATGGCCAACTCAAATGTTGCTTCAGCGGTGGTTTAGAGTTCCCTGAGGCTTAAATAGGGATGCTGCTCAGAGTAATTAGCTCCACCATCACCCTGAAAAATGGCTTTTGTAATTAAATAAGTTTTTCTCAGTTGAGCTGGGAATTAGTTCTTATGGTGCCATGGAGACTGACTCTGTTGCTGCTTTCAAGATGAAAGCATAAGGTTAGTGTTACATCTCAGGAGGTTCACATGTGCTGCAGAGTGAGAGTGGGATCACTGAGGATACATGCTGAGGACAATTTCTTCCCTCTACTCTGGCTCCTCAGAGTCTCTGGGCTCACTCGCTGAATGAGGTGAGTTTCAACCTGATATCATGACTAGGAAATCTTAGAAAATGTCTACTCTTCATCAATGCTGGTACCAGAGGGGTGCAGAACAAACACACATAAACTGCAACCAAATCATAAAATTAACAAGATATGCTAACAAACAAAGCAGCTAAAAACAACATCAGGATAATAATCACCTTACATAACCTACAAATAAGTAAGTCTTAACCTAGTGCCGAAATGATGACAGTTCACAGATAGAGTGCCGCCTCTATTCCCGCATCACCATAAAGTGAGCTTCCCTCAGTGATAGAAAATTGAGGCTAGCAAGGTCCAAAAATATTAGTACATGAATAGGGAGAGGTGCTTCTTTAGTTATGGACTAGTCTGAGAAATGCATAAACTGAAGACTCGTATCTGACAATGCATCAAGTGATGATCTGCATGTGGGAATAATGTTTTGTGCAGAATGCACAAAAGATATACATTTCCTACAAAAAAGACACAAAATTTTGGATTCCTGAGTATGCTAAAGCTATCCAATATTAGAAGCTCTGGGGAAGGCAGCTGTCTTTAAAAAAAACAAAAAACAAACCACAGGTTTAGTTACAGGTAGGTAGCCGTGTTGGTCTGCCATAGTCGAAACAAAATAAAAAATAAAAAAATTCCTTCCAGTAGCACCTTAGAGACCAACTAAGTTTGTTATTGGTATGAGCTTTCATGTGCATGCACACTTCTTAGGTTTGTTTTGTTTGTTTAAACCACAGGTTGCATGTGGGGAAAATGTGAAGCACTACATAAAGAACTTCCATGTAACCTCAGTGTTTTTAATAGAGCTAATTAACAGTTTAATTAGCATGCAGAGTCAGATAGATAGCTATGTTGTTCAGTAGGTAGATAATGCATGTTGCTGAAGAAAGCAACAGTTATTTCATTCAGTATATACATTATTTTTTTCTAAATATAGGCCAGTTATCAGAAGCAATACAACAGTGGAATGCTGAACCAAGATGCTGCCCAAACATTAATAGGTGCAGCAGAAAGCTATGTTGATATTGAAGGAAAGTAAGTGCTGTATTTTAAAGAAAGAAAAAGATAAGTGCTGTATGATTTTTAATGTTATTGTTACAGACATCCCACCAACCACCTGAATGAAGATCACACACTACTGATGGTTCATGGAACACAGTTTGGGAACCACTGGCCTTAGAACACAAGTTCATAACCTAATAATGCAATCTGAAGTACATAGGGAAACGTTTAGTGAGAATTGCCTGAGAGTCCAGTGGAAGTGCTTATCTGGTGTCTGGACTCAATAAAGAACTGGATGATGACTTGTAAACTGAAGCTCAACCCTGACAAGATGGAGGTCCGGTTGGCATTTATATTAGAGCAACTGAGACAGAGTCCTGTGGTAATTGCCACATGTTGAACCAAGGACAGGGCTGTGGTTATGACTGCCCACTTTGCAGCACTTAGCCCACTTAGCACTGTGGCTTGCTGAGCCTGCACAGATTGATTGTTCTCTTTGGCTGCAACTGCATGTTTTGAGCCCTGGGTTGCAGGAGCCTTTGCCTTTGAGAATGCCTTCTGAGTACTGTCTGCAGCCTTTGGGGGTGGGCAGTTTCATGTCAGGCAAGACATATTTGTACAAGCATTAAAAAAAGATGCTCCAAACACCTGAAAAAAATGGAGGAGAGTAGTGGCACTAAAACACAGGTGGGGAACTTGTGAGTAGAGAGTTGCCTTAGTTGAGTTGCTTTAAAAGAATGAAAACATATATTCGTCAACTAAAGCAGTCTTAGCCACTTGCCAAAATACCTTCAGCTGGCATGCAAAAAAAAATGGGTCGTCCAGCAATTCATTAATGGCATTTATGTGATCAGCTAAGAGCAATGGAACCCTAATTCCTTTAGTCTCTGGTGAATCTCCTCAGTACCTGATCAGCCCCACCCCCAGAATCTTGAATTGGGGGAAGCCAGCTCTCCCTTGTATCACATCCCTAAAATTCCCGTACACAGAGGGGAATTTGATCATCAGCTCACTAGAATTTGTCAACAGTTTAGAAAGGTAGGACAAGAGCTGAGAATTGAGCCCTTCTCACCAGGATGGTTTCTTGGGAGCCTGGGACATTCCTTGTGAGGGAGATTCCTTGGTCCTAACTAGGGATGACAGAGAGATTTGATTTGAGTTATAATTTCTGACCTGAACTTTCTGAAACATCACCGTCCTTCAAAATTGACACTTCTCCAAATATGCAGTATACTTTGGTCAAGTAATGTGTGCAAAAATACATAATGCTGTGGTTAAGTTTGCATAAAAATGCATATCTGGAGGGAGGAAATAACATAAAAAGGCAGTGTTTTACAGCATATTGCTTTGCAAAAGAGTGTATATTGGGCAGAATTGATTGATTTCCCTTTTTGGTGTGAAATTGGATTAGGTCCCTCTTTCAGGGATCCTATAGGCAACTGGCTGAACCTTGTGAAAACGGGATGCTGAACTGACCTTACCTTCGTATGGTCATTATTTTCCTTCTCCACTGATTTTGTATCTTTCTGTTATTTAAAAGTGAAGTTTTGTAAGCAACCTTGACCATTTTTCCTGAAGAGCAGGCTTCTAAGGAAACATTCAGGATTGCATTGTTAATGGTTTTTGGTTTTTTTTATGAAGCAGCTGTCTTGATATCTGTATTCTCAAATTCACTCTATGATAATGTAAGTTGAGATATCTTTAGGATCTTACTATTTTCTTACTATTAGCTTCTCTTCTCAATTACCTTGTCTTAAATATTTTAGGTTTATGAATATTCATGAAGTAAAGACCTATTGGGAAAGCAAAGGAGTGCTGGTAAAGTTGAAGAAATTGCTATCTGATTGGGTTTACAGCGTGAAAGAGGAAACATTTAAGGCACCAAAGTTAGTGTTTATTAATGTTTGCTTAAATATGGTTGATAGAAAAGGTAGTGTGCTTACACAGTAAAATTATACAGACACACACACTCATTTGCTAAGATTAGTAATCAAAATATTGAGCATAGTTGTTGAGGTTTGCTGGGGTTTGGCCACAAGGAATCAAGTTTCCAGTTCTGTGGAAAGCTGACTTGGTCTAGAGGTGAGAAGTTCAGTTCCAGGCAGTTAATCAAGTCCCAAAATGACAAGCAGCGTTCTGAAGGACCAAAAGCAAGTAATAGCAAGTTCCAAAATCAGCAAGTAAGATCAGAGAGCTAAGGCTTGCAAATAATCAGTGCGAAAGTCAGCTGTGTGGGGAAGGGAGGAGTTGGCTTCTCCAGACATGATCCTGCCCAGAGAGGCACATTATTCAAAGTGAAGAGCAAGCTCTGAAGCTTGGATTTTATAAGGCAAGGGAGTTCTAAAGTCTGATGGTGGTGCTTATAATGTAACCCTGATAGATACCTTTGGATGCACAGTTCAGGTTGCAGGAATGCAGCCGTAGTGGCACAGGAGGTTAGGCTCGGGAGGTGGGGGCGGCATGGCTGAGTGCTGGGAGCCCTGAGTCTAGATTTCTCTTGACAGTGGTTCATATCCCTGTGTGTGCAGGTGGAGATCAGTATAGAGCTCAATTGAGTCTTCTTTCCAGCCAGTGTTCTGGCCCAGTTCTGAGCATAGGAGCTGTCAGCATTCTCCGCTGACTCCCTACTCTTTAGTCAGGGAAAGGGGGCTGAGGCTGAGAAGACATTGATGACAGTGATGGGTAGAAGATTGGATGCAGAATTCTACTTTTGGCTTTGCCAGCATCATGTTTCTTTGGAGCAAGGTCAGTGTTGGCAAGAAAGAAAAGAATACAAGTGTGTTGTTGTACTGTTCTTCCTCTGATACCTCTGGATACCCCCTTGTTTGAGAAGTGAGTGAGTGTCTCAAACAGCCCATACAATTATGTATAGTTCTGTTGGGAAATCCCCCATTTCCAATGGGGAGGGGTGCCCAGTTTTAGGAAAGGAAGAGGAGCAGGACTCTTTTGCACACTTTTTCATTCTTCTCATTTAGCTTCACAAGACTCCTTAGCACCTCTAGTTGTTCCTAAATTCCTGCCTGTCTATGGGTCTTATCATACATTTTTAAATAGTCTAATTACCCGTGTATGGTATGAACAAGTAAATATAATGTAGTGGTCAGAATTTTCTAAATGATTTGGTAACTAATCAAAGCTCAAAATTTTATTCTCCTCCCTCCCCAGAAACAAGTTTTTAAGAATGTGCCACCATATGGTATTCATGGATGAATTTGAATATATAAGTACCATGATGACATTTTTGAACTGTGTCCCTATCGTTCTTCACTTTATACCAAAGTATTCTTCAACATTTATTCTAGAACTAAAAGTGTGCAACTACTATTATCTGGCTTTGTATATAATGGAAGCATTATTTAAGGTACTGGCTATTCAAAGTATTACAATATTTGTATTAACTGTATTTTTAATTATTGACTTTGTTGTTGTTGTTTAGTCGTTTAGTCGTGTCCGACTCTTCGTGACCCCATGGACCAGAGCACGCCAGGCACTTCTGTCTTCCACTACCTCCCACAGTTTGGTCAGACTCATGCTTGTAGCTTCGACAACACTATCCAACCATCTCGTCCTCTGCCATCCCCTTCTCTTTGTGCCCTCAATCTTTCCCAACATCAGGGTCTTTTCCAGGGAGTCTTCTCTTCACATGAGGTGGCCAAAGTATTGGAGCCTCAGCTTCATGATCTGTCCTTCCAGTGGACATATAATCATTATTGACTTACATTTTTACAATATGGAATTTGAATTTACTTGACCAACAGTGTGAAATTGAAACTCTTGTTTCTTGGAAATATCACACCCTGCTCATTCTTTTTCTTCAGTTAATGTTCTGATTCTTGCTGTAGCTTAAAAGAAACAACTATAGTTGTGTTGACTGAGAGTTGATCCCTCTCCTCTCTTGATCACCTCCTGCAAGATCACAGAGATGTCTGTGTATGAGGAGACCTCCATATTGACAGTCCCTTTTCCCATACACTCGAGTTGTGTGCAAAGCTGCCTGTGAACATTATTGCAGTCAGTGGAGCTCACGCCCTCCCCATTAATTCTATTTGGTTAGGTTTATAGAATTGTGTTGTGTCTATGCTTTGTGTTTGAAAACTTAGGAATAACTTTCCTCTGCTGTTGCCTCTACAGCAATTTAGAGAAGTACATAAAGGTTAATCGTAGACCTATTCTCCATGAATTTATTTAATCCCCTTTTAAGGTGGTCTAAGGTTGTGGCCATCTCAGAATCTTCTGGCAGTGAATACCGTACATTAATGTGGAGAGCAAATCAATGCTAGGTGAGACCAGAAGTCTACCATCCTGTTTCCCACAGTGGCCAACCTTGTGCACTTGTGCAGGGCCTGAAGATACTAGGTTCTCCAATTGTTGCTTCCCACCAGTAACTGGTACTGGTACTGGTTTCCATTCACCTGGTTTGGAGAGATTTTTTTGAAGCCCTTGTAAGTTCTCTGGGGGTTTCATTATGCTGAATAATTTGGCGTATTGCAAATTTGTCCACATCATGACTTATTCCATGTCATTTGTGAACCAATTAAAAACACCAGTCCCCAATACAGAACGTTTTGAGGCTCCTCTTCTTACTACTAGTAATTGTTTTTATTATGTTAGGTGCTTTGGAAGCCCTGTGAATTGAGGAGTAAAATGCTTAATACACACAATGTTTGATGTCAATTAAATATTTGTTTTAAACAGGCTTTTGCAATGGGGAGGACCTACATCTTTTACCACTGGAACCAGTTTGATCTTATAATCATAGTAGTGGGAGTTGTAGATGTCATGATTATTAACCTCTTTAAAACACTCAGTACAACGTATCATATGATTAATACTATCAGGATATTTCGGTTTATTCGTGTTTTAAGAATTCTGCGGCTCTTTAAGGTAAAAAAAATTGATCATTTTTTCAGTAATGTGTTACGCTTTGTTAGTAGAAAACTATATTTTCTTCTGTGGTTCAGGAATTGGGTATTTTTTTGGGTGGGGGGAGAACCTTCTGTTGACAGACAGGACTTCTAGAAAAAATGACATCGTTGGGAGGGGCTTTTCCTCAATTCCTATGAATGACTTCACTCAATTCCTAAGCTGCCTTGAGTCCATGTCAGGAAAAAAGGCAGGGTATAAATAAATATAATAATAATAATAATAATTCCCAGAGCAATCCTGCTTCACTAGAATGTAGCAGGCACTTGGCATGAGTTGTAGCTGAGCGTTTGTGACATTGTTTTAAAAGCAGCTTATTGAATTTGTGGAAGATATAGTCCTATGGTCCTGGCTGGGTAATGTTGAAGGAGCTGTAATGGTCTGGTATGACCATTAACTGTGCAATACATGATATATGTATATTTTAGTACATTATGTATTTCAGCTTGTGATACCTAGAACGATTTATTTATTGGAGAAACAAATAAACAGACAGCTCACTTTCCGGTATGATATCGCTAAAGGATATGTTCAAGGTGAAGAAGATACAAATTGTTTAATTGGACAGATTGCTGGCCATGAGAGAGTTTATCAAGTGAGTACATGACTTCACATTTTAAGCAGAAAATTTCATCACTTGTGATACCATTCCTTAAAGCAGGGACGAGGAACCTGTGGAACCAGATGGACTACAGCTTCCATCATACCTACCCATTGGCCATACTGACTGGGGTGGTGGAGTGCAACAATATCTGAAGAGCCACAGGTTCCCATTTTCTGCTTTAAAGAGTCGATAATATATTTTGAGAAGAACTCTTCACAAGGGGATTACAGGCTATTTTGTACTTGTAAAAAGCTCAGAGCACACGGAAGTAGTTCAGGCTAGTAGAATCTAAAAAAATATGAATGTAACAAGATCAAGATAAGAGAACTGAACCTTAACGAAACAGCTTGGTTTCCGTCAAGCAACCACATTAATTTTAAGTACCATAGGATGATGCCCTCTGAAGTAGTAGAGAGGACAGCCCCAAATAACGTGGACTGCTCAAAACTAAAGAAATGAATATCTTCCATTTAAATGCCCCTTTCCAAAGTTAAAGAAAAAATGGCTCCCTCCAATGGAACTCAGTTCAGATATAACACTTAGTTGTTAGGAAATGGGAATCATGCCACAGATTTCTCCCCTCCCCATATCTCACTGAAATGAACCAGCATTGCCTGGTGAGTATTGTAAACCATGGTTTGTATTCTAGCTGGAATCTGCTTTATAGTTGTCTTTATTTTAAGTGCTTTAAGCATTTAGGTTGTGGGCAAGAATAAAATCATACTTAAAAAATAAGTACAGAAATACGTATGTACTATTAAAAATTGGTATAATTATTCATTAGTGGCTATAGATATGTAATTACCTTTCAAGGAAACTCGAGTTCTGTTTAACATATAAGGTGTATTTTCTCCCTTTTTACAGGAAATACATAGAATATTGGAAATGAACAAACAAGAGGCTATGAAAGAGTTAGGTAGGAATATAATGAGGTATACAGTGGTGCCTCGGGTTACAGACGCTTCAAGTTACAGACTCTGCTAACCCAAAAATAGTACCTCGGGTTAAGAACTTTGCTTCAGGATGAAAACAGAAATCGTGCTCCGGCGGCGCAGGCGGCAGCAGGAGGCCCCATTAGCTAAAGTGGTGCTTCAGGTTAAGAACAGTTTCAGGTTAAGAACAGACCTCCAGAACGAATTAAGTTCTTAACCCGAGGTACCACTGTACATACAAATTGTTCTGGGTAGTTCTTGAGAAATAATTTATACTTATTTAATTCCAATTTCCAAAACTTTTATAAAATTCTGAGGAAAATTTAAAGTCCTAAGATATTGTATTTATTATTAAGACTGCTCCTGCTCCTCTTGAATTCAGGAAACAGGCAGGGTTTTTTTGAAATGGGGTTACTTACAGCATAAGTAAACAGCAAAGGGGATCATTGTGGCAAACAGTATTTTCAGGCAAGAAATGTTTGATCCCAACTCAACTGAAAGAAAATTGTTTAGGTAACTAATATTTTAATTTGTTTTAGGGTTAATGCAGCGTGATTATCCAGAGATTGTCACAGGCGTGAAAACCAAACAAGCAGTCCAAACAGTGCTAAACACAGCTTCTGAAACACTAAAGTTTATGATATCGGGAGGAATTGTTGACAAAACTGAAGGTGCTGAACTACATAAGGTAATTTTTAAAATCCACACCTATGTATATATCTGTGCCTAACTATAACTGTATCACCATATCTTTCATTAGTAGATTAATGTCCTACCTTTTGACTAGAGTTTCCAAAGCAGCTAGGAAAACCCTCCTGGAGCACTGCTAAAACAGCCCCACTAGAGCAGGAGCTGCAACAAAAGTTCCTTTCCACAGTGCAGTTGCTGTAAGTTGCAATTGGCATAGGACTGACTGTGTATACATGTGTATACAACTTACACGTATATTATGAGAAAGCAGAAAGTAGCAGTGAAAAACAAGTTATGCAGAGTATACTTGTACATTACAAAATACACAGTTGAGATCAAAATGGAGTCAGGGCTCAGGACTAGCATCCTTTCCCATCAGCTACATGACAGAGAAAAAAGACTGAGCTCTGAGCATGGAGGAGGTAGTAAGGATTATTTTCCCATTGTTACTTTTCTTGCTAGGGCAAGCAAAGGATGTGACCTCACAGAATGCCCTCTCTAGGAATTTACAGGGGGGAACTCCATGTGTCTTAACCCTTTGCTTACTTAGCAACACATGACGTTTTATTTTCGCTGCAATCATTTCCCACAGTTCTGGACTAGTTTCTGTAGATTGTAAGATTACTTTTCTTCTTTAGATGATTCTAATTAAAAAACAACAGCTTGCAACACTTCCATCTACGATTGCACCTCCTACTGCACAAGAACTTCTGCGTAATGTCATTTGGCTACAGAATGACAAAAAACAGGTAGAATACATTCAGGTAAGCATTGTCGTAAAACATATTTCTATGCTTAAAAATAGTCTGTGTCTTATTTATACAAGGCCCCAAGAATGTAGATCCTTCATTCCATGGGAGATTTCCGATCCTGCTCCACTCATCAGGAGCTACCTGGCCGACTGGCCAGCCAGCCTTGCATCCGTGCATTGAATTTGTCATCTGAATATGATCTGTTATCTCAGAATCCAAGGCTCGTCAGCCCACTCTTTTTACTCTTATTGCACAATTACTACTCCTTGATTTTGATGTGTAATATTTTTCATTTGTCCGGTGCAGTCAGATTGTACACAGAGAGAGCTTATACATTCAGATTCAAAGGAATGTAATGCATCATTATGTGTGTCAACCAACATTTATTTCCAAAACCCATCCCTATTCATTGCTTTCTACAACCTGACCTCCCATCTTCTGAAAACTGCTGCTGCTTTAACAAAAAAAAATCATTTTTTCTTCATTCTCACTTCCTGTGATACCTTGGCCTTACAAAGATAGAATATCTCCATGTGAGATGACCACTTTTTCTATTTTTCCCATTGGACTCTGCTACCCTGACCAGTGTGCTGGGAGCTCCTGTCCCCACCCATCTCTCATGAATGTGTGATTTTCTTATTTACTCCCTATGTTTGACTATGTGTTTGGAACCCTGCCCTGGGATAAGGGGAGCTGTTTTTGAGGGGTGATTTTTGAATGGGTAACATGACACCCTTCTCCAATGTCTCATCTTATCAAAATGACAATCTTCTGGTGATTTTTTTGTTGTTTTAAAATGCTTAGACTTTTTTATGCATATGTGTATACTGTCTAAGTTGTCCTTGAGTTTTTCACTTATATAAATATGTCAGTATTTCTGTTTAACCTTTAATCAATGTGAACATTTTGTAGGCTTTGTATTTCAATTATCTATTTGTTATTTGACATTTTAATGAATAATGATGAATAGGATTTCAAGATGTCTAACTTTCTGAACCCAAATGTTGGTTAATTTTTCACTGCCTCAAACCAGATACTGTTGTCTCTCTCAAGTGTTATGTTTCCATTTCTCAAAACATCTTTGTCGTAGATTTGCAAAGTTTTTATCAGTTTCCTATAGATTGGAAAACACAATGAATGACTACTATTAATGACATTTACAAGTTATGCCTTTCCAGACACACCATAAAACTACCATGCACATTTAAACTGTCTCTTTTACATATCTCACCTTTATGTTACATAGTCAGAATACTTTTAAACCTTCTATACTAAGATATAATAGATATCCAATCAGTATTCCATTTGTTTATTTAAAACTTTTTAAATAAATTGAATGTATATTTGCTGATTCTTCAGGTATTATCTGCCCATTATCTTTCTGCCATATATCTATAAAACATCTTACACTGCAGTCTACTTATTATAAAATGTTGCTGTAAATAGTACTCCTTTGCTGTCCTCCCAAAGTAAGTTTTCAGAAATATCTTAAGAAATCTTAAAATATTTATGTCCCCTCATTTTGTTGGCATACTTAATAATGTACTGTGTGTCTTATGCTCTGTAATACTTTCTATACCATGTTCATTTATTTGCTATTTTCAGAGAAAAGCAACAATTCTTTATTATGATTATGGAGATATGATATGTGAGGAAGGTGAATTACCACAAGGAATCCATTTAATTGTATCAGGAATGATAAAGGTAAATGATAGTTATAGACAAAATACCTGAGCAACATAAATAACTGGCAAGAAAATAGGGACATCACAATGGTGGAGAATATTATACTAAATATAATTTATAACTTTTTACTGCAAGTCTTTAGCACACTTTTCTTGACTTTAACTTTTTATAGGGATATATATGGTCATGACTTATTTTTTTATCTGCTTATGCAGCTGTAACATAAATAGCACCTTTTTGTCACTATCACCACCAACCTATAAACCTGTAAATGGATTATGTGGGGAAATCAATTGTCCACATCCACTTTTGCCTCATGAGGGAAATTCCACACAGGTTGAAATATTCAAGTTGCTACGTTCATATGAGTAAGATTTTCCTTTCACCTATTGCCCAAATATAAAGCTTTGTATCCTTGCTGTCACCAACAGGGAAAGGGAGGAATTGCCAGGTAAATGCTCCTGTACATTTATTTGAGACTGTGAATGTCCCTTGCCCTCCAAGTGCTTCTCAGACATTATTTCTCTTGTTGGCTATGCGTAAAAAGTCCCAATTCTTAGGAGTCCTTTTGGACTATCACAGTCACAAATCAGAAAAGGGTTTTCCCCTTTCTTTTCTCAGACGCATAAGAACCACAAGAAGAGCCTGCTGGATCAGGTTGACAGCACATGTAGTACAGCATCCTGTTCTCACAGTGGTCAAACAATTGCCTGTGGGAAGCCAGCAAGCAGGATTTGAGCACAAGAGCACTCTCCCCTCCTGCAGTTTCCAGCAACTGGTGTACAGAAACATTGCTGCCGCCAGCTGTGAAGGCAGAGCATAGCCACCATGGCTCACCGTGACTAGTAGCCATCAGTAGCCCTGTCCTCCATGAATTTGTCTCATTCTTTTTTAAAGCCAACCAGTTGGGTGGTTATCTCTGCCGCCTATTGGAGTGAGTTCCATAGTTTAGCTATGTACTGCATGGAGAAGTACTTCCTTTTATCTGTCCTGAGTCTTCCAACATTCAGCTTCATTGTATATCCACAAGTTCTCGTGTTAGGAAAGAGGGAGAAAAACTTTCCTCTATTCACTTTATCCATGGTTCTAGATTCAGGTAGGTAGCCGTGTTGGTCTGACGCAGTAGAAATAGATAGATAGATAGATAGATAGATAGATAGTCCAGTAGCACCTAAGAGACCAACTAAGTTTGTTTTTGGTATGAGCTTTCGTGTGCATTGCATGCACACACACACGAAAAGTCATACCAAGAACAAACTTAGTTGGTCTCTTAGGTGCTACTGGACATTTAAAAAAATATATATTTCCACTTTATTCATGCCATGCATAATTTTATAAACCTCTTATCATGTCACCTCTTACTCTCCATTTCTCTAAACTAAACAGTCACGAATGTTGCATCCTTTCTTGGCATGGCAATTTGTAGTCGCTTGCATGAAAGGCCTCTTCTTCTTCCCTCTCCTTTCCCTTTTCCAACTCCTATACTGGCAAGGACAAATTTTATTTTAATTTAAATGCAGCTGCTGTGCAAAAATGTTTCTCTGCAAATGAGCTGTTTATAAAATAAAAATACCACAAACTGATGGAAAAAGGCAGGCTCCATCATTTCCTTTGGAGTGATGGAAACAAAATGAAAGTAGTGGATGTGGCAACAGAAGGCACTAAGCAAAATGTCACCACCACAGTTGTAAAAAAAAAGCCCATCCATACAATGTGGTTCAATGCATCCACAGTTGAATAATGTGCAATTTTATTTTGGATTTTATTCCCATATCAGATTATCTGCTGATTGGGAAAATCCAAATTTAGCAGGGGGGAAATGTGGAAACTTGGATGAGAAGGTTGGCTTGTGGCCATTGCAAAAAAATAAAAATAAAAATAAAAACACAAACAGCTTCAAATCTTAACTCTGATGTAGATGAACCCGTTAACTGGCTACAGTGATCCATGCTCTTATCACCTACCTGAATTATTTAAAATTCATTTACGTTTTGGTTTCTTTGAGGAAACCATTTCCCCCCATACATTATGTGCCTTCTCATGCACTTCACTGAACATCAGGTCCTGCTCTGCGTCCCTCTGCTAATTGAAGTTCGGCGGCTGGACACAATGAACAAAGCCTTTTCAGTTGTCCTGATTCTTTGCAATGAGCTCTGAGCAGCCATAGGATTGCTTCCTTATTTCCAGTATAGAGGTGTCCTTACAACAGTTGTATGAATTTAGACAGAGACGAGCCCAATATCATTTTTGCCTGATCAGCCCTCTTTCTCCAGTTTTTGCCCCAATTCTCATGATATGTTTTATATTGCTCCCTGTCCCAGCCCCTACAAGCTTCACAGATGCCTCTGGCCTCTTCTGAGCTTGAACAGATACTTCATGTTGTAATTCAACCTTTTACCTAGTGGCTTTCTCAGCTGTCCCTTCCTGTTGCTCCTGTTAATAAAATCAGTCATATAGGAATAGAAATAGCTTTGAATAGGATTTTTAAAAACTGTTCAAATCCCCAGAATACTGAAGCTGCTATGTTTCCAATTCCAAAACTCATGTATTTTTGGAAACATCCAGTGATGTCTACCTGCTTGCACAATGGCACTTCCAGTTTCTGTGTTTCCCCTCCCCACTCCTGGTCATCCCGAAAATCTGTACCAGAGTGTCCCACAGTTCTCTGAAGCAGATTTTGGGAGCATACGGGGAAAGAGAGAAGCGAGTGGGTGCCTTGCATGAGTGACTGTCCACTTGCACCATGTTGGATCTCACTCTTAGTAAATATAATTTTTCAAAAATATCAAAAACTATTTTGACATATAAACAGCAGAAGAGTCAATATGGAGCTTAACATCCTGTTATATTTCAAAGTATCTTTTATTGTGGCTAAACAATGGTCAGAATTGTTCCCTCGTCTTTGTATGCTAATTTAAGTATACCACAGTGATCGACATATGTTTATTGCATGAAAAAGTGGAACACGTGCACGCACACAACTTATATTAAATCTTCACAGGCTTTTCTTTTTTGCTTTCCTCTCCTCCTAATTGTCATAATGTCTTGGCTTAAGTAATGATAGCAATTTCGTCTCCCCCTCATATACAGCCTTCAGATAAAAAGGACAAAATACCTTAGTTCACCTCAGCAGAAAAAAATAGTAAAATAACAGTAAATTACTTTTAGACTTTCATCACCTAATTTTTTGCTTTGCCTGGAGAAGTCTTTTTCCTCCTCAGCTTTTCTGAATTTATAATAATAAAGAAGGTTATGATTAATTTGCGGATAAAGTAACCCTTCTACAAATGTACCCTACTCAATAAATGAACAAGCTGCTTACATTAATTAAAGTAATGTCATCCTGTGCCCAAATTGCTTGTGCTAATAAGGCAAATTGGCAACAGCAAGCATTAAGCGTGATTAGTCATATGTATCTAATGTCATCACCAGTGCCTATAATTGTCTGCATAGAGAGAATTTCACATCTGTTTTAAATCATTTGTATGGTCTCTGAAAATGATGTTCATTCCTGTATTACATGAAATACATTCTTCAGATCTTGTGTTGCATCATAAAATTGGTTCATAATTTAAAACACAAATTACTGGATACTGAAATGGATAGTACTTTTATTTAGACCTATAGCCTGCCAAATGCTCAGGAATTCCAAGTAGGTAGTAACTTTATAAAATAAGACCAGTGAGACAAGAGTTAAGAAATTCAGCTATATGTGAACTATATGCTTATCCCAAGCTTGCCAGACCCCATAGGGAAATTGTCAGTAATAGTGGTAAAAGTTCCATCAGCTGTGGTGCTTAAGGAGGTATTCTCTTTTTTATACAGTGGTACCTCAGGTTACAGACACTTCAGGTTACAGACGCTTCAGGTTACAGACTCTGCTAACCCAGAAATAGTACCTCGGGTTAAGAACTTTGCTTCAGGATGAGAACAGAAATTGTGCAGCGGTGGCGCAGCAGCAGCGGGAGGCTGCATTAGCTAAAGTGGTGCTTCAGGTTAAGAACGAACCTCTGGAACAAATTAAGTTCTTAACCTGAGTACCACTGTACATCATTGCTTAACAGGTTGTAGTGCTTGGAAACAGTAAAGAACACTCCAGTTTGCTAGCAGTAGTTGTGCACAAGAGAGCGACGTGCCTTTGCAGGACAGTAGAGTATCTGCTAGAGCTGGGCAAAGCCTCTCTGATTTGGTTTGGGGCAGTGTCGTTTAGTCGTGTCCGACTCTTCGTGACCCCATGGACCAGAGCACGCCAGGCACTCCTGTCTTCCACTGCCTCCCGCAGTTTGGTCAAACTCATGTTGATAGCTTCGAGAACACTGTCCAACCATCTCGTCCTCTGTCGTCCCCTTCTCCTTGTGCCCTCAATCTTTCCCAACATCAGGGTCTTTTCCAGGGAGTCTTCTCTTCTCATGAGGTGGCCAAAATATTGGAGTCTCAGCTTCAGGATCTGTCCTTCCAGTGAGCACTCAGGGCTGATTTCCTTCAGAATGGATAGATTTGATCTTCTTGCAGTCCATGGGACTCTCAAGAGTCTTCCCTGTTTGGTGTAGATATGTTTGGACTCACAGCAACCTGATTCAGAGTCCAAATCAAGATTCAGAAATCTGAAACTTGCATTCCCCATTGACTTGCATTGGGAACCCAAAATGGTAACCCCCCCCCCAATAAGTGCATGAAAATTGTAGACGTATTAGCCCCTTAAAAGAAAATTTACTCTGCTAGATCTCAGACATATAGATCCAGTGTGTTTCATGCTAGCTATGTTTAAAGTTTGCACGGTCTTTAACATTTTGAAAAAAGTAATTGAGTGCTCTGTTGGAATCCTGCCAAATCTCATGCACCAGTTTTGCTTGCTCTATTAAGATATTTTTTTTAAAAAAATTGATTAAAGGGTGCAACTCCATCTCTCAGGCACCTAAGTAAAAAAAAACCAGACACCCTAGCCGGAACATCTCCCAAGTGCAGAGCTGAATTACTTCCCTGAAAGACAGTGAGGAAGATCCTTCTGTACATGGATACAAAGCCTGACGTTAAAGAACAGAATTTGGGGTGTAGAAGTTGGAAAACAGTTGAAAAGTCAGGAAATTAGATATGCCCATATCTGTTCACAGTATCCATTTCAAATTTTGTGTGGGAGGCCAGTGCACAAAGAACTTGGAGGGCTTTGGTGCATTGTGCACATGTATGCACAGGAAATCAACATATTTTTAAAATAGAACTGGAAACTAGGGGAAATACAAACATTTTCTGTCAGCCAACCCAGAAGTCTCCCAAATGGTCACACCTCCCCCTCTGATTCATAGTGGGCAGCCATGTTGGACTTCATTTTACCTATTTTTTAAGTCTTTGGCAGCCCCACTACTCTCTATGGAGGTACAGATATCACTGCTGCTGAGGAAGACTTGCAATGTGAGAAACAGTTGACTCAGCTCAAATCTTCCCACTTTGCAGTCCAGAGATACATCATAATGATGGTCTTATGGCTCTAGCATAACCTAATTTTGGAATTGGAGCAGGAGGGTCATGTTCCTTCTGTTAAGCACAAGATCTTCAATTGGACAATCTTATATAATGTTACATAAGGCAAATACCATCTAACTTCATAAGAAGGAGCTAAAGAATTTAGCCAAAAGTATGAAAGCCACCATTTGATAGCAAGCAGAACATGTTTCAGAGATGGCTAGCTGGTGTTACCAATGTATCTACATATGTGTTTAAACAGTGCAAGAAATGTGAATCTTGACATGGTCAGCATTTACATGTAGTTGCATTTGTGTGAGAAGAGAAATAAAGATGTATTTATTATTTTTAAGTAAACTTCAATGAGTTCCTTTTGAACACAGTATGACTTACCTCAGCATTAACATGTATAGAATTGCAGTCTTAGTATTGTACTTTTCTGAAAATGTAGCAAGTGTAGATTTTGAAAGCTATTACTGGAACAAGGGTGGAATTCAGGTAGCGCTCAGGCAGTCTTCCCATCAGTGTAAGGATTTCTCCTTGCGCAATGTAACATCCTCCTCCCCATCCCCTTCACCCCTCAACTCTGCTCTAGTGTCCCCCACGCCCTCTGGAGCAGATCTGGGTACAGCATGGGGTGAGAGCAGGGAAATCCCATTGGGTATGCAGAAGTCGTTTTGCCTGTGCAATTATTCAGTTGAATGCTGCCAAAGATCTACAGCAGATCTTACTTTTTTTCTATCTGAGATTAAATATTGTTTTCCTTCCTTTAAAAATTGTTTACTAGCTTTCTGGTTCCATTCCTCGTTATGGAGTTAGCAAAGAAGCTTTTAAAGAAATCCGCGCACGTCTTCCAATCACTTCCTATACAGACTACCTGGTTGCTGGGGCTATAATAGGAGAACTCAACTGCTTGACGAAGCAAGAAATGGAGTATAGCGTTACATGTGAAACTGCTGTGCAGGTTGGAGAATTCTGCTTTCCAATATGTTACATGAAATTCATTTTGCTTAATAATTGGCAATAGATTTAAACTAGAGCGGAAGTGAAATTCTGTGTATTAGTGAAACCTGGTTTTTTACATTTTAATCCAGTTTTGAATTTGGGAATTCTTACAAATTTCGTCTTAGAACATGAGAACATAACCAGCATTCACTTCTCACTGTGGCCAACCAGATGACTATAGGAAGCCCACTAGGAGGACATGAGGACAATAGTACTTTCATGCTCTTGATTTCCAGCAACTATTACTCAAAGGTGTATTGCATCTGACACTGGGGGTAATAATGGACTAGCTGACTAGCTGACAGTGACAACCTTATTCTCCATGAGTTTATGTAATCCCCTATTAAAGCAGTGCAAGTGGATTGCCATCACTACATCTTGTAGTAGCAAATTCCATAAATTTTTCTATGTGCTTTGCAAAGTAGCATTTCCAATTTTCTGTTGTGAATCTTCCAACATTCCGCTTAATTGGATGATCCCCTAGTAATATGAGAGAGAAACATCTCTTTCTCCACATGGTGATAATTACCAGAGTTAAAGGAATGATGGGAATTATGGTACAACATCTGGAGGGTGCCACTTGGTTATCCCTACTGACATGAAAGTTGGGGAAATGGACACAACAGCAAAAGCAGCTAATGAAATTTTGAATTTAGGCTTAAAACAATAAAAACTTTGAACTGAGTCAAATTAGAACTGTATACAGTGGTGCCTCGCAAGACGAAAAGAATCCGTTCTGGGAGTCTCTTCGTCTAGCGGTTTTTTCGTCTTGCGAAGCAAGCCCATTGATGGGATTAGCGGATTAGCGCTATTAGCGCTATTAGCGGCTTTTAGCGGCTTTTAGCAGCTTATCAGCTTATCGGATAAGCAGATAAGCGGCTTAGCGACTTAGAAAAAGAGGGGGAAAAGGGGGAAAAAAACCCAGGAACTCGCAAGACATTTTCGTCTTGCGAAGCAAGCCCATTGCAGATTCGTTTTGCGAGGCACCTCCAAAACGGAAAACTCTTTCGTCTAGCGAGTTTTCCGTCTTGCGAGGCATTCGTCTTGCGGGGCACCACTGTACAAGAGTGGAAGATCTTGAAAATCGCAGCAATCAGCCTGAGAATCCTGCATTTAATCAGAAGAGGTTTCTAGTGAAGTAACAGAGCTGTATGAAAGCAGCCATTAAAAGCATCTGCAAAAGCAAAGTGTATTGTACATAGAAGCAGAAATTACCAGGCAATGTATTTTTCTTTTTAGCAGAAAGGAAGGATTTGGAGCATAAACATAAGTAATGTAACTATGTACAGTTAATAGACAAAAGGAAAGGATTGGAAACACTGGAAATTATGCTGTGGAGAATAGCAATAGTGATTCAGGACCTTACCTTCAGTGGTGGCAGCACTGCAGCGACAGCAGCAGTGATTTGATCTACTATAGCACCTGCCTGCAAGCCACCCACCATCTTGATAGTCCCACAATGCCCGAGTGCAGCTGTATCCAGAGGTTATTGCTGCTGGGATCCAAAGAATCACACAGCTACCTCCATTCATCAAAGAGGTGTTTGGGTTTCCTACACAGTGACCCTCTATTCTAGGAGGCAAATTGCTTTTGAAATTGAGGAGACGTAGCAATATCCTCACTGGGCATGCCTAACATTTTTGTTAGCCTTTGGATCCCAACTACCAAGAGGAATCCTGACAGCAGAAACAATTGTCCCATTGCTATAATGTTCAAATTGGCCCCAGAAGGGTATGGTTTAAAGCAGCAACTTTTCTCTTGTGCGATAATTCTTAAGAAATTTAATTTAAATACAGAAATGTCTCTTTCCCCCTAGGAATATATAATTTAAATGAAATGTAACAAGAATTTTAATTGTGCAGAATTTATCTTCTTTCTTAGAATGTAGCACTCAAAATGTTTGGAAATATGCAAACACCGTTGCTTTGATTAAAGGTTATCATTTCTCATTTTCTTGCTTTATTTTTTCAGACATGTTTTATCTCTATAGATGATTTGCTAGAAGCTTTTGATAAGTTTTTGGAACCCCCCTCCCTAGAATATAAAATATGGCTGAAACTTGCTCTTGATATTGCTCTCAGAACTTTCAAGGAAAACCTTCCTAACCAGGTAGGCACATGTGTTCTTGCATGTGTAATATGTAATACATTTCTGTGTTGTCTGCAGTCACACACAAAAAAACTGTATAGAAATCTACATCTTAAATTTATGTGAGACAATTAGGCATATTTAACTGGTCAGTATTTTACCAATTTTGCAGTGAGTAGCTCCTCCCACTAAAATCAGGCAAAATCACCCTAGTGAGGGTGAATTTTGGAGAATCTGAGCCCTGACCTGAACTGGCTTTTCTTCTGGTGTCCACCTTCTACGCCAGGCATAGGCAAACTCAGCCCTCCAGATGTTTTGGGACTACAACTCCCCTCATCCCTGACCACTGGTCCTGTTAGCTAGGGATGATGGGAGTTGTAGGCCCAAAACATCTGGTGAGCTGAGTTTGCCTATGCCTGGCGTAGAAGGTGGACACCAGAAGAAAAGCCAGTTCGGGTCAGGGCTCAGAGCTGAACATAGGGAGACTTGATGCTGTTGGACAGAAGTCCCCAGAGGAACCTTCTGGACCACTAAGACCTATCGGGCCAGACCCCAGACTCAAGAGGAACCTTCCCTGAGCCTGAAGAACCAAAAGCTTCACAGTGCACATCGTCAATCCAGCAGTGTAAGGAGTGTACCAGGAGGGAGGCTGTGGATCAGAGGAGTGTCCCCCTTCAGGTCAGAGGGTTCACCCTCTTAAGGTGCTGAAGTTTTCTGCAAGGGGGTGGAGCCTAGAGGAGGACGTCCACTCCCAGTCTTCATGTTGCTCACTTGGATCTATCTGTGGTCCAGCAACCTTTTTATTCTCACAACTCTGACATAGGTTGGGCGGAGATACTGTACTGGCCAAAGGTCATCCTCAGTAAGCTTCATGACTGAATGGGGATTTGAACCTATTGTCTCCCCAGTTCTATTCTATACTGGATTGTCTAGAGGAGTTAGACCATGACTAGACTTTAATTAATTCATAACTTGCTTATGGTTGTTGGAATACTAGAAAAAAGCATAACTTCAATCAACTATGGAGTTTGAACTGAAATGTTGATTGGCATTAAAATGTCTAAAACTGACATACAATAAAGGGAAAGTAAAATGGAATATGTGATTTTTGTTGTTGTCTTGGATTAAATAATTGGGTTAATACGATGGCACACCAAGGTTGTTACACATAGTAGATAACTAAAGTGTTGTTACAGCTGAAATGGTGTAATCAAGGTTGTGTAGAGGTGTGGATTTGTTTGCTCATCATTTTAGATTGTCTGACTGGATTGTTGTGTAAAACTTCCATTTTAAACTTTGTTAATAAAAGTGGTCTAAACCACTGAGCCTCTTGGGTTTGCTAATCAGAATGTAGGCAGTTTGAATCCCGACGACGACAGGGTGAGCTTCCGTTGCTTGTTCCCAGCTCCTGCCAACTAGTAGTTCGAAAGCACGCCAAAAAGTGCAAGTAGATAAATAGGTACCGCTCTGGCATGAAGGTAAACAGCGTTTCCATGCACTGCTCTGGTTTCGGTGTTCTGTTGCGCCAGAAGCGGCTTAGTCATGCTGGCCACATGACCCGGAAGCTGTACGCCGGCTCCCTCGGCCAATAAAGCAAGATGAGTGCCGCAACCCCAGAGTCGTCTGTGACTGGACTTAACTGTCAGGGGTCCTTTACCTTTACCTTTTTAATAAAAGCATAATGAGGGGATAACTAAATAGAATACATTCAAAACTATTAACTTGAAAACTAACTGCTTATGCTGGGCAATCTTTTACATAATTTACTTGCTTAGCGAACAGGCCAAGGAAATAATGAAGGTAAGTACGCATACCTTCATTTACCAAGTCATTGTCATATGCAACAGTATAAAACAGAAAGCCTAACAGCACCACTAAATAAAATGTAAATATAAACTTACCAATGCTAGACTGATTTTCTTTGAGCTATTTAAAGTTTAAGCCACTATACTCATATCATATTTCAACTTCTGTAAACAACTGCAGAAACTGTATCATATGACTTTTCATTGTAGGACTGGAATTACAAGATGTGTGTGCAACTTTCTAATATTTATTTGCTGGATGTACCAAACCACACCAAATGTGACATTTTTGATGGGAGTATGGATGAGGTCATTCTTGTACACGGAACTGTTCTAGATTGTCAACTAGGGCAGCGTTACTATGCACCATTTCTTTTACCTAAAACCTGCCATCAGGTAAGGATGTTTGCCCTCTAACTAATTCATAGTATATCTTCAGCACTGGGAAGAGGGGAAAGAAGAGGAAAAGAGTTAGTCTTTGGTGTTTCCAAGTATTTTTTAAAACAAAACAAAATGGTCACCAGAGCAACTGTTCTATTTTAGTGTTACATTGGGACAGTTGTTGGCTTGTACGGAATGAAATTAAATAAATAAATAAATAAATAAATACACACACCCAAATTTAGAAAACAGCTTGGATAAGGAACTTGTGTCACAGTTATTAGTTATATCATGGATATCTTTGAATGAATGTTCACAACATGTGTTAAACCACAATCCATAGATTGCCTCTCATTGCAACATTAACTGCATGCAGGTAAGCAAGTTTCTGCAACCGCATCCTTAGCTGTATCTGGTACATAGAAATGTGCTTCCTGCCACTTGATAGCAGCCACAGCTACTTTGTAGTGTGTTCTAGGGTTTGAATGTGCATGCAAAAATGCATGCTGTTGTAAACATAGTTAGATTGGGGGCATAATGTTTTCTGTGATTTTCTAAAATGTAAGGCAAAGGTAAAGGACCCCTGACAGTTAAGTCCAGTCACAAATGACTCTGGGGGTGCAGTGCTCATCTCGCTTTACTGGCCGAGGGAGCCGGCATTTGTCCGCAGACAGTTTTTCCAGGTCATGTGGCCAGCATGACTAAGCCACTTCTGGCGAAACCAGAGCAGTGCACGGAAATGCTGTTTACCTTCCCGCTGGAGCGGTACCTATTTATCAACTTGCGCTTTTTGGCGTGCTTTTGAGCTGCTAGGTGGGCAGGAGCTGGGACCGAGCAACGGGGGCTCACCCTGTCACGGGGATTCGAACTGCCGACCTTCTGATCAGCAAGCCCAAGAGGCTGAGTGGTTTAGACCACAGCAACACCTTGTCTCTAAAACACAGCAGTGGTATTTCCTGAAGGGAAAACATCTGGACCCCCACAACTTGAAAACTTGCACACGAAAATTAACAGCTGTACATGTATTTGTCTTGGAAGACAATAAAATTTGTAAGAAAAGAAAAAACCATTTCACACCCGAAATTAAAATCCCTAGACCTTCTCCCCCACCTTTATTAATGCAGATTTTCTACTGCTAGGGAAATTAATAGATGTGAAAATGCCAAAGCCTATTTCAAAGTGGAATTTTTTTGAATTTGTTTCTGACATGTTATGTGTCATTTATTGAGTTGAGGGCTTCTCTCCTGTCATGCCTCTCAGTTCTGGTTTGTCACTGCTGAGCACATCTCAGCCATTTTATTTCCAGGAACAGCCATGAGAAGATTGTTGCTGTGCCTTTCTCTGGCAACTGGAGGGATAGCATCAGTCAGGGAAGCTTGTGTGACAAAAATTTTACTTATCCACACACAAGAGTAAGTCATTAGCAGATTCAGAGGAAACTCAGGGTTTACCGAAGTACAAAAAAGGCTTTAGACAAAAATCCTAATTGGGGAAAAATCATAAAATTCATGAGAGTCTGGGGTACAAGGGTGGGATATAATGCTACTGCGTCTTGAAAAAATGTAGTAAGAGAGTATTTGGAAATATTAAGCCCAAACATGCCTCTTGATAATTTTGTGTGTTGAGAGGGTGAGTTGTGGCTCCCCTTATTGAGTATTATTAAAATTAAATTTAAAATTGTACTGAGCCATTATTGTGCTCAGCTTAATTTAACTTTTATGTAGAAGCTATGAAGAAGGCTGCTGCCTGGATGACGTGTTATTCCATCTTTGTATTAAGCTCAGATGAATTAATTTCAAAAATAACAATTACCATGGCAATATTCTAGGTACAAGGCACTGCATCATCAACAAAACTGCTGGTTGTACGAAGTTCAGAGCAAGGAGCACGAAAGAACCCTGCAGCATCCTCAAGCAGCACTGAGGGCCACTATCATTCATCTCGGCGACCTGGTATGAAACTCAAACTCTCAGCCATGCTGGAAGAGGAGAATGGAGCAGGGAGGGAGGACATAAAATTGGCAGTACTCATCATAGGAGTTGCATGGGAGATAGGAGGAGGAATTGGCCAGAACTGCCTCCCCTCCTCTAGCGTGCCTCCTCTGTTGGATCTCAGTTCCTTTCATGAATGAAAGAAGCCTGTCCATTCCTAGATGGGACACACTGGATTCAGCCACAATAAACAGGATAGTTAAAGTCTTCTTACAGGGATTTAATTTCCTGTGAAAATTTACAAAATAACGGGCGAATGTAAACAAGATAAATTTGAAAAAGTTCTGTATTTTAATATTGTATAGGGTTTTTTCTAATTCCCCAAAATTCATGCAAGTTTTAAAGCCCTTTAAACTTTACAGCTGCCTTGGGACATGTTTTTGGAATGAATCTTTCCAGTCCAAGTACAATAAACTCTGATTTGGTAAGTATAAGTGTATATTAAATGTAAACCAAATTTGATTCTTACACCTTGGGTGTTGCTCCAAACCAAATAAGGATTTGGAGTTGCTTGCATGAAAGGCTCCTGTTTCCGTTCTTCCACTTTTTCTTTCTTGCCTTCTATACCTGTAGGGGCATATGATACTATTTTTAATACAGCAGTCTCATGCAAGAGCAGTTCGGCGGAAAAGAAAGGGAGGGGCAAGGCAGCAACAAGATGCATTTGTGCACCAGCAGAGCCACACCAGGGAGTACATTGCAAAGCTAATGTAGGGTCATTCCTTTAGTTAGAAGAACAGTGGGATAGAGGCAAGTTGAAATGTTTAATTCAGAGCAGGGTACTTTCTGGACACAATGTCAACATTTAACACACAATTCATTTGAGATAATAAATACATGAAATACCACATTTAGGAGGCAGGCATTATTCAAACTGGAAACTACTGCAGTGCTTGCTTATGCAAAGGGAATTCAAGCCAGCATGTTAAATTACTAAGACAATTGCTGATTTGTAATGGCAACTAGCAAAATTGAAATACTAGGTTTCTATAATGCAGGATGTGTAAACTTAAATAATTGAGCCTGCAATGCTATATGATGAATCTGTGCCCTCAGTGTCACTGGAGTGCAACTCTTGTTATCCCTGAGCATTAGCTGTGCTACCTAGGTCTAATAGGCGTTGGGAGTCCAACATCATCTAGGCAGCCACAAGTTTCCCACCCCTTCCTCCTGTACCTAGGAGTAAGACCCACTGAACTCAGTGTGACTTACTCCACAGTATAAATGCAGGCATAAAAATTTCATAAAGTGGAATAATGCAAAATATTCTTTGGGTTCTTAGTGACCAAAGTATCTAAAGTCTGGTAGTGTAGCACGGTTCTCTTTTTTGGGCTGTTAATAGGCCTTCCATAAAATGAGACTGCCATCAACTGAATAGGTTGGACTAGATCAGAGGTAGTCAGCCTTTTTATATCTACTGCCAACCAACGCATCTTTCTTGATGGTGCAATTTCCTTACCACCCACCAGTGCTGCAGTAACATGTGCCGTAGAACCCCCTACCGCCCACCTGGAATCCTGAAATGCCCACTAGTGGGCGGTAGGGACCAGGTTGACTACCCCTGGACTAGATGGTCCTTGGGTCCCTTTCAACTCTACAAGTCTATGATTCCACCATCCGCTTTCCTGATAAGACTGCATAAGTAGCTGCAGTATGTTCCATTCTTGAGTTTTAGATATGTAGGGGGGAAACAAGAGAGACTGATTCAAAAGGTCCTGGTTTATCAACAATGTGATAATTGATCAGTTTCAAATCTTTTATTTGGGTATATAAAAAAAGAGTCACACCTACTTAAATCTGATGGATCTCACTTCACTACCAGGTGACTAGTCTGAAAATAAACAAGTGTCTAGTAATCTAGTAATTGTAATAATTCATTTATTAAATTAGATGTTTATTATACTGTATGGAAAATGTAGCTGAGACATTTGACCATGTAATTTTCTCTTTTACAGGAGTATACATATTTAAGCTCAAAAAACCCCAAAGTGAAAAAATAATGAGAAACACATGTCATGTTACAGCACCAGAGAGCAAGGATATGAGGTTTTGTAGAGAAACAAGCTTAAGTGTTAAATATCAGCTTGCTGATGGAGCCAGTTTTTTTTTTATTAGTTAGCCTTTGTTCTGTGAAAGGTTTAAAGTTATACAAAATTTGGCTTAGACATAAGTGCTGGCAAAACAGCGCTGTCCATGTATGCACGCTAATCTAGACTGTTCAAACTGTTTTTAGTTTATCTGATCTTATTTCAGCTGTTGTAATTTGTGTAATAAATTTTAAACTAATTTATGCCTCAATAGAATTCAGATAAACACAGCAATAACAATGCCCATTGATACTGTTTTCAGAATTATTTACCTTTTGATACATGCACAGGTCTGACTGTTTATAGCCACTGATGCTGGCCTCGTGAACAGTTACAAATTCACATTGTCTACAACCACCACAAATATCCTTGGAGCAGATTGCTTTTAAAAGGAGTTAATATACATCACTTGAAAGTGTTTTCAGAAGGTAAACAAACTCTCTGAGAGAGGGAGGTATTTTGTGCCACTACGTATCATGTGGAATGAAAGCAAAAGGAAGCCATGCTCACTCCATGGGAGGGGGGAAGGCGTGCTCCTTTTAGGTACATTAGGATTCGGTAGTCATGAATTAACAGAATATATATTTTTTTAACAAGATGCATCCTGTGATTTAATTTAAAAAACAGATACTTTTAATCAACTCTGAAGCAAGGATAAACCATCAGTGCACGTTATCTCCCATGCACTAAAAAGATCCCAAGTAATCCGTTAAGTGGACTTTGTTGATCCTATAAATCTTTATTTTAAAGTAAATTCCACTGAGTTTAGGATTGTTACCTCAGACTTGCATCCTGAAAAGTATGAGCTGAATTCAATTCTAGCTTACTCCAACACTTTGAAAGGAACATACTGAAATGGAAAGTTTTCGTTTGTGTTTTATACAGCAAAAAGGGGCCTGTTCACTTACTACTCAGTGGGGGGGGGGAATTAAAATTTGGAGATACTTAATCCTGCTCGTCACTTGGCAAAGTTTATCACCTGAAAACTTTGGTGTAATTACCTGGGGATGCAGCTGCAACTAGTAAACATTTTCACTTTGCAAACATTTACAAGTTGGAGAACAATTTAGAAGAGTGGGAATACACCACACCTTTGATGATGAAATCCATTGTGGCATACAAGGTGCCAATACTCATAACTAACCAAATGAATTCCAGTTTCTTTGAAAAAAGCAAAGATGCTATGAGCATGAAAGCATTGGATTTAAACTCTCTTTCTACTTTAAATGGAACATGGGAACTACCAGTGAGCTGGAACTGACTGCATCCACTTTTGTTTTGTAGTAGGTAAGCAGCAACATGTTTCCTGTTTTGCTACTTGATGTAGAAGATCCCTCCAATATAGCGAAATGTTTATTTGAAATGCAGGTGGGAACACTTTACATGAACACTGCATTTTGAAAAGCTAAAAATAAGGGAAGAATAAAATGAAGTACCAGTATACATTTGTCTTTATTTCTGTATGCAATGTAGTATTAGGCACATAGCTTGGGACACTTTCTAAAATAAGTCATTGGCCATTGTTTAGAGTATCCTTTTGGCTTTTAAATACTGGTCAGGAAAACAAATGATGTAAAAATAAATGACTAACTTTCTATGAAAAGAAATAAAAATGGATTTGCATCTAAAAGTGCAAGAGGTGAAGTACTTTAACCCTTTCACCAGACAATGTGGCAATATACATTATATTGCTTGTTTGAGAAGGCGGTTGGAATTTTATGACATAGAAAATTATAAATTACAATTAGTTTCCATAATCACTATATATATATACACAGGCCAGTTATGAAAAAAAAAACTGGTTTAAAACTTACAAATGAAAAACTTCACACAGATCAAAACAGTGAAAGTATAACAATTAACATGCTCAAGTGCCCAATTTTGATATTTAAAAGATATACCTTTAAAACACGAACTGTAATTACATGAGCAGCATGGGCATTTCCTTATATTTAGTTGATTTGTCAAAAGGATTACAGTGTTTTAAATATGAAGATTGTTCCAAAAATGTTTAATTTTATAATGCTCTGAATTAAAGTACATCTTGGTGAATGGGTTAAAAAAGGTGAATCACTTAAAATACACAACAAGCCATGTGCACTTCAAAAATATTCTAGTGTTTCACCTGTAAGGTATTGTTTCAAGCAAACAAAGACTTAACAGAACATATGGCTTTACAGTAACATCAATTTGTCAACTAAATTGTAGCAATAAATACTTAAAATCTCTACCCATAGACTTACATTTTGATCTGGTTTAAACAATACAGAAAACAATTACCAATTGAAAATCTGCTGTAAAATGTTGAACACCAAAATTCTTTTAAAATCATTTTTCAAAATCTAAAACCAAAACATTTAAAGGGCATTGCAGATGAACAATTCTTTGCCAAACTGAAAGAAACATGGACTTCAGATATTTTTAGGGTGAAATATTATGAAAACTGCTAAATACTTTGGTCACTAATTGTCAAATAGTTATGCCTCAAATACATTAGATTTGTGTATTCACTTTTTTATAAAACTATTCTTACAGCCATTTTAACTATAGTATCACTACTTTTGTTACTAGGGTGGCAAGATCTTATTTCACAGGCCGCCCATCATTTAGAACAATACAATTATAAACATACGCAAAAATTTCTTGGTATTTCTCAATGTGCAATTTTTACACTTATGAATTTCTGTACAATGTCTTAAAATCTAGAATATAAATGTTGCTGGTCCTGATCCCTTGCGAAATTAGTGCAGCATTGACTGGCTCCAAAATTACTCTAGATGAAATCCTCAAGAGACATAAATCCTTGCATATCAGTTCATATTCTTCAGCCAACAGCAGTCAATATCACATATCATACAGGGCCATTAACGGATGCTTCTGCTAGAAGAGCTTGTTGATCAGTCCTAAGAAGTTAAAAAATGTGGAACCAAGTATTAACACAGTGCAACTTTATATTACTTAAAAAATGCAAAATGAGGAAACAGATAAAAGTTGTGGTGCTTGGAGCCCTGCTGCCTCTTTCCCTGAGCATGTGCAGAGCAGCTCTTTTTGCACACTTGCCTATCCCTCCTATGGCCATTTCTGGGCAGTGAGTACTGGCACTCCCTCCCACCCCTAGAAAAAAAAGCACTGGGTAACACTTTGCTTTTCTAGCACCCCAATCCTGAATTACTCGATTCCAGAAATACTGTGGAATATGAGAACAGAAAAATGGGAGGAACCACTTTTGAAAGCACTAAATTTGAGCTGTTTGAGGGCCGGTGTAGGAATTTAAGGAAGGTCATCACATCACATACTCTAAACCAGAGCTTTCCGAACTGTGTGTCAGTGTGTAGGTATGTTGTGCAAACGCTTTCTGCACTACTACTGGGGCTGGAAAGGGGTTAGTTTAACCTCTGGTTACAAAACGATGCATGTCTAAAAACTGCCACCAACATGAAAAGTTGGGAAAGCTCTGCTCTAAACTATGAAATGAAAATATTTTGGCAGCAGTGCTCTAAGGAAGCTTTACATAAGACAAGGGTTGTATTTAAGTTTAGTCCTACTCAGAGCCACTAGAGTTAGTAGACCTACCTTAGGTTCATTAAGTTCAGTGGGTCTACTCTGAGAAGCACTAGCAAGGGATACAGCCCAAAGTGGGGAGCAATCACAGAGACATCAAAAGAATCAGCCTTTAGGCCTACTTATAGGCTTAGATGGTCATGTTACAAGACAAAAGGAGATGGTCGAGGCAACTCAGTTACATTGATGTGGGCCTTACAAATATTTGAGTACGGGTGCTCACAAAACAGTGCTTCTGCTTAAATGTTTGCAAGCAGGAGAAAGGCAAGCTGTGACCTGAGGCCATGCTCACCTTCATCCTTTGAGAGTGGCCAGTTCCCTTTTCAAAGCCCATTAACACACCTGGGGGGGGGGGGAGAGAGAGGCATCCAATTCTTGAGGAAGCATCTCCCATCCCTGACAGGAGGAAAAAATCTCAACAGAATCTGGAGAGTAGCACCAGCACCTGTCTCCTTCCCATCCCTCAATGTTAGTTACTGGGCCCCAGGAAGGCAGTGGCAGAGGGCTCTTTGCAAACCCCCAGGTATGAACAGAGATATAAAATTCCCAGAAATGTTGACACCGAGGAGAAGAGAGTTTTTCCCATTAAAAAACAGAAATTTGGGGAGAACTTTTTGTCTCCTAGTCTTGCTGTGCCAACCAAAGCACTCATTTTCATAAAAAGATCGGGAGTGGAGAAAAGACCATGAATCAGTGAATGTTAACCTGAAGTTTAATCAGCATCTTTCAAAGCTACCATTACAGTCATACCTTGGGTTGAATGTGCTTCGGGATGAGTGTGTTCGAGTTGCGCTCCGCGCCAACCCGGAAGTAACGAAGCGCGTTACTTCCGGGTTTCGCTGCTTGTGCATGCGCAGACACTCAAAATGACGCCATGCGCAGAAGCGACAAAACGTGACACGTACAGATGCGCGGACATGGGTTACATTTGCTTCTAGATGCGAATGGGGCTCCGGAACGGATCCCATTCACATCTAGAGGTACCACTGTATCAATTTCTGCTTCTTTGTATCTGTCATATATATCATGGACTTCTGAAAGGTAGAGTACAAGTACATGACTACTTCCACCCAACACAACAGTTTTTCATCAATAAAGGTTTTTCTTCCATTGTTAAATAAAAGCTATAAGGTTCTTGGGACTGTGGTCCACATATTCTTCCTTCTCCGCTTTTAAATATATTTTAATTGCAATTTGCCTTTGGTTGAAATGGATGGTCTGAATTTTTACTGTTTAAAACACTGTAATGGTGCTTTATTATAATTGCCTTATGCTGCTTTTTAGGTTTAAAATTTTAGATACAGTACTAATTTTTAAAAATGCTTGTGTGATACCAAATAAGCTACCTTTGGTCTTTTGGCAAGGGAGAATACATATCCTTAAATAAATCCTTCATTCCAATGGTAAAAGAAACCACACAGTGAAAGGAATATGGCAATAAAGAGCTACCTCTGTTCCAGACTGCTGCTAGCAGGCTGCGGAGTGACAGGATTTTCTTCTGCAGCTTCTGTGTTCTCCTCCACCACATATTTACAAGAAGCATCTTGCGAGGTAGACAATTTTCCTTCCTCACTAAAGAAACAGGTTACAGCTTTATTTGTGCCTTCAACATTTGATATCATCATGCATTAGTGGGAGGCTTAGGTAGAAAGGGTCCAGAGGTCACATGCAAGTAGAATTTTAGAAATATGATTGAAACATGGAAAACAAGCACAAGGTTGTGGATTCTGGTCACATTCATCACTGGCATCAGTTTATGTTCACTTAAAAGGGAACTGGACTGGAAAAAATGCAGGATGTAAGATTACAGAGTAGTAAAAAGAGGAATAAAGAATGTACATGGTGCCCAAAATGGAGAAAAAAACAAACATTCATTATCCTTTACATACCGATAGGATTTCAACACTCTGAAGCCAAAAGTGAGGGGGAGGGGGGGAAAGAACAGAAAAGGAATGTAAAAAAAGACCATTAAGAAACTCCTAGAAAAAATAGCCCTTGGATTAAGCCCTATTTATGCAGCAGCCAAAAAAGTCATGGTTCATTACGTGAGTCTTCTAAAGTGTGAGCCCAAACTTGCAGTCTGAAGTGGTACAATCTGGACTCAATATTTCTTCCCCTACCCACTTGTTTGTACTAGGCCTCAATCTAGATTAGAAACTGTTTGTGAGCAGATACATAAGCAGTATAGAATAAATTGTTCTCAGCTTCCAAAAGAAAAGGATAGAGTACAACTTTTGAAAAAAAAAGTATAAAATATCTAAGTGGATATCCTTTCCCAGTCCCCACTCACTTTTTTTTGGGGGGGGGGGGAGAGAAGCGTAATTCTCACATGTGCACTCTTTATAACTTAATATATACCCATGTATCTTCAGGTATTTGTACTTTAGTACAAAATACTATAATGAAGCAGCCGTTAAATAAAGAAAAGAGCAAAACACAGAACAACAGCAAAGTGGGATGCTGACAGAATAAAAATAAATAGCTTAGCTAAGCAAATCATTAATTTGCACAACTGTACATTCAGCTATACCTTCAGATGTATTTATGGCAAAACAAGATGGCATCCATGATTAACGCAAACATGAATATAAGAACATTCAACTGACCATGAATGTTCCTTATCATTGTTGGATGAAGGGGATCCAGACTGGCATCGGCTCCTACAACTTAACCTTCAGGGAAGGCTTATGGAAATTAAGCAAACTTTGTCCCTTTCATATGGAGAAAGCTCAGTTTGAGACATGGTGAACCTGAGAGTCAAATCTTTGAATTTTAAAAGAAACAGTGTAAAACTACACGGGTAGGCAAACTAAGGCCCGGGGGCCGGATACGGCCCAATCGCATTCTAAATGCGGCCTGCGGACAGTCCAGGAATCAGCGTGTTTTTACATGAGTAGAATGTATCCTTTTATTTAAAAGGCATCTGTGAGTTATTTGTGGGGCCTGGATGCAGCTTCAAAAGTATCAATCTAAAGTGGATGAATAGGCGATAAAGTGATCCACAATGGGAAAGAAAATAATAATTCACATATATTTACGGTGTCTGAACTGACAGTGACCCAATCATCAAAGAGATATTGGTGCCACTAGTGGCTAACGATGAAAATGCGGAGGTCATATAGAACAGCTTAAACCACTCCTTGTCATCTTGGTGTCAATTTCTGTTCTTCAGGACAGCAGGAGACACTTTCCTTTTTTCTGAGCACTTATCCCACCTGCATAAGAAAGTGAAGGCCACACCATAGCCGCCAAGCTGCAGGGGTGGGGGGAGCCACAAAAAGGACTGAAAAGCGATGCAAGTGGGCCTCCCAAGGTGTGATGTGCTGGAGGTCAAATTCCTCTCTCAAGCCTAAGCAACCGTGTTGCTTCAAAATGAAATCGTATTCACTTGAACGGTGCCAGATTAAACCCTGTGGAGGTCCCTAGGTAGTCGAAATCTTGGGGGGCCTGTCGTGTGAATGCTCTAGTGGGATGACATTGAACTAGGGAAGATTGGTTGTAACTTTCTTTCAAGATCAAATCAATATTATTTTGATCCATTGTCATGGGGCCCCTAGGCCAGTGCCTACTCTGCCTATTTGGTAATCCTGCACTGCGCTTGAACTTAGCCAAGTAAATGTTTGAAAATGTTGTCATGATGCTAAAATTCCTGTCAGAAAATTGAATCAAATTTGAAATGGAGAGCAACACCAAAAAAAGGTGTTGTGTCTTAGAGAAGACTGGACAGTAGCAACTAGGAGGGGGTCACTTCCACAAAAGGAACAATGCTTGCTTCATTTTCAAAAGCCCTGCCTCAAGAACAAATTGTAGTTAATTATTTACCTATCTCGCCATTTATAAACCCATCCTATATCTGACACACATTTATATGAACACACACACACACACACACACACACACACACACACACACAGCCATCAGGTTCAGCCAACTCTTCATATAAACAATGAGCAAGAAACAGTAAATAAGCCCCCACAAAAAGCTTGGGCAAAAAGGTGCATCTTTAATCAGCACCAAATAATACACCATATCAGTGTCACATGTTCCTCAGAAGGGAGATCATACCAGATTGGACACCAACACTGAGAAAGCTCTAGCATCTGGACATCCTTCTCCAACAATAAAGGAAAATAAAGTGGCTGTGTAACAGGATGAAAGGATTTTGCCAGTGAAAACCTACTAAAAGTGCAATTGCCAATATGAGCAGCTTATTTTGATAGAAGAGAATATGCTAGAGCACAAATCTGTTCTGGCCAGAAGACAAACTAGCAAGGATAACTTGAGAGACTAGTTAACCGCGTGCGACGGGGTTTCCATTTTAAGAACAACCATTTTAGGGAAGTGTTTTAGGGTCAGCCTCGTCACTCTCTTATGTTCCACTAAGATGCATAACATTTGCACACAACTTTAAAATGGTGGTGGTATCCTTTTTCTAAAGCAACAAATAATTCAGATATGGAACTGGATTCTGTGACCAGGCTTTGCTAGTGATAAGCTGCATACTATGCCAACTGCTTTCAGTTAAGGAGACCAAATATTTTATTTAGTAAACGTATGCCCTGTCTTTCTTTTAAAATGCCTGGTGTGTCTTACAACATAATTAGAACATTAGGGGGGAAATAAGAAATAAAAAGGCAACAGACAAATTTAAGAGACAGAAGATGCAGGATCCAGCAGCTCATATGTCAGCAGATTAAAATTTCTTTAAAAAAAACCTCCCCCCCCCAAAAAAAATCTGGTCACTGAAATCCACAAAACAAAGGTATATGCTAAACATTACACCTGGTGGCTACAATCAAATCACACTTAAAATCTTTAATTTTGTTGTAGGAAGTTCTCTGTTTTGCCATGGATTTGTTTTTAAATGCTTTTAAAATGAAAGATGGCATGCCAGGCCAGCATTTAAAAAATTAAAATGATCAAAACCCATGCTCTGAATCAAACCATAGTGTTCTCTTACCTTTTGAAGACAGCAGTTTCAGTTTTAGCATCTACAGTAAGGCTAAGGGTCTCCTTCATACTGCCATTCATTACTGTTTCAGTCACCTTGTCTGCATTTTCTACATCATCTTCTCCATCAGAACCAGCCTCCATTGCAATGCTTCCTGCAGCTGTAAATACAAATTTGAACAGCTGAAAAGGCTTCAGGAACTAATACTGATTTTTATTCTGGAACAATGTATTTTTTGCCATTTTTACAGTTGTACATTATCACAAAATAGAAACACGATCGTTTAGATAATAAACGGTAGATAATAGAGTGTTTAATTTTCTATATTAACAACCCCACCTCCATTTTCTAGTCTATTTGGCAATTTGGATCACTTACAATAGCTAGCTAATCACATTTGAAGCCACATCAGAGGGTTTTAATACCTCTTACATATCCATCAGTGATGTAATTTGGAAGAAATTCAGTGGCATAGTTTCAATTTCCATTATTTTAGAAAGCAAGACATGCTTATCCTATTTACACAATTGATGTGTTTGTACATCATGAAAAACCATAGTTTTATTCTGATGTGCATAAGCCACAGAGCCCTTTCCCTCCACACATGTAGCTGGGATGAGGATGTAAAAAAAAATATTTTTACTTTCAGTTATTTGCCATTTGTCCTGTTGGCTAGCATTATAAACTGATTAACACTAACCCTGGTCTGTTTCAAACCTGGCTTGTTTAAACTAGACATATGGCAAACAGCAGGTAATTACAACTAAAAGCTCCCAAAATTCTTCCAGCAGCCAGCCACACAGGAGGAGCAAACACATGAACCAGAGGCTCACTGTGATTTGTGCAAGTAATGATAAACAATGGAGTATCAAATGCATATACAGCCATATGTGTGTGTGCATTATTTAAGTGCTTTTACCTTCTGGTTGCGTTGCAAATGCTACATTTGCACTCAGAGGATCCATGGGCTCTGTGCTGGTTTCCATCTCTACGGGTGAATTACTTCTTAAGGAATCTTTTGGACTTTGAAAGAAAACGAAAGCTTTGATGAATTCCATTTTTAGTGTTTATCAAAGTAAGTATGTTGGAACTATATTTTAGATTGGTTAAGCAGTCTGCCCATTCTGCACCATGTGAGTAGATGCCTCAACATTTTGTGCTGACAATTTGAGAGTTCTAGAAAACATTCATGTGCAATCAAAAGGGAATAAAAGGAAATGGAACACATATCAATGTATACGAGTTTATGGGAGTTTATGTCTATTTGAAAGCTAAAGAATCAATTATAATTTCAACTCTCCCTGTTTTAATTAGGATATGAAGGGAAAAGACTGCAACGTGAGCAGATGACCTAAATTATTTGACTTCTACATATTGCAATCACAGAAACATAGAAATAGCTGGAGAGCTGAAAAAGCACCATGTTACAGAGGAGAAGATACTGCAGTGGTGCTGCGACCAAAAATAAAGTAATTTGTGTCTTTTTGGTGAGCAGTTGACAAAAGAAAATGTTTTCACTCCCCATATATTTGCTTTGGGGCTGCTGACTTGAGTACTCTATAGCAATTCTCAAATGCCAGAACAGAACAAATAGAACCAAGTGAGGAGACAACATTCCTGCACTTATGTCTCCCCCTGCCCACCCCATAGTTCTCCCTATAGCTCTCTTATCAATTCAGAGATACATATAAACATTTTGACTTCCCGTAATAAAAATAAACTGCAGCTTTAAAAAGGCTCTCTGGGAATGAATCTTTTCAATTCAAGGTCTGCTTAAAACCAAATCCCTACACTCATGGACTCAGAACTCCCTCAATTTTCAGCTTAGCTCATGAAAAGAGTATCAGCGCTTTCACTCAAAATTAAATTCCATTTGATTCACAAGACCTGAAGCAACACAGTACTTTCCTACCTTAGTGAAGATGTGAACTCTGAAAAGGAGGCCCAGCCAGTTTCTTTTGCTGGCATCGGCTCTTCTGTGCTCCAAACGTCAGACCCAACAGAATCCAGATTCGTACCATGTGTTGTTTCCATAGGAACATCAAAGTTAGCTGACCAGTTAGGTGCTGGAAAGATTGATACATTTATCATTTTTTAAAAAGCAAAAAACTAAGAAAGCAAAAAACTGCCATAGGACTAGGACTTAAAATATTAGATTAAAACAGATTTGGGAATTCCTTGGGCAACTTAAAACAATGCACACCTCATTAAGGAACATATATGATTTCAAAAGTACAATATTAGAATATTGCATTCCAAAACCCTCTGGATTTTAGATTTCTCCAATCCTAGTAACCCTCAGTCCTCCAAAATATGTTTCCTATTCCAAAGGTTTGTCTGAATGTTTCCTTTAGCTCAAGGCAGAACGATTCTAAGGTTTAACTGGTTCAACAAATATTTGAGGCTTTGATTCAGACTCGCCTTGTTTCAACCCCAAAGCTTTAGTCACACATCTGTGCTCAACACTGGCATTTTAATTGCCACCATGTGTTTGATATACTATTGCTTATTATGGTCAATTTATCCCAGAAAAAAGAAGGGAAGTTCTGTTTCACTTTTGAGTGTTTCTGGACAACCTGATTTTTGATCATTCATCCTGATTTGTCTTGCAGGGAAATTAGACAATGTTGGCTGTTTAATGAGCATTCACTCTGATTTGTTTGTTGGGGAGAAGGTTAAGATGACATTGCATCAAATAATGTGTTATTTCCACACTTTCCATTGCATTACCCCATCACTTTACTTACTTCAAAAAGTTTGATGTTTTGGGGAAGCAGGCTCCAATAAACTTTAATTGCACAAGCAGAGTTTACTGGTATGCGAAGGAATCTCACTTGAAAATAATGGCAGTCTGGAAGTGCCCTTCCTTAATAGAATTATGCTTGTCTGAGATTTCCACTTCCAGTATCTTAAAGTGAGCAAGAAGCAGTGGCATAAAAACTACCTACCTTCATTCAAATCTACTTCCATCTTGTCTTCTGTATTGGTGCTTGACTCGAACAAGTCCTGCTTTGTTCCATCCTCTTCTTCAGAATCTGTACTTTCCTCACTGTCTGTACTGCCTGAGCTTTTTAAAAAAACAAAACAAAAAGAACAGACACAAACAGAAATATTATTTCTACCACCCAAGAGGGGTTTGGGTTTGTTTGTTTGTTTTTTGCCATTTTTTGCCTTGATGACACAAAAGACAACCACAGAACCTAAACTTTCCCACTGTTAATGGCAAAATTCCCACCGAACAAAACAATCTCTAGTTGGGATGTAACACTAAGCCAGGGATCATGGCTCTTGCTGGCTAGAGGGGAGAAATGAAGCTGGATCAATCTTTGCATTCCCGCAAAACATTAATTATGGTTTACTGTGACATGTGAATTAGGTCACTTGCATCACCTAATTCAGGTATCTTCGACCTTCTCAGACTCAGAACCCACTTTTAACCCAAACATGAATTCAAGGCCCTATTTCCTAATTTTTTACCATATACTTTCATGGTGGTAGTGCTCCTGTTATGACCCACTTTGGATCAGGACGCAAGCCTGACTTAACCAGTTGAAGACAATAGTAGCATAGGGATAAGAATATCATCCAGATTACTGCTGGAATGTAATATATTCATCTTTGCATTACTCTTCCTAAAAGCACCTGGCACAAGCTTATCAGTGCTGAAATAGGTAAATCTGTTAGTTTTTGGATTAGATTTAATTAGAGGCAAAACATATTCTCTGCCATCTTAAAGTTACCTGGATCTTCTCTGAGATTCTGGTGCAAAAGCAATATGCTTCTCTTCCCAGATATCTTCCTCATCGGAACCACCATCATCAAACTGCTGTATTCTCTCCTTACAGCACGCCTCAAACAAAGCAATATTGCCCTAATCATCATAAAAAGCAAATAAATTACAAAGACTAAATTCACCACTCATGAACACTGAATATCACATTTAGGTGGCTAGTCATTATCTATATTATGTTTAAAAAAACAAAAGCAACAACTCTGTAGTGTTACCCAATACAATTAATATTCATACCCCAAACTGGAAAGAACAGATAGGCTTCCGGTAGAAAGTATTTTGTTCCATGTTTAAAGCAAAATTCAGATAGCGTCAGACTACTCTGCTGTTGTTCCTTAAATTCAGCATTGAAATTCCCAGAACGTAATATCACCAGCTCATAGGTAGTTGATCACTTTAAACTGGTTGATTATGCCGCACTGGAGACTTCCTATGACCTCTCCTTCCAAAGAAAGGGGCAACCACTGTCTCACTGAATGAGTGCCCCCCCCCAAAAAAAAATTGCATTGGTATCAAGGATTGGTGCCAAGCTGAGTGAAAGCAGCATGGAAGACTTGCATATTGCTTTCACTTCAACAGGTGCCCTCATCCTCTGGGAGTGCAAGATCCCTCCCAGAGGACTCTGGGTTGCTCTCATTTCCTGGGACGAGTACTTGCAAGGGAGAAGCAGCACATGTATTTTCTCTAGTCCTCACTGCAATTAAGAGATGGGGCAAGTTTTCCTCTGGAACACAAGGGAAGCCTCAACTTAAAACAGCTAACACTCCTGATCTGACTAGGAGAGTTCATAGCAGAGCCACAAAAAAGACCCAGCCTGTGGGCTGCCAGTTCACTGTCTCTGCCATAGCACATTAGCTACCTTTATTACTCTGGCTGGGCATTCACTGTATCTGAAAACAATAGAACAAATGGGAAATGACCATATACCAGAAAGAAGTGCTCTTAATGTTAATTAATAAAACTAAAAAGGGCCAAGACCAATTCCGTCCCAAGATTAGGTCTCCAATAGTTTTATAGCATCAAAGAAACCTACACAGAGCCATCCTGAGAATACCAAGGACTTTCCATGAGTTAATCCGCCCCACTCTGGCAATGCATTCCATCAGTTAACAGCTGATGTACTTTGGATGCTGCTTCACCAATATGCCCCTAAATCTGCACCTGTTAAAACCATTTCTAGTCTCTTGTGAGGCTGAGGGACACAACTCCATTCTTCTTGAAAGCTTATCAACAGGGCTGATAAATTCTGGCTGACCAATGAACTGACTAGTCAATGAACATGTGGTTGCTAGGATTCTGCCTCCCCCCCCCCCAAGTACAAGGTTCTTTCCCCAACTTGACACCTTTGATATGCATACTGAGGTCAGAGACAACCCCATGCTCTTGCCAGCACCAAATGTGAAGCTGGGGAGCAGATGGTGGGGGACTAATTCCTAGAACTGCACTGTGACTGCTTCCAAGGTGCTGCAAGAAGCTTAGATGCACCACATCAAAAGCAGCTCCAGGTTTCTACCTCATCTTGCAGTTGGGGAGGGGGCGCAGAACATCTCTATTGTTATGCTGGGCTTCCTCTGAGCATGTTGAAAGTGCAACACAAGAGCAGGGCCAAGCCCAACTGTCTCCTTCAGCTCCAAGATTGGGTGGCAGAACACTCATCATGGTGACCAAAATTATGGACCCCTACCCATCAATATGTTTCCTGATAAAGATGCTTGAATCACTGCAGTGTTAAGACAGAAAGCCACAAAAAAATCTCTTAAAATGTTCCTCTTTACAAACAATGCCACCAAAAAGGGCAGGGCCTCTCCACTCACACATAGAGAGAATGTGAACAAATAGCATCCATTTTGAATTTTACAATAGCTGCAAGAATATACTTACACTTTCATTTGTATTGAGGGTAAAATTGATGTCTGATACGCGATCAAAAGAAACACTGTGAACAAAGTACAAATTTATACACTAAAACAGAGAATAAATGGCATTCCACACAGACCCCTGAATTATTTCAGTTCACATCATTTTATAATCTCATGAAACTGATACATTGTTTTCTACTACTAAACTTGTGAGGATTTTGACTCGTTACATCCAAAAAAGGAGCCAAGACCTCTGTCACAGGCTCGCAGAGCTGAAGAAACAAACAAAAATAGTATTGTGGAAAACAATCCTCACTATTAGTTACCTAAACTTATAGATAACCATGCTAAAACTGCCGTCAAATCAAATATTCTAATCAAGGAAAAGATTAAATGATGAATAGATTTAAGGGTGCCCACCTTCTTTAAATGAAGTATTAAAGCACTTTAATTTGTCAGTTCCAGATACTTAATTAAGCAGCACAGCAATAACTTACTGTATGTTTGGCATGCAAAGGCATTCACTGTGGACTGCATCTCTCCCATTTACTCTAGGCAAAGACATGTGACCATATTTTTTTCTTTATGGACCCCCCCCCCGCTGTCTTCTCCTCAGTTGCATTCCATGGATAACTTGTAGCAAAATCATTTTGTAACCCTGACCCCATATAAATTCAGAAGAGTAGTAATCTAGTTCAGTTGTGTGCATGCATGACAGAGTATGTACAGGTGAGGAAGTGGATTGCTTCACATGCCAAACAAGAATAAAGCTTCACAGTAAGTAATCAATGTTCCATTCTCTTGCTTGGCATGAGAGACATCCACTGTGGGTTGTGGAAGAGCCTTGTATGATGCTGGATGGGTTGGGTGAGATAGGTGGCTGTCTACTGCTTGTTAAAGACCACATGGCTGCTCAACAGATGTTGGGGGATAGGAACCTTGGTGGATAGAGCAGCAGAGGTGCCAGATGAAAAGTGGAGAGGACAGGTGTTTGGCTTCTCATGCTAATGGCTGTGTAGACTGATCTACCATACCAACGTACGGCCATTGCAAGTCCAAACAACACTGAACTAGACAGACCAATTGACTGACTTGGTTAAAGGCAGTTTCCTGTGACAAATGGTTACTACTGGAGAGAATGTACCAGCAATCCGTCCTATTTCATAGGGGTTCAGTACCAAAGTTTACATGTATACATGAAAACTGCATATAGTTAAACTCTTGAAGCTGCCCTGAAGCTAGCGGGTGGAAGGAGAGATAAATAGCACCCACATACTCCCAAAGCTTCCAAGTGGACTTCCCCCAGCCAGCAAGGTCAAGAGCATAAAAGTTATTTTCATTCAAAGTCTGCTTGGGTTACCCAGCACAAAAAGAGCTTTTAAGCTAGCTCTCTGATTTGCTTGCTGGGCAAGGCCCATTTGATGCACTGGCTCTAGAAGGCCAGCGATGTTCATGTGAAATCTCGAGAGAACATCCCATGGCCTTCCAGAACTGGCATGCTGAGCAAGCAAGGTGGAGAGCTTGAACGCACCTTTCGCAAAGAAAACCTGGCATGAAAAGAGCTTTTAAGCTCTCTGCCTTGCTTGGGAATTGACTTGTGCAATTTCAGCCAACTGCATATAACTGAAAACATGCAACTCAAATGTGCGTAAGATGAAAGAATTACTGTACATGCTCCACTATTTTAGCCACAGAGAGGGTCTGATCACCACCATTAGTTACTCTGGTCTTTGTAGAGCGATATACTGAGCCCAGGGTGGCATCTGCTATGAATTCTGATGCTTGGATTATTAATGTTATTATTAGGAACATTCTATGAGAATCAATCAGAAAATAGGGATTCTAAACTTCTCAACAAATTCTTATTGAAAAAGGAAGATGCATTTAGTAGGATCTAAAGTAGGCCTTTGAGCAGCCTTTACCTGATCTATGGAGCCCTGGCTTGTACAGATTGCATCACCAGATGTTAAAAATGATTCTCACTGGCTTGAATTATGCTGCTCTGCCATCTGGTGGCTGACTGAAAGCAATGCACCCGTTTCAGATGAGCAACATTGCACTGAGTTTTCTTGTCCCCCTTTAGACAGATTGTCCTTCTTTCTTTTGAGTTCGGTTTCCCCAGTGATCCAACATGGTGGATGCTCTGGTACAATTTTTCCTTTCCACTCATCTCTGCCTTTGGCAAATGGGACTGATAGAACACACAGCGGACACTCTCACACCAAACAGGGAACTAACCATTTTCCTTTACTATTTGGGAAGTAATGCGGGGGGGGGTTCACTGTTTCCATAAACAGATATGAAAACAAAACAATTGGTGCATATGCTTGCAGCCAGTCACAGGGAAGAGATCCAGCTACAGTACATAAATTAACTCACATTTTAAAACTGGGTAAGTTCTTACCTGTTCCAAACCTCCAAGGGCACACATTTAAAATATAATGAACTGATAGTACCAATCAAATCTAGTAATATTATTGAACTCAAAGGATAAGCTAAATTAATCAGGTCTATGTTCACAACCTTCACTTATGCAAAAATTACACCATATGGATTAGCACCATACAGAACCCCACAGAAGTTGTGTTGGTTATGTCAATTTTCTATGAAAACTTAATCAGAAACCTGGTACACAGTGCATTCAGAACACAGTACTCTGGATTGGGATAAAGAGGCTTCAGAGAGAGAAATCAACATTGTGAGCATTCTGGTCTATTATTTTAGTGACAGTCATAAGAAGAGTTTGCTTCATAAATGCTAGGGATAGAGGCGTTAGACATGAGACATAATTTAAAGGGAAAATTCCTCTTATGAGTGCACAAAATGTGTAACTGGAAAATGAACAAGCTGACTATACACAGATTATAACTAGAGAGACAGCCACTAACCATTGCAACACAAACAAATGGAAAACAAAAAGGCAGACATTAAATTTTAAAATACTCACTTGCCGATATCATCTTGGTCAGCAAACTTCTCATCGTTGAAGCCAAACTGGTCAATAAAATTGGACGTCATTTGTTGCATCTGATAATCAGAAAAGGCCTGGCAACCCCAGGACCAATGACAGTGATATAATGATTCTAATAATAGTCTAAATACTACTTGCCCATTTTGCTCCAGAAACACTTTCTCCTAAATTATATATCTATGAACTATCGAATGTTGAAACTTGTTGGCCTTAGGGCAAGTGCTTGGTAAAAGTTGCTCTTCTGTAATGATTCGGTTACTTTTTCATAAAGTAGTAATTAACTTTGGCCTGAAGTTACTCTTTTAAAAACTATAGGTAAAAAGGCAACAAGAGTTTGGATATTCTTACAGAAGTAGCTTGAAGAGAAACAGTGTGACACCTCCATCAAATTATTTGAGGAAGATACAGGAAAGTCTTTTTTGGATCCAGCAAAAGTTACATATATTTTGGAGGCAGTATCTACAAAGCAATTTCCTTACTAAGAAGGTTGCATCCACTAACATGGTTCTGGTAAATGAATTAGGTGCCTCATGATGCCACCAAACAAGGCATTCAACAAATATTTAAGATAGCATCTTAATTTTCTGCATAGGCCACAGAAAACAGAAAAGCTATTGCAACAGTTTGGAGCTCTTTTAAGTAAGCATGATCCAGAGTAACTTTTCTAGCTGTCGTCACTAACTCGTTAGCATAAGCTAGACTCAGATTTGATGAACTACCATGGCACAGATGAAGACAGCTTTTATGCCCATGGATGGAGAAATCCCCAAAGTGCGTATCAGGAGACAGGGGGAGAAAGAGGCTAATTCTAGAATTGCAGTTAAACTAAGGCTACATTTTCACAGGCAGTAAAGCAGATTTTCAAGTGCCTTCTTTGAGTACACAGCCAGAAACTGGGTGATTTTGTCGGAAAGAGAACTGTGCTAGAAAAAATAGCCTCTAAAGCACTAGTCATATATGCCTTTGGTGGTACAACTGCCAACAACCATTTCTGCAGGATCAGAGGTACCCAAGACTGTGGGAACATGTGGTCTGCTTCCTCTCCCAGATAAGATTATAACTCTTTTAGTCCCACAGTCATGAGCATAAAAGAACCGTTAACTCACAATCAGGTGATAATAGACTACAGAATATATTCAGTTCACTAAGACTGTTAAGAGAAATAACACAAGTATTTCCAGCTTGAGGGTGCTACACATTTGTGAAATCAGGTAACTACACTTTTAAGTTTGCCAACTGGAACACCTAAAGGAATTAACTGCCTTAACTCTTACAGGTCAGTTCACACGATGTTCCAATCAGCCAAACATGGTTTGCAGTATTAAAAACAGATATTTTGAACTCTCTTTATGTCTCCTCAGAAAGTTGCAACTGACAAGAGTTGTTAGAGAATTGAAATTCTAATCAAATTAATGATACAGACCAAAATTACTTACATCCTGGAAGTTGTGACCATACATACCCCTCCCCCAAAATTCCACAGCTTTCAGGATATGCCTTCAATTTTTTCCTCATCTTAAAAATGCTAAATCTAAGTTTTAAAAGTTGCAAATTCCCAAGGCAATCGTCTCACCCATGTTCTTTTCAATTAAGGCATCAATGCAAACAATTGCAAACAGTCCAGAGTTTGACTCACTTGCTGTAAAGAGGAATCCTGCGAGAAACCAGTTTCTTTAAAATCAATTTCATCGTCACTGGATGAGTGTATATGACAAGTAGTAACCTAGAGACAGAACAATTAAAGAATCAGCATCAGAAAAAGGGTTTAAAACAATGCGCCCATAATAAAGTCTGTAAGTTTTTTAATTCCTTATAAGAAAACAACTATATCACATACTGGGGCAGGGGGCACTAATGCTTGGGAAATAAAAGCCCAGAGCTGCCTGGTAAGGCAGCAGTAGTTGTATGGCTCTGGATAAAAGCAATTAAGTGTTGTACTTTTAAATCCAAATTTTGCCAGTGTCTGCTTTGCCCTAAATCATAAAAAATCAGACTTAAGAAATTGTAATCAAAGTACACTGCATAGCTAAGCCAATTTTAATTAAAAAATGATTTTAATGCACAGTGTTAAAAAGAAATACAAGTTAAACAAATTTCAGCTGCAAAATCTGTTAAATTTACACATTCTTAACTGGAGATTTTCATCATGGAAAGGCAAATTCCAGTGAAACAGTCTGCAGTCAACACCACTATGTATCATGTTGATGCATTTAACTCAGTTTTAAATTCTATTCTGATTAATTTTGTCACAAGTTTTCTATGCATATATTTTTTAAATGCTTCACACATCAGAAGTGTATCATGAGAATTCTATACTGATTCCACATTACTTATTCATATCTGCTGCTTAGAAAGAACTGTTAAGTCAATTTACTTTCAGTTAACTAAATCAATTTAAATCATTCAGCACTAATATGTATTTCCCTCTTCAAACCAAGGACACAATAAAACTGATTTTCAATTTACACATTCATTAACAAAGCAGCCAACAAGCCTAAGAAATTAAATATAGTTCTGCATCGGGTATCTAATGAAAGTCTGCTGTAGCAAGATGCAGCTCTGCCTTCATCAACACTACTGCAAAAAACTGTGGGTTGGATACAGAGTTCCTATAAGTAGATCTTTCCTCACAGGACACACTTGCTGGGGGAAAAGAAAGCAAATCCTGTTCCTTCTTCCTTCCCCACGTAGCCCCCTGAAATGCTACTCCCAGTGGTGTGGGATATGCTGTGGGGGGCAGTTCTGTGTTTAGCCATAAGAATGGCCAACCTCAAGCCATAATTTTTGAACATGGCTCATTTTCCTACAGTTAAAATAAACCACAGTTTACGGTTCAAACATAATACTTAACTGTGGGTCATCTAAAAACAGAAAAACTTCTGACCTCCTCATGACCACACCAAAACCAGATTCACTGCAGCTCATCCTTGTATTCGTAAGTCACGATTTAGTATTACATGGACGTAAATGTGTGTGAGATACATTGACTCACAGTAGACGTGGTCTATACATAGTTCAAAAAATATATGTGCGTATGTATGTATTAAATGAATTATTAAAAGACCAATCTGACAGGGGTATTAATTATAAGAAACTCTGTACTGTTCAAAATCTGAAAGTAGGGCTCTATTTTTGGCAAAGGAATTCTCTAAGACGATACAAAGGTAGTATACTTTGAAAATTAGAGCTACACAGACTTTCAAAACAAAGATAGGATAACAATCTCTCTTGGACATGAGTGCATATTAATGGTTCCTCGTCATCCCGGAAAAAGTGACAAGTGGAGTGCCTCGCCTTCCTTGGAGGTTTTAAAGCAAAGGGTTTTTTTGGGGGGGCATATGTCATGTATGATCTGGCTGAAATCCCTGCATTGTGGTGGGTTGGATTAGATGATCCTTGGTGTCCCTTCCAACTCTGTAGTTCTATGATTCTATGAGTTAGAACGGTTTTGTCCTGCATTCCTGACAAATAAGGGCCAAAATTCCCATAGAAAATCCCCCAGAAACTTCATCTTATGAAACCTACTAGATCCACTGTGTTTCTTTTGTTTGTTTCTCCTAAAGAACTTGTGCAGAAAGTCTCCCATCGCTCCCTGATTTCATCTGGAAGCTCTAGAAAGTCAAGCAGAAAGATAATAATAAATTAATTAATAATAAAGCTGCTGAATGTTGTCATGTAAGGCACATTAATTTTCACTCTATTTTATTATTTTAAAATACCAAAAGCATTACAAAAACATATACACTCATCCCCCAATGTAAGGTAGAACCCACATGCTAGAAATTCTGCCTTGTTCCTTGCTGTATGCAGAAGGAAGACATGTGAGACTTAAAAGTAGAATCTGAGATTCTTCCTGGAGTTAAGATTCACTTATCCATTTCTGGTTCTGAACCAACCCTCTGCTGGCTTTTATCTCTCCCTGTAATTGGTATGTGGCCCTAATAAGGAATGCAGCCTTTTCTAAAGAAACTTCTACTGTCTGAATCACTCTTTGTCCACTTCAAAGTGCGAAACATGATTTAAAATGTGTCTCAAATCAGTTAAAATTGCCTTGGCATAAAACTGATCTACCCCAAAGGGCAAATTTTCATTTTTTTGTATATAAACAGCCCCTATAACAGAAATTACAGACAAAACTAGCAGGGGTAGAGTGCAAAAATATCTAACGGGCAGAATCAATCTGTAGAATTTTAGCTTTGCTTAGATATAGATAACATGCACTAACAATCAATTCTGCAGTGATTAACTTTTAAGATGTTGTAGGAGAGGCAGGAACCAATGGGCTGACTGATAAACTCTCAGAGCAAACCCAAAGGTAAAGGCTTGGCATGTGAGAAGGGGAGATAGGGATATACATTGTCCACATTTAGAAATCAGCAATAAGATCAAGTATTTGTTTCTTTAAAAGTACATCACTTACCTTTAATAAGCTGCTGCACTAATGTACAATTTGGCCCTTTATCCGTACTGTGCACAATACAGTTAGCTATTCTTGTTAAGTGACCCATGTAGCCATATCGTCTTCCTCCTTCAGCCCTGCAAGCGGTCAAAACATTTCATTATTTAAATAGGCAGTTGTTTAATCTGTTAGTTACAGACTGTTCTCTCTATAGGTTTGGAAGAGTATATAAGTAAACGAGATGGTTGTTTGGCAAAGAGAAGAGAATGTGACTTGGTCAGTCCTTCACAAAAAGGCCAATCAATTGTTAGGCAGTTAAAATATTTCAAACTCTGCTCCTCAATTTGATTTCAAGAGTTGTGCAGAGTATCGTATGGGACAAATGTTAGTTGGGGCGGGGGGTTGATTACTTTTACAGAATACACAACTCTATAATATAGCCATTAATTTATCAAGATTTATTTAAATTCACATCTATGCCTATGCTGTGCATACAGCGATCTCCCTTAAAACTATTTATGACTCTTCAGACTTAGCTCAAATATGAATTTGCTCTTATAATAAAAATATACTGAAGTTAAATTAGCAAAAGCAGACCCATATATTGCTTGTGCAAAGTGCATACCCACAAACAGCAGCAGTGAACACTGCAGGGATAGAAAGAGAGAGAACTTGCCTAACCTTCTCCGCTCAAGAAGCCAGTGATTTGAACATATTCCCTCTAGGCCAAAGTAGTATGCTTTGTGAACATCAATCAAGTACAGTTAATATTTTGTTTAAATTTGTCTTGAATTAAATCAAGTACTATGTTACTTCCCAAATAGTATACAGCATGCATAACTACAAATGCAGGGAATGGGTTTTGATTACTCACTGTTTCTTCTCATTCATTTCCCATGCTTCAAGTATTCGTTCTATTAAATGGCACTTAAGGAAAAGCTATAAAACAAAAGCTTCCTTAGTTTTTTTTTGCAATATATTTTTTTTGCTACATATCTTCAAATATACCATGTATATTTCCCCCAACCGATCCTTCCAGTTCACCATATTCTAAATTTGAAAAAGAGTACAAGACTGAAATGATTATTACTCTGCAGCTCTACTTCAAAATATTCTGTCACTAGTTAATAGCTGCACTGTTGCCAGCTTAAAAAAAAAGGCGTGATTACCTATTTAATCTAGCAAAAGGAACTAGCTGCTGATCTATACTTAGATCAAAAACTTTATTTCTTGCACTGCAGCTGCCATTGCTCTGGAGTACTACACTTCTGCTAAAACCAAAAACTGTTTTTGTTAGAGCAAGGTAGCAGGACAGTGGTAAGCGTAAGAGCCTTACAACAGTAATTTAACTATGGCAACTTTTTCATCCTCTTGGTCACCTTGCTTTTATTCATCTTACCTAGCTGACTGAGTGTTTCTATGTGGGGAGCCTAGCCCAATTATACCTAGAGTACTACAAATAATAAAAACAGCTTACATGTTTCAGCAAAAGGTTGTCTCCAGTGGAATCCTGATCTGAAATTGTACCATTTTCTGTGCTTTCAAATGGACTTGCGAGAATCAATGCAATACAAATTTCTACTTGAGTATGTAAAAAGTTATTCCATGTGTACTTAAAAAACATGTCCTGTAGGGAAAAAAGAAACTGGAGTCAAACGTAGCCCTGTTAAAATCCAAGTCTGGGTACTTAAGTTTCCGTGAATTGCTCTACTCAAAGAATGCTCCCACTGGAAGAGAAGGACAGTAATTTTTGCTGTTTCCTTCCTTCATCCTTCCAAGACCTGGTCCAGAGCAGCATGGGTTGACCTTGCAGAATGGAGTGGAGGATGGCACTCAAGTCTCTAGAAAAAGTGGAGAAAAACACTTCTTCCCATCTGTCAGTGAGAGCCTTCACTGAAAATGAGTCATTTTGTATACTAAGGATTGCATTCAATGTAGCACTAAGGTGAATATTCTGTTACCACAAGGGTTTCTCATTGTGCGATGAAACGTTCTCCTGCTCTCCTCCTCTCGTGCCTCCCAAATGTGTTCTAAGGTTTTCTTTAACTCTCTGAAACAGATCTGGAGGAAGCAGAAGGGGAATCTACTTGTGCTACTGCTAATCCTTGCTCAAGCACAAGTTAGTTGAATGCTGCTCTCAATTGTAGCAAAGTAGTAATAGTAATAACTAAGCCTAGTTTCAGTGTTCTTTAAAAAGAAAATTCAATAAACTACTGTCCCCAATCAACATATGCACAAACCATCTTATGCCACTATAGTATTTGTGCTAGCAGTGCCTCAGAGAAGCCTATGGATGGAAGATGCAGCAGCTCTGCTAGCAGAAATTTCTGCATTCCCAACAAAACAGACTACTCATGAATATTAGAGTATATCACATCAGTTGATAAGAATTCCTACAAAAAGTGACAGCTGCTCATGAAGATGCAAGCTGCTCTCAATACCCTTAACCAAACACAGATTATATGTATGTACTGACCAATTTTATTCTGTTTAAGATAAAACAAAAAGTGCCTGTGTCTCCATCTTAATTTATGATGGTGCTATGGCCAATAAAACGCAGCCCCATTTTTCCAGACTTCTGAACTCATGGGACATTCCTACTTCCCACAATTGTATCTGCCCCTAACAAATGATTAAACTATTTGTAACAAACTACACATTATGAATGAGGACTGAGGTTGGAACCCCAACTTTCAAAAGAACTGAAATGCCTGTAGGGAAGTGCAAATTTGTTTGCAATGGAGGGGACTTAACTCTCTACTCCCACCCCATTTTCAAGTTGAAAATCTCCATCATCTGGAGGCTATTTTCCCTATGGAGAGAATATCAGTGAATGCCCCCAGGTCTCGACACACTGCTGTCAACCATAGTTCATGACTGCATTTTAGTGTACTTTTTAAGTTACAGGATCCATTCATGGATATCTCATGTAATTTAATTTGACTTTCAGATACAAAACCTGAGGCAGCACAGAAATATTAATTTCACAGGTAACATTCCATTCAATCACTCAAGGAAATCAGAGTATCTTTTACCAGTGTCATGACATAGCAAGATTAGGAACAATTAGCACAATAAAAAAGTTACGAGCATTGCTGTGATAATCTGTGATAGGAAAGTCAATATTGCAAGTATTTATGCTCTTACCAGTATAACTCCTATGCTATTGAGCTCTATAAGTTCCAGGTTTACACTGTTTGTATTTGTCTGTAGAAGGCTGGATATTAATCTGATCACATTTAACCTGGTATTCCCTACAGGTGGATCCAATACACCCCATGTTGTCTTCATAACACTTTTCTAGACAAAAAAGAGAACAAAAATATTGAAATATTACTCAAACTCCAAAGTATTATTTATCCACAAGCGGGAGGGGGCAAGAGGAAACAAGGTAATCACAAAACTAAGTCTGAAACATTTAGCAGAATACTTAAAAGAGAAACTCAATGTTAGTCCCATACATTATGTTCTACAATATCATGGGCTGAAAATGTGAGGACATATATGTAGAATAAGCAGTTCAATGATCAGTTCACCAATGACAAAACACTTCTCCCCCAAGTTCTCAAAGTTGCATTTCTTTTGCAAAAACCATAACAAGATTGAGACTTAGCCTCCTTCCTTTGGCATACACAGAGTATTGGATGGACAAGGCTATTTCATTCTGTTCAAGGCTTTGAAGAAGCCAATAAATGGCAAGTCACTCTTGCTGCTTAGCACTGGAGAACAGGGAGGAGACTGGCATAACTTCTCAACTTCTTCAAAGCCTCACTACCAAAGTTGGAAGGTAGATCAGCCTTCCCTAATCCGGTGTCCTCCAAAGGTTGCTAGACTACCACCTATCATCCTTGACCATTGGTCATGATATTTGGGGTGATGGGAGTTGGAGAAAATATATACAGTGCACTAGGATGGGGAAGGCTGATCTAGGCAATCATGCTGCAAAGCTTGGTTCTGCACGTCAAGAAAGGGAAAGAAGCAGAACTAGAATCGGGCAATATAATGCTCTCAGTTTCCTTGGCAATGGAGGTTCACTTCTACACTGGGAACACAAAATGAGGAAGAGATGGGAGAAGCAGTTTGGTCGCTGAGGTGATAGAGAGACTCCCCTCTGGGACTGAAAGAAGGGTGGCTTATCATTTAAAATATTTATCCACACCTTTCCACCTCATTACTGAGATGCCCAAAGGAGATGTCATATAATATTAAAATAGCAGAAATAATATAATATAATATCAAACAAAGCAAACAGCAAACACAACAGATTAAAAACAACTCTTAAAAGCCAAGTGTATATAGGTTACCCACCAATGTCCAATTCATCAAATAGTGGATGAGTGCTCTCGAAGCTGGATTTATGGAACAGAATGGCTCCAATTTCACATGCACTAAATGTTTTACTTACTTTGGGGGGCTCCAAGAGCAGTTCATGGAAGGATGGAAGTCGTGCTTTTATGGCTTCTAATACACTCTTGTTGACCAAATATGTTGAGTGGCTCATACCTGGTGGGCAAATCTCTATGTGACCTTCAAATCTAAAATGAAGAAAAGGTAAGCTCTTTAACATAGAAAGCACAACTACTTTAAAAAGACAGATAGATCAGCAAGCTGACTAGGCTAGATAATAGTAAAGGCAACAAATCAAAAATTTTACATTCAACTCTCCTTTCAATTAAGGTGATACAGTATCTGCATTGTTGTTCACCGACCCACATCTAACAATTCTTTAGTCTTTCCCTCAACCTGACACACAAACACACAGTAAAATGATGTTTTAAAAATTCGATTAACATACACAAAAACTGACTTCCAAGCAACATGAATCTCATATTTTTGCAGTGATGTATTCATGATGACCCCATTTCAGAAGCTTCCACTTGGACTGTGCAAGACTTATTATTTCCAAGAATGTGTATAAGATAAATGTTTAGGTACAGATAATGTAGTCACAATTTACATCAATTTAATAGAAACATAGAATTACAGAATTGGAAGGGATCATGAGGGTCATATAGTTCAACCCCCTGCAATGCAGGAATCTTTTTCACAACGTGGGGCTCACGACCCTAAGAAGTAGTGACTCATGCTCTACCAACTAAGACATTAATATAAACTAATGACATTAATTTACACAAATGATACCATCTTGTTCCAACTGTTCCCTATAGTGAAATCAGTGCCAGAATGGACAGAAAGTGGCCTTTTACATGTATAGTTAAACTGCCAAGAACTATACCAAGAACTAACTTAGTTAGTTATATACCAAGAACTAACTTAGTTGGTCTTAAAGGTGCTACTGGAAGGATTTTTTTTTATTTTGACTATGGCAGACCAACACGGCTACCTATCTGTAACTAGTTAAACTGCGTTTGCTAAACACCTTCTTACTATCCAGAATCCACAAAACTAGGTAGAGATCAGAAAAATCCTCATTCAGAAACCTTTATATATATGCAACTGCACACAGTCATCTGACCAGGATAGAAACAACGCAAATGCTGCTGGATAAAATACTGTTAAACAGTAGAAACATTAAAAGACAATCTTACGTTGGCCGTCTCGTTTCCAGTAAGGTCAGCAATATCTGAATTGCACTGACTATAGCTGATTCATTTTTCTCTTTATGGAATATATTTGATAGCAGCTGTTCTATTATTTCTTTTCTAAAGAGAGAGAAAACATTGTTGGAAATTTAACATTCCCTTTTGTAGATGTAGGCATCTGAAGGAATGCTTCTCCTTTTATCAACCTGCCCAGTTTCTTCTCATTGTTCCACAACCAGAGGCAATACATTCAGTGGTGCCACATGATAGTAGTGCCTTTTCTACAGTGACACATCTATAAACCAGGCACCAAATTTTTTAACATTACAGTGCTCAGTTAAGACATGTCTTTTTGCTCAGGCATTTATGGAATATTAGACTGCTTCTAGGCTAAATTTGTATTTTCACCTGCTATACTTAATTAATTGGATATAGCATTGCTTCAAAACTGTATCACACACCTAGATCTTTTGCAGGGGGAGGGGACACTAAATATATTCTGAAATGAATAAATACATATTTTTCAGGAAAGGTATACATATGGCCTACAGTTTGTTCTTTGGTCCAGAGCTGCTTGCATTTTTCTTTAATAAAAGAATCAGAATTATTTTAATAGCAACCCTAATACTTGTAACAGTAATGGCAAGCTCATAAACCAGGAAATGATCACATGGCACTAAAATACTTTCATAACTGGGGGAGCAGTCTTGACCAATATAAACATTTAGTATTTCTGGACATTGCTGTTATCTACTATGCACACAAACTCTGCCCTTGGCCACCACCCCATTAGTTCTTGAATGCAATCCTACAACCCACTCTCTAGACAAAAGGTTAACTCCCTTGCTCAGTTCCCATTCTGTGGATATCAGGCTATATACTGCACCACCAACACTAGTTATGTACTGCAAGCATCAACAAATAGTGCATAAAATTTATTTGAGACCCCTTTAAAGAGTACAGATTCTAGTTTTACCATTCATAGATTTCAAGGCATTAAGTTACGTTAACATCTGCTTATATAGATAAAAAATATAAATAAGTTTCCTTACTTAGTACCATCACCTTTGCAAACCATGTACTTTCTCTCTCTGAGCCTTTTACTATTTCCTCCACTTGCATGCACAAGAGGGAAGGAACAAGCATGGAAGACTGAAACTCATGCTTGCTTATCTCTGTAATGCCAAACCATGGTTTAGCGTAACATCTGAACTAGGTCAGAGTATAGTGCACCTCAAGGTTGTTGCTGTTTATTTATTTTTTTAAAAAAATACACATTAAACTCTTTTATCTTTGTTAACGTGATCAAAGCATTTTTATGTCTTATTTCTTACAGAGAATGCACTATCATACTTCAGAACTTGCATTCAAGTTACATCATTCTCCATAGCACATGCAAAGCATTCAACATTTCAAAAAATGTCAATATCCATGGAATATATACATACATCTATGACAGCAATGCCAACATCAAGTCAACCTACTTTTCTAGTGTTGCAAGCAGTGGATCTGGTTCTGAACTGTTTTGTACTTGTAGCATCTGGTCTCTACTCAAGCGGATAATTTCACAGAGTGACTGGGATGCGTTTGAGTGTCTCTAAACAACAAGGACAGTTTATGGAATAAAAAAAAAAAACATTACAGTATTCATTGATAGTTAGCACCAAAGGTTAAGACTTAAATGCAAATTCACCCAATTCCCAGAAGGCAACACAAATTATGAGTGTTAAGCTACAGGACCAGCAGCTCCTCCTTATATGCTTCTCATTCTGTATAGAATGCAGGTGACAAAATTGAAGTGTGTGGATTTTGTAAGCAAGGCATAACTATGCACAGAAAAGTTTTAAATCAGAGAAGAGTGGCTTTTTGCCCCTTGGGGGGCACATGTGGCAGTAGGTGGGTGGGCAGGAGCTGCATGCCAGTGGGTGGGGCTGGTGACAGTATCTCCTTTTACTGCTCTTAAGCTTGAACAAAACACATTCAACTCCCCTTTTCACACAGACACAACCATCTCCCCCAACTCCCTCTCTCACACACTTTTAACAGGACCCTCTCCAGCAATCCTATTGCAGACAAGATTGCTATCTCCACAATGCTTAGCAGTGCGAGACAGCAGACATTTTGTCACAGTACAAGTGATGGTTTATCATCTGGGTGATGGGGAGAAGTGGCAGGGGCTCCGGGGGGCTTGGCATGGAGAGCTGCCAAGGACAAAATTTTCCTACAAAATTTACGTGAATATAAACCACGACATGTATTCCTTACATCTTCATCTTGAGAAGGATGCACAATTTCCACAAGCCGCTGAATTATTTTTTCTTCATTCAACCACTGTAGAGACATATGGGGGAGGGGAGGAAATTAAGTCTCCTTTCACATTTTCATCAGTCACACAGCTCAAATAGATAGTATCACCCACAAGTGATATTATACATTAAAAAGTGCATTCCCAGAGATAACAACATCAGTAAGACTTCAGAAACTTGCAGGAAGGAACCCATAAGCGATATTACCACATGCAAAGTCTAATTCCTTATAAAAACCAAGAACATGAGAATGGGCAATCTTTAAGGGTGCCAGGGAGAAAGAAAGGATCTCTAACAATTATACCAGATCTTTTTGTATTCATTCTTGGGAGTGGGGGGGGGGGAGATGTTCTACACTAGTACACTGATTAGTATATATATTAATTATCTGTCATGTTGCAGAGAAGGCATCCGGTACTGTTTCTACTCTAATTGCAGCTGGTAAGTTTTTTAGCGACTGCAATATACCACCAAATCTTTAAACAACATACCAGCATTCTCCCCACAAGGTATACAAGAGCAATATTTTGAGACATTTGCATATGTTCTGCCCTTTAATGTGAATCATTCTGCTAATTAAATATGTTATCACTGTGTAGACCCACCAAAAAAATAAGACCTCTTTTGTTTACCATCACTCCAGCTTTCTGTGACTGGCATATTATATTTTCTCTTATGCTTGCGCAGACTGATTTTAAGTGACCTATGCTGCCATATCCATTGCTACATGTCCAGTTCCTCCTGGAGATCATGTTCCCAAGTTTACTTAAACCCCAACAGCATTCTTGTAGATTATTCAATATGTATTTCTGAAACCAGGCCTTAAGATCATCCTCTGCTTCTAAAATTACTAATTCAAAGACTATGAGAGGCCCATTTAGCTTTTCTCTGATTGTGGAATTAGAAATAAAATTAACATTTGTGTTATGCAAGTCTGCACAGTGTAAACCCTAAAGGTCAACAATGAATCAATTTGCAGTTCTCTGAAGGGATTCCAAATATGCGTTATCTGCAGTCCTTCCAACCTTTGTGGAACAAAGATAGGAAAATTTCGGCATCACTATGTTCCTCCTCCATTGATTCAGAGGTGTGTGGTGGTGGTGGCATCAGCTTTTTGAGCCATGACACACAGCCTACCAGCTTATAAGAATTATTCTGCAAGTGAATTGCTAGGAGCATTAAAACTTTATGTGCTGTTTCAACAGATGGAGGGGGGACAAATAGCAAAAGAGGAGGGGAGATACATAGATATCTGCAATGGGAGAGGCATAATATAGACAGTAGAGAGGCTTATGGAGTGTGGCTAGAGCTGCAGGAATACAGAAGACAACATGCATGAAAAGATGGAGAGAAAGGTTAATAGACTGGTACAGAGACTTGCATGTGGTAAAAAAGAAGATTATCAAATGGGGTGCATGGAGGAGACCGTAGTTCTAAAGAGAAATCACAGCTTTAAAATTAAAATAAAGTTGCTTTTCCTGTGATTGAAATAGTAAAACCTGCTCTCTGACTGATTTTTATGCACTGCTGCTGTAAGGTGACAACACTACATTTATATTTTTGTCAACACACTCTAGCATTCTACTTCACATTTACAGACAAGCTGAAAAATGACGTACACAGAACACAAAATGGCTTAAGATGCTATTTGAGCTACAACTGGAATACACTTAATTGCTGTTAATCAATATTTTAAATGAATGTGTTGACAAGGTGTTTCAAGAATTACTGCAAAACATTGATTTCATTCATGTGTAAGCTATGGCAAGCTCAGTTGTTACTACTAACAATCTGAAACCACAACTGCTTTAGAAGCACAGTCCCTTGTGGACTTTTCCATGCTTCTAGATGCATTCATGGCATCATAGTCATGTATCTAAACGAGGTAACAAACAGCTGGAATACGGGGAAACTAAAAGCAGCTGAAATTGAATTTGTTTACAGTTCAAATACAATATTTAAGTGCTTGGTGAAAGCTAGCATTTCCATTCCAACTGATCAAAACAGGAACCTCTCTACCACCTCCCAGATCTTTTTCATTTTGTGTCTTATCTTTTGAGATTGTAAATCTCAGGGAAGGAACTCTCTTATCATTTTGATTTAGGTATCTATTCAGCATTTTTGGCAGAAGAGTAGGATGAAAATGCTGCAAGTAAATAAAGAAGTAAGCATTTCATAGACAGCACCTTTGCAAGTGAAGGGTTTTTCCTGCTCTACTTAAAAATTGAATGCCAAGGGTACCTCACTAGCTATTTACAATTTCAGTTTCAAAAATAGTGCCACTAATCTTCACTTTTAAAGATGACGCCCATTCCAAAAGAAATTACTTACATTTAACACTTCTTGCCTGGGCTGTGGAGGTTCTATGCATGTTAGCAGCCTGAGCAACAAGTCCATAATAGCAGAGGTTCCTATGTGCTTTATAATGAGGTCTACAAAATCATGCTTTTTCTTTAAGAAATCCACGATCTGTGAAAGATAAGACAGAACACAAAGTTGTGAAATAAAAAAGCCAACAAAAACAGTAAGAACTAAATTGCCAGAAAAAAACTAAGCAGAGTAAGGCTTATCCCTCTTTGAAAGGGATGCCTTCCCCCACCCCCAGTGGCCACATTCCTTCAGAGCCAACATGGTTCAGGACACACACACCTTTCATTTTCTTCCATGCACGCACAGCTCCCTATTGCAATTTGCACTGAGGAAAAACCACCCCTGCACTGTGGGAGGTCCCCTTCCCAAAATGCAAATAATAGGCCCTGGGGGACCAATTTCGATGAGAATCCTGTCATGAGAGGTTAAAATGTTTGACTCTTCTATCTCCATTTGTTTCAATGGGTCTTTGTAGATAATACAATCACAGATGCAGAAGGCCTACAACCTCCCATGCCAGCATTCCAATCCTGATGAGACTTCCAGTTCCTGCAATTTGGAGAGGAAGACATGAAAGCTGAGGGCAAGAGGCAGAGGAAAAGAAGCCCAGAATACCAAATAGGAAGCTTCCAAGGGTGGTATATGGCCCATGGGTGGTCAGATGGTTAAAGAGCCTCAACACATTCTTATATTCTTTTTGGAAAATCTATATATGGCACCAACATTAATTTGCCATAAGAACTATTACGATTGTTGCTCTTCTAAAGATAACAAGGGGAATGAAAGTAACTTAAGCTAGGCAGTTGAAAGCACGGTGTTTCCAAAGGAACAATTAAGTAATTACCTGTTCTGGTTTTCTGCTAATAAGAATACTTAGCACCTTGCTGAAGAAACTGGCCAATAACGGATTTAGGGGTGGCTCATTTAGAAGAAAACTATACAGTTTTGTTAATAATGATTCCTCTTCTCCCAGTCTATCATTGATCTGTGAAACATCTGAAGTAAGCAGCTCACAAGATATGTTTGGATACCTGAAAGAGAGAAGTAGACATTTTACTTAATTAGTAATAATAAATTAGCCTTACACACCAATAACAAGTGCTTTATCTAGCAATGCTGAGCGTACCATTATATGCAGTTTGAATACACAAAGTGCAAAGAAAATCAGAGATACCTCTCAGTTTGTGGAGGCAGGCCAGCAAACATCCAGGGGTTACTCCCGCTCTATCAACAAAACATATAATCATCTATTAGGTCCACCACTAAGCTGCTCTGACAGCCGGGGCCACCTGGCAGAAGACCTTACCCAGGCCTGATCACTACACCAGCCTGAAGCTGCTGTATGAATTGAGCCCAATTTGTCTGCCAACTCTACCTTATGCTGTTGCCATGATGAATGGAAGGACTGTGGATGCAGTGGTAAATCCATCACTCCTCAGGGCCTTGGTGGCAGCAGTGACTTATTAAGATTGCTATTAGAATGGTCTGGTCTTCAGACACTTGTTCTCTGCTGGCCAATCACCTGCCCAAACATGCATTCAATTGATAATCACCGTGTGCTGCCAGGTCCTAGCCCAATTTGGGGGAAGTGGGGTGCTCTAAAGCTATTCCATTGCTTCCCTTGAAGGAGTCTTTAAGAGTTGGTAAGGTAAAGCACTGGAGCCCAACACTCCTGTATTTAGGCTACTTTCTCTGATTGGTAACATGAAATGTAGTCAATAAGGAGTTCTTCAGAACACATAGCATAAAAACAGAGTGAACCAGATCAATGCTCCCAATCAATCCAGCTGCAGCATCTTACATTGGGCCGCTTGCAAGCTTCAGTCACTAGAACTGCTCGCTCTTGGAAAGTACACGATCAGAGGAGAAGCAGAGATTATGCAGAGCCAGAAGCCCTGCTTTATTCAATGTATTTATTGAGCAGACAACGGAGAGAGAGAGAGCCTAAATGAGTGTGGGGAGGGTCAGCACCCTTGCCTTTAGCTTTCTGTTATTAATCATAGTGTTTGATTGTGCACAGCCAAAGAGAGGAGAATGAGGAAGATGTGAAAGAGATGCAACATCTACCCCCACTTTGCCCCAAGGTATGTATCTCAAGTGGAGTATGTGTGTGTTTGTTTGTTTGCTTGCTTGCATGCCATGGAGAAGGGAATGAAAGTGTTGTGGCTACAAATATTGATTAAAATATATTCATTTTGCATTCTCTGGCTTCACAGTTGGTGGCAACTTTGCTTAGCAATGGGGTGAATAATTCCTCCATGGTTCACCAACTCCTGAGCAAATGAAATAAAATCTTTAAATAATGTGTGGGAAATGTAGTAGCACAGACCCAGTTTGGCACACACCCACACACCATACGCATTCACGTATACTCACACACAGGCTGAGAGCCTTAGTGGTGCCCCTCGGGAGGTTTCACCCAGGGCAAAAAAACCCAAGCTAGCCCCCTTGTAGCTACGGCACTGCACCATGCAAAAAACAACAAATATTGACAGGCTTCCAAGTTAAGGATCAGATAAAATTTACAGGGGAGGTGGAACCAGCCTACTGCCCACCAGCTAGTCATACCTGTGCATTGTTAAGATCACAGGACAATTCACAACACGAAAATGCAAAACGAGAATAAATAATAAATAATAAAAAACCAATAATGCCCCTCCCACAATGCCAGACAAAGTAGACAGTACTGGTCTAGAGATCTGACAGGAACAATGAAGAAGTTGTTTAGATGTCCTTAGTGTCTTTTCAAGAGAGAAAACTGAGGAGAGAACCAGAATTGGCTGCCTCCACATCCAATCAGCTCCACCCATGGCTGTTGGCTAACCTGTCCTTCGCCCCACCAGTGCACATGGGCACCAGCCACTACTGAAAGCAAGTTTTATATTATTATTTTTAAAAAGTTTTAATAACCTACAAGTACGCATAAGTAAAAAGAGAGAAATTCCTGCTATTTTGCAACCTATGAACTTTTAAATAGCGATAGGAGCACAAGCAACCTTTACCAACCATTCGAGTTTGACAGGTTTTGTATCTGACAACATTATTTCAATGAGGCTGGCTCTGGGTAGAAATCCAGTCTGATTAAGTACAGTATAATGCTTAAAACACTAATACACGCAAACACACATATGCACCTTTCAAAGGCTTAAGGAGGATCACAATCCAAAACATTATTAGTCAGAAACAATGGCCAAAGTAAGAAAAATATGCATTTCAAACTCTCCTAAAAGCCAGCAAAAGATGGATTAATATACTGGGGGGGACGACTGCTCTACACACCTTGAAAAACTGAATAAAATGCCCTACTTCCAGCAGTAACAGTCTCAACCCACATGGAGAAGAACACAAAGCAGGACCTACATTAATGACTAAATTTGGTGTGGGGAGGGGTTTTCTTAGATATTACAATTTAATCCAGAATATGAGTCAGCCTTCTTTATGCAGGCACCAGACCAATGGGCTGTACGTAACGCCAGTGTTCGCACAAGAAAAATCCTCTACCTCCATTAGTCTCTTGCATCCACTGATTTGCTCATGCAAGCTGCCTCCACGTAAATCTCCACCGCAACCTCCATGCTCCCCTCTCCCACTTGAGTTTCCCCAACACCATCGAAAACCTTTCCTTAAAGTGCCCAACCCTTAGAGTAGCTTTGGCCCCCTAGTGTCTGCCAGAGCTTCTGGACTACAGCTCCATAGCCCCAGACAGCACAGCTGTGTGGGCATAGGTTGGAGTTGTAGTCCAAAATACCTGGAGGGTGTTAAATTAGCTAAGACTATTAGGGGGTGTACTTTTGGTTGGAAGCACAAGACAGCAGTGGGGAGATCACTTGCAGCACGTAGTTTCCCTGTGAACAGAGTAGAGATATAACCCAATGAGGTTTTTTTAAAAGGTCTATTAAAAAAACATACCATAAAGAGGGACATGTTACCACCCTTAAACTATAGGTGCAACAGTCTTATGAAACTACAGTCAGCTATTCTGCTAGTGAGCTTTTGTCTTCCCTCAACTTCAAGCTCCTAGATCAAAACTCATTTCCTACTTGTATCTGATTTTTTCATCCATGTCTTGAGGTGGCTCTTCTATAATGAATGATACCAGATCTTCCAGACATTCCGATTTCAAAAGAAACTCTATAAGTTTGCGGTTTTGAGCTTTGCACTCTTGTAAAACATCATCTTCATCCATCAGCTCCTTCAGTGTTACATCTTCTCTCTCTAGAAGTGTGTCTATGTGGGATGATGAGTGAAGATCAAATTTCCAAAACATGCTGGTCTAGAGAAAAGGAAAAGCACACACAGCCTTAATTAAAGGGACAGATAGTAGCAGGTCTCTAACAGTCTTTAGGGAAGCCGTTCTCCCGTTTCCCTTGTTCTCAGTTTGCACACAAAACTGCAGAAGCAAAAACAGAAAGCAGGGAAAAGATGAACAGCGTTAAAAATTGGACTTCATGGAAGATGAAGGCGTATTTTATCAAAGTGCCTTGAATGATAAGCCAATGTCTTAAATTTCAATAAAGTTGTTAGCTAGTTCAAGAATTGTAAAATTTTGACATACAAGATTTGACATGTTAATGCAACAACAGTAAGAAAAATGTTAACCCAGCTTAGAATTTTCCAGTATCTTCTTGTCTTTTTATCTAACAGCAAACTGATGGCACTTTAAGTCAGTTTCCAAGAAGCAGCTGATTCAAGAGATTGTTAAAATGCTAGTTGAGAGTTAAATCAGGAAAAATGAGAGGATTTTAGCTCACACGACTGTGGATCCATGTTTATCTCACCAAGGTGCCTGTGTGTACTATTATCTTTTATCTCTATGGATACTATTGCCAAGAATAGAATTAAGCCCTTTATTAGTTTGCACCAAAAGATCTGGCTTTCCTTCACCTAGCCCATGACTGGCAAGAGCTCATAAAATTAACAAAAAGGCCAACAAGCAAAGTATCAACACTACAAACATACCTTTGGCCTCACACTGACTCAAGGCTTAAGTGATTTTTCTTGGCACTGCATTGATGCAAATTAAGACAAGGCTGTTTTTTAAAAAATGTGTTGATGCACATGTATTTCAGAAACTCAGCTTAATTCCTTAACAAGTCAATGCTGCACAAACGTTATTAAAAATTAAAGAAATGAGGGCATGAGCCAGAACCTTTTTCACTTCATAATAAAATGTTACAAACCCAGCCCCAATTAGTTACCATAAAATCCTTTTTGAGAATGGTTTATTCTCCTCAAACTTCAACTGTGCCCACCAACAGTAAACAGAAGTTGGTATACATGCATAGGACTATTATACAGTGGTGCCTCGCAAGACGAAAAGAATCCGTTCTGGGAGTCTCTTCGTCTAGCGGTTTTTTCGTCTTGCGAAGCAAGCCCATTGACGGGATTAGCGGATTAGCGCTATTAGCGGCTTTAGCGGCTTTTAGCGGCTTTTAGCAGCTTATCAGCTTATCGGATAAGCAGATAAGCGGCTTAGCGACTTAGAAAAAGAGGGGGAAAAGGGGGGAAAAAACCCAGGAACTCGCAAGACATTTTCGTCTTGCGAAGCAAGCCCATAGCAGATTCGTTTTGTGAGGCACCTCCAAAACGGAAAACTCTTTCGTCTAGCGAGTTTTCCGTCTTGCGAGGCATTCGTCTTGCGGGGCACCACTGTACATAATTCTCACTGCTATAGCAAATAGACATCAGTTGCATTAGCAAATCACATTAAGGAGGAAAAACAGGAATAGAGTTAGATAAAGTACCCAGTAACCCACAAATGTTTTTCAAACACATCTATAACCTTATAATTTGCCATTTGCCAGTTAAGTAGCAACTGCCTACTGGAAAACATGCATGCAGAACACTTTCTATGGAAAATGATACGTGCTCATTCTACCATGTTGCACTGCATTATGATGGTAGCTTTGGTTCTCTCATTTTAAGGCAACACCAGAGAGAACCAGAGTGGCATATACAGCCAGCATAATACTGTCATGAATTCAGCACAGGTCAGCACTCATAAAGGTGCATGTGTGATGCTCTCCATAAATAGCTAGTGCTGAAGGTATAGAGAATCACATTTTTCCATTGTGGAGAAAGATCCAAGTTGAGCCAAAAATTGTAGGCACTTGCCTTTAAAATAGGCCGTAGCTCTCTAAGCACTTCACTGAGGCAAGTTCCACTGAAACCAACAATGCTTGCTTCCAAATGCATATGGTAAGGATTGAGGAGACAGCCAGCAATTTTGGTTTGTTATATTCATTGGGTATAAGGGGATCAGGAGGACAATCTGATTTATATCTGTTTCCAACACTCTTGGTTGTGAAGTATTGTCTACTGATATACATCATGCCACCCTGCCCTCATTTGGGAGGAAGGGTGGGATATAAACTAAACAAAACAAAAAATTATTTAGTTATTTAAATCTAACAGGAGGATTCACCCAGTGCACCACATCAGTGAAAGTTCTGTACAAGGAGTTCTGCTTGTGCAAATGGACTTTCCCCCACCACCTCCCCCTGTGCCCACCAAAACTGGCACAGAGAGGGGGGTGTCATTCCATCTGACAAGCAGCAATGTTTGTGCCGAAAGAACTTTTATAATTGTATAATATTGAATTCCATGCTATGACATCATGTGTAAATATTAGAAGGTAGAAATGGCCCAAAGCTAGCCAACCAATTAAGGTATTAGTGCACTTACAGAAGTTGCTCAAATTTCATACACAGTATAATTTACACACAAACTGAAGTCAAACATTGGCTTATTTGTCAGGCTACCGCAACCATTTCTTGTTGACGAATACAGGGTAACTTTCAATCCAAAAAGCAAGGTTCATTCTACATCTATTAAAAATAAAATCAGTTTTCCAGACTTTAACCCCAATCAAAGCAACCCGAATCTGTGAACAATAGTACTTCTGACATAGTTCCAGAATAATTCCTGGGCACTAAATTTACAAACCAACACATACTTACTTGAAATTAAGTCCCACTGAACACAGTGGTGCTTACTTCCAATAATGTATGCATAGATCATGCTGCATGAAAATATTTCCCTAGCTACATTCATTCATTCATACATACATACATACATTTCATTGATTTTCAATGAATTGATTCAGGAAAGACTAACAGTAAGTAGCAACAAAAAAGAAAAGCATACTACTGCAAACATGTTACTGCGTTATTTCACAAACGTTCTCCCAGGCAAGCCGTATTAGGGGCTGGTTTCTCAATATGGCAGATGCTGACCAGATTATTCCATCACTTTTCAACAGGAGGCCAGGACCCTTGGAATAAGGAAAAACACCACAAAATGGATCAAAGGGCAAATCAGAGGAACCCTTAAAATAAGAGAACTTGTCTTTAATAAACCCACAGCATTAAGACTTTACTAGGTTTACAAATGTGCCAACGTTCAAATAAATGTCATGGTGTTTACTACTGACACAAATGAATCTAGTGGCACTTTTCTGATTCTCATGGTGACAAATGCATAAACATGTTTCATAGACTCCACACTGCATTCAGCTATGGAGTAGTCAATTCCTTGTTCAGAACTGTATGTCTTATTAGGACCAGGCATACCCCTATTCATTCTTCAACCTTATGCACATGGCAATACATTGAAACTGTACTGGACCTGAGAACTTTGGACTTTACAGCTTGATGAGTAAAAATTGGGTGTAGCTGTAGCACTACTGTGGCAGATAACTTCTACCTCCTTTCTTTGTGGCAGTGAAAAGAAAGGAAGAAGGCCCCTTCCCAGATGGATTATGTGAGCTGGCTCTGTATTAGTATTCAACTACCAATTGTGATAAACTATTTCAAATTACTGTATGTATCTGGTCAAACTACATCAAGTACTGAATGGTTATGTTGGAAATGTTACTTTTGAAGGTATTACTGTGAGCTGCTTTGGGTTCAACTTTGTTGTGAACTGAGAACCACTGTGCATAATTCACGATCCCCACCCATGGAGTTAGCTAAAACAGTGATTAGACACTTGGTGAATTTTCCATCCCAAACTGATGCTATCAACTGCAACATGCAGTGCTCCAATTCAGGAATAACTGATCAATACTAAACCCAAGAGATCTGTTGGATCAGACCAAATACTCATGTGGGCCACTCTCCCATCTCCCACACTAGCTAACCTTGTGCCTATGAGAAGACCGTAAACAGGACAGGAGGGAAATAGCTCTCTCCCACTGTTGCACCTCAGTGACAAGTATTTGGAGGCATACTCCCTGTGATCCTATCATAACTAGCAGCCATTTATAGCCTCATCTAATCCCTTTCAAAAGCAACTGAAGCTGGTGGTCAACACATCCCATTGAAGGAAGGGGTCACTAATTATATGCTTGACTACCAAGCCTCATTGGAGCTCTGCGTCAACATGAATAAATCTTATCTTCATTCCACACAGTGTATCCAGTTTAGAGTCTTATTCTTTTGCTCTCCTACTCTTTTGCTGCAGGGCACCCACCATGGGGATCTTACAATTAGATCCATGTGCAAGCCAGGCTTCTTGGAAGATGATTACATAGCACTGGTTTCCCAAAACATTGTGGAAGGGCAGAAGTTATTCAAAGGTTCAGCACTTGCAGAGCCTCACCTGATTCAGACGATTTGGAGAGAGGCCAGAAGATGGCTGTCATCTACATACTGGTGGCTTTGTGCTCCAACTCACTGAAATGACATACTGGTGACCTCATGGTCTAAATTCCCCAGTGGCTTGATATTGCTGTTAAAAAGCATGGGGAACAAGATGAAACCCAGCAGTACGCTACAGCATAAGTGCCAAGGAGTTGAGCAGCAGTCCTCCAACGCCTCTCTCTTGTATGGCCCAAAGCCATATTAAAATGGGTCTGGATAATCTTCTCCTCCCATCATATCAGAAACTGATAATCAGATTCACAACTAACTCAACAACCCTGCTTACCTACCTCAAATGGTTTTGTAAGTGTATAGTTCCATGTAGGATTCTATAGTTCATGTATAGGGAACAAGGTTTCCATCCATTGCTATGTTGCAAAACAATGAATTTGATAATCAACAGGGCAGTTCTGGAGTAAGGTTCCATGCAATTAGGAAGTATCCTGGCAACACTATCAGTTATTATGACTTTATTGAATTGTATTAATTCTTTTGTTGAATCTGTTGCTGTTGTTTGCTTCATCTATAAGCTACTGTGTTTGATATTATAATAATTGCAACTTTTTTTTAATGCTATTGTGATTATTGTGAGCCGCTTTGAGCTCAACATTTGTTGTTGGAAAAGTGGAATACAAATATTAAATCAAATCAAAATCAAACCTCTGGGCAGTTTGGAAAAATCTTACTGAGTATACTAACAGGGCACAGCTGCCACATTCCTTGGCAGCAGCCTTGGCAGATATATGCAATGTATGAAAATGGTGTGATTTTTTTGTAGAGTTATATGGATTTTTTAATGCACCGCCATTTTTCTTTCCTTTTAGTTCATTTCCTATGTCTGTACTCCTTCTATGACATATAGGGTACACCAGTTATCTATATTATTTATATCTACTGCCCATCAAAATGTGTTTCACAATTTCTCCCCTATTGCATGCTATTATTCTCTAAACTATGTGCAAAATTAATGGAGTGTTTTTTTAAAAGGATCAAAACAGATGCTGAGCTTTGTTCTTCCCATATACAACTATGATCATATCATTGCATATTTTTAACAAGCCTGGCAAGACACTTTTGAGTGTCATCTCAGTCCAATAATATCTTCTTCCTTTGCTGTTACTCAGATATGGAAAAAGTTGCCACAACTGATCCCTCTTGCAGTTCCAATCTCATCAGGATCAAACAAATTACTCACTATTTCTAACTTTAGTCTTTACAATGGTGGGCAATAAAGCCCAACCTACTCAATAGAATACAGTTTGAGCCAAATAATTTCCATCAATGGAGTCTGGTTTGCACTAGAATAGACTGCCCACCTCAATTTAATAGGACTGGCTGCGAGTCTGCAAGGAAAGACTATTCATTGCTACTTGTACATTCAACCAGATACTATGTGAACAAACAAGGAGGCATGGCTTCCAAGTGTACTGTATTTACTTCTGCTCATGACCTAGAACCATGTATCTTGTTCCATAGAGCAACTTTTGGGAGCACACATTACATGAACTGAGGAGCTGCTACTTCCCTTTGTATTCTGGCGATATGTACTATCTCCTCTAGGATTACTGTACCCTCTCATCATCATCTTATGAAAAGCTTTCCAAAAATGATTCCTTATCTAACCAATATCTTTGATAGGGTACCTTTACTACTTTGGAGTCTTCTCACTCAGCTCTTCAGCGAACCTTCTGAACTGATAGCTAACTGCCACCTTCTTTCCTTCAAAAACAGCCCTCCTTGCCTCGACCACGCCTGCACATAGAATGAACTTTTGTTTTTTATTGTAATCCTCCTGTCTTAATACAAATAGAAGGTAGTCCACAGACCAGGTATCACAATCATATTCACCAACACAGTAACTTTTATTCAAAGAATCAAGGAATAAAGTATACAATTCACCTAAGAAAGAGAAGCCCTTTTAGTCAAAGAATGTCTGCCACTGGGTGGTATCCACCATCGTTACCAGTTAGCCAAACTCCTCCTATCAACCAGTGTCAATGGGCATTTGACTTGGAGGCTACATTGTGAGAATATCTGAGCTCTCCCCGCAATTGTCATTCAACTCAGTAGCTAACAAGGAAAATCCCAAGAATGGCAGCTTCTACAGTAAACACACACACACTCCCAAATAACTAGCACAAGTTGGTATGATGTTCATTGTTCAAATTAACCTCTAGGTATCTTAAGAAAGTTGTACCATGCTAGGTTGGTCAACTTTCTTAACATATCTAGAGGTTAATTTGAACAATGAAGGAAGGATTTCACTGTCTAGTTGGGAGGTAAGAGTTGTTAAACAATTAGGCCACATAAGCCTTGTTGATCTACTGAAAAATCACTCAGTGATCTATCAATAGATCCTGACCTACTAGCTAACCACCCCAAAGAGCTCAGTTCTGATACTAAAAATAAATTCCTGGGATGAGCATGTGCTCATAGGCACTCATGCTTCTTAGTTCTAAGAGTATGTTGCCATCCATCCCACCAGCAACTGTTTTATACCTGTCTGTGGTTCATGGGCCTCAGTTCTTGGGGGGGGGGGGGGTAAATTCCACAAGGCTAAAGTGTGCCCACCCCAACCTTGAGGACATTGTTGAATAACTTTTTCCCTTGCCTTCAATGTTGTTAGATCCTCTCATGTAACTAAGATACTTTTGCATCTACTTTCCAATGAATTAACACAGAGAAGTTGGAATCCATTTCAGTATTTAAAATCTGGCTACTTAGTCGTATAAACAGAATTAACATATACCATAATGCACCCCCACCTCTCTTCCCTTTCGCATGTGCATGAGAGAGGAAGTTAGTTTAGCAGAACTTAGAACAATTCAATGTTAATGTTTAATAAGTTACCAACTTTTGAAGGCATATACTTTTGAAGGAAAATATGAAGTTAAATGCTCCATTTTCAGATTACAGTAGTCACAATATGAAATCAACATTTGTCCTCAGCTTCTTGATGCTAGTTGAGCAGAATAAACCACAGCCCCCAGTTTGGACACAATACTAAGCCAGGAATTGTGGTTAATTGATCCCACTTGCACCAGGAGACTAGTGAAGTGTCAGCAATGTCAGGAAACAATTTGATAAGAAAGCCAAGATTTCCTGTGACATGCAACGGGTTAAGAGTCACTATTTGTTTCAGGTTGCTTCTGCTTTCTTTATAAGCTCACCTTTTGGTAGTGTATGGTTGAATTACATTGCCAGCTTTCAAATTTGTGCTAAGCAGAGACCTGCATGCAGAAATATAGTACACATCTTAAGACAGACAAGAGTGTCTGGAATCAGTCACTGCCTGGCTGAGGGAAAAAATGCAAGCTTAATCCCTTTATGACACATTGTTGGTGAGGAATTTACCATACTACAGAACTGTGTTCACCTGTTTTTGGACAGGTCACACATGGATTTGGATCCAGCATTGGTCTTCAGACGTTCAAGTAGCCTTTGTAGCTTGAAGCACCTTTCACCAAATTTGGTTGGTGCCCCAGCTTCCTGAGGAAGTAGGTCTTATTCCATTATCCATATTTTAGTTGCATTCAGATTAAGCTGCAGTGTCTTGTGACCTCCAAAAAGTGCCCCAAAGACCACCTCCTCTTGTAAAGACTACCCATTTTAGGAGATCAAAATCCTAGCTTCAGGTGCCCACACTGCTATGACTTAGGCAGGCACCAAATGGAAATAGTGCCTTTCAGTTGTGAACACCCTTCAAAGAGGTGCTGCAGCAAACATGCTAACAAGTACTGCTGGCATTCTGAAGGCCATTTACCACCTTACATTAAGCCACAGGAGTGCTCATACAAAATCATTTCCTTGCAAAGAAGGAACCTAACATTTAGAATTTATACAAGTAACCACTAACACTTGGCAGTGTGAAGCTTTCTCATCCTCTGTCCAAAGAAGCAGGGAAAAGTTGCTCAAAGTAGCCTAACTGGACATTTAAACCTAGCTCAGAAACACAGGCATGGTTAAACAAGTAACAAGTAAAATATCTAAGCAGTATTCTCTCCAAATGTTACATTAGCAAATAACATCAGTAATGGCAAATGTGAACACTCTCCTCTATGTCACCATTTTAACATATAATAATTTTCAAAAACTTGTCACTATGTGCTTGACTTCTTTAGCCTTTAGGGAGGTACTTCCGGCTTCTAATGGGGGCAAGAAAAGCGGCATATATTCAAGTAATGGCAATTGAAACTCAATCTTGCAGCACTGTCACAATAATTAAGAATCTAAACAAATCACACGATACTGATAAGTCACCTCCCAACTCAACAGAAAGACTATCATTAAGTAATGTTGAGGAAGCATCAAGAAGCAAACTTCAGTTAAAGGCAAAACCATTTTCACATAAAGGAATTAAACCCAGGCAATCCTATTCAATCAGATTTAGTATAGTGAACATGCACATGACTTGATCATGGATTATTTTCCAGCGACCCAGGGCTTCAATTCCTGTTCCAAAACAGGACTTACAAATCAGGTTAAGTGCCATTTTTGTAAACATGCACAAAAAAACTTGCAGTGTTGATGCCATATTGATCCTAAATTGAATTTAAGTCATTAGTAATGGAGATAAACTGCATGTGTAGCTAAGGGCTTCAAAAGAAAAAAGGGGGAAAAGCAAAGAGCAAGAAATAAAGTTATTGGAAGAATGCCTAAAGCATTGTGTTTAGCCAATATTTAGGGGAAGAAGCAAACACCAAAACATTAAGCAACATCTGCAGAAGCATACTAGGTGGTATTTCTTACCTGTTAACAGAAAATTTTAAAAAGAAAAAAAAAATGTATTCTTTGTGGCTCCTTGCCCATTACAGGGTATCCAGGCAGCAGCAAAATCTTTAAATCTACAGTATTAGCAGATTAGCAGGCTGAATTAGGTTAAGATGAAGCCGATTTCTTCCTATGAGAAAACACAATACAATTTTATAATGTCAACACAATTTCATTAGTGAAGTCAATAATGAACACCTCAATAATGGAATATATTGAGAGCTAGTAACATGAGAGCAATTTAATCAGGGTAACGTCTCTCACATATTTCACACAACGGTAGAGAGAAAAGCTTAAACTGTACTTGGAGAAACTGCTGAGGCTATTTGCAGGAACCATAATGTTTCAATAAACACCAAAGCAAAGGTACCCAATTTAACTCTTCCCCATTTCAATTGCTAGTATTCTCAAACATTATTATTCCCCCCCTCACAAACACACACACTGCATTTAAAAAAGCAGTTTGGTATGGATTATGAACATTAATCAAAATAACGTGCAGTTTTTATTTATAGTTCTAAGCAGTGTTAGAAAGATATAAAAACTAGGCGCTAAATGGCACCTTAAACCTAGATTATGGGCGCAACAACGGAAAGTCTAGGCGCGCTTTTATATAACAAGAATACAAAGCTGAAAATACAAGAATACAAAGCTGAAAATGTATGAACTGCAGCTAAAATATTATGTTCATTTTTCACATAGTCTAGTCCTTCCCCTGCCCACCACCCTAATAGTCTTAAGAGGGTCTCTTCTCCAGTCTTCAGAGAGTAGCTGGAAGTGGGGAGGCAGAAAAAGGTCCTCCTTTCCTTCCACTTTGCAGTTTTAATCTGAAATCTTAGGTGCAGTACAGCGCCCAGAGCTAATGAAATTCCCTGTCGCAAAATGCCCCTAGGACAAGTTTTGAACACTGGTTCTAAGTCTTTAAATTCTAAAAGGGATAGAAATTCAGAACTACTATATGCTTTTGTACACCATGTGGTATTAAAATCAATGATATGAATGGCGTCCAGGATCAAAACAAGTGGACAACTCAATCATTGTTTAACCAAAGGGACTGTGTTGGGTGGTAGTTCTTGAATAGCAGCATACATGGAAAACCACTTTTGAAGCAAGGAGCCTTTCAGGAGCAGTTTATTATGTGGTATGGGGTGTCCACTCGTAGGGGAAACAGAGAACATCAGGTATGCCCAAGTATACCCCAAGTACTCCTTTTGATCCTGAGCATTATAATCACCAGAACAACTGCAATAGTTCATTACTATTAGCCCTCCATATTCTGTCTTACAATACTGATTTACATGGAACAGTATACTAACCAAATCATACAATTTCCTTTTTTAATAAATGAGTACTACATTCTCTAAGGAAATGAGAGCCAAAACACACATTTACAAAGCTGTAATTCCCAAAATTGTGTGGGTTCAGTGAGTTTACATTTATAATGGAAATGTTGTTTCTGCTGAGTGCCCTCAGATACTAATGACCATTTTCAATTTAAGCAGCAAATAGGATAATGAAACTTCAAACCAAATGTCAATGCAAAAGACTGTTGAATAATCACTTTTACTAGATAAAGATAGAATGTTTCAAAGCAGTCCTTTTTGCTGGAGATTAAAAACAAGTTTCCAATAACATGATTCATTTATTTCCTGAATGAGAATGAATGCTAATTGGTTATGATCTGGAACTAAATAAAGCCTTGATGCTGTGTAGAAACATAATTTATAAACCTCCGGTCAGAAGTCCTAATCATACACATTAAGGGAACAAGAGGAATATTTGTGAAATTAAGGGTTTCTGTTCAGCATTCCCTGTATACATGGAAACATAACCAAGTAAGAGAATTTCTTCAAAGACCAAGAGCCAAACTAGGTACTCATGAGTCATGACCAACCCCAACAAAAGCTGTTTGAGAACTGAAATACAGTTTTGGGGCAACAAATGTAATCAGAGTAGAGGAAGTAGACAGGTGGGTAAAAGTTGTTTTGAAAACAGCAACTCTCCATTATTGCACTGATCTGCAGCCCACAACAGTTGCATTTCAATTTTTCAAAAGATCCTCAGGAGTGATTACTAGTTCTTCAGTGCCTAATTTTTTTCAGAAGCAAAGGCCAGTAGTAACTGGGTAGAATAGTGCTTCTTCATGGCATCAGGAATCAATGGGTTTGGTGGGGAGAAATAATTTCTTTTCTGAATAGTTTCCAAACATATATAGAATACCTACATGTATAAAAACATTTTAGAACATATATATAAAGGCAATACAAATACCAACCCTACTTAAAAGCCTGTTGGAAAAAGTAAAATCTTCAAAAGACAATAGAGGAGGTTTGAGTCTGAAATATAACAGGGGTTCCAAAGCGTAGGTGCTGCCACACTAGCGACCTGGAATTCTTGAAACCTTTATAATTGTTTATTTTTATCCTTCCCTGACAGATACATGCATTTCAGGAAAACTGGTTTCCACAGTATCTCCAACATTACTATATGGTCACTCTGTAGGAGTCTGGAGAATGGACATGAAAGGATGAAGGTGGCCAAAAATGACTCCTTGAAAGTCAGTGATCAAGCATGCCTACTGCCTTATTATGTAAATTACTCTTTTTCTCAGCTTTTTATGGAAATGAGTGCTTGAAATTGTGGAAGTCAGAAGGATATGTAGTAAATTTCGTAATAAAAAACCTCAGAGATACTAGGTTCCTTACAGTTCAGCAGCTTGTAGCTTAAGGACCACCTCTCCCCATATGAACTGACCCAGGCCTAAGGTCATCATCTGAGGCCCATCTTTGGGTGCCTTCTTCACACAAGGTTGATAGGGTGGCAACACAAGAACGGGCCTTTTCTGTAGTGGCTCCCCACTTGTGGAATGCTCTCCCCAGGGAAGTTCGACTGGCGTCTTCATTATACACCTTAGGCACCAAGAGAAAATGTTCCTCTTCAACCAGGCCTTGGGCTGATTAACATCCTATTCCCTTTAAAGGTTTGTTGGAGGGGGGAGGGGGTTATTGGTTTGCTTTTATTATGTATTTTGTGCTTTTTAACTTGTATTTTTATGTTGTGAACTGCCTCGAGATCTATGGGTGAAGGGTGGTATACATTTTTATATTAATAATAACATGTAACAGAAACTTGGGGGGAAATCAAATTGTAATTATTTCTGAAAAAGTGTATATACCAGACAAAATTCTATGATAAGAAACTGACTTCTGAAATAGAAAGATTACAGTGGTACCTCAGGTTAAGAACTTAATTCGTTCTGGAGGTCCATTCTTAACGTGAAACTGTTCTTAACCTGAAGACCACTTTAGCTAATGGGGCCTCCTGCTGCTGCCGCGCCGCCGGAGCACGATTTCTGTTCTTATCCTGAAGCAAAGTTCTTAACCCGAGGTAATATTTCTGGGTTAGCGGAGTCTGTAACCTGAAGCGTATGTAACCCGAGGTACCACTGTACTTTAAAAACAAGTATTGTGTTCCCTCCCCCCAAAAAAACATTTTTCCAGAGGAGGGGGGAACCCTGGAAAAACCCAGAAAAACAGCATTTCCAGAAGTGGGGCTTCAGATTTCTTAAAAATAAAAAAATACATCTCTATCCAGGAGAGCTAGGAAACAGTTGGGAAGAGAACGCCATATTTAGCCAAAATGACTCATCATCCCCTTCCAAATGAAGGGATGCAGCACCTGAGAGCACTAGCGGAACAGCTTTGGGAAACAGAGGCAGAGCCACATAGGTAGCAGAATGAGAGCAGTAAGCTAAAAACATCTGGGGGTTTAAGGGTGATTTTCTTGGAAGATATAATGTGCACGAACTATTTGTTCCCAAGTATGTTCGACTGGTTTATTTTTAAATAAAACAAATTAAACTACTACAAAAACAGACATCCAGCGCTACCTCCCTCCAAAGGAACCTAAATCTGGGTAAATTGAAACATCCCCTGAAACTTCTCAATACTTATGAAACCAAGATCAATGGTCCAAATCAGAAAGGATAATTCTTCAGCAAGGATAATTCCTCACACAGGGTTCTGAAGGGAGAAAGTCTGTACTCAGGGTTCTTCTAAGCAGTCCTTACCCCCTTACATGGGACTTACAATACTATAAAAACAAGTAGCAATTAACCATTTATTTGGCAAAGGCAAACCTCTGATTCATGAGGATCGTGAGGCTGAGGGCTTTCAACGGGGCCCAGCCCTTCAAAGCACAAGCAACCAGAGAAATGATTGGCTCATGGAAACTGCATGTTCTGAGGAAACATTCTCTTTCAAACGATGGCGGTGAGGTGGAGGGAGGAGAACAGAGTGAGAAGAACTAGGCTAAACAGTATTAATTCTATACTGACTTGTAAAAAAATCTGTAGAAGTGTGCTTATGCCTTTTAACCTTGTTAGACCTGTATTTCATTTCAACTTCAACTCCAACCATGATGCATTTGAAACGCAGCTCATTGCCTCAACCAGTGACCAAAAGAACATTTCCCCCCTCAAATATATATTCCTAGGTTTAACTGCAAATGAAGCCATGGTTTTCCCTATCTACCCAAAGGTATCGTTATTTTATTATAGTTTAGGTTGAGCAGATGTCTACAACACCATTGCTGTTAGAAGACCATGAAATTGCTACCAGAAAGAGCATCTTCACTACAACATCAAAACAAGAATAGTATCATGGAATTGCAGAGTTAGAAAGAACTATGAGGATCTAGTTCAACCCTCTGCAATGCCAGAATCTTTAACCTAACATGGGGCTTGAACCCACAACCCTGAGATTAAGAGTCTAATGCTCTACCAATTAAGGTATGTTCTACAAATAGTCCACTAGGACAGGTAGTGTACAAACCTTTTAGATCCATTTCAAGCATGGTGGGCTTCTAGTGAAACATCTGAAGGCAGTGGAAACATAGGGCTCTGAAGTTCACTAAATAATCAAGAGCAGACTATTTAGATACACAGTACTCCCAGGTTTGTTTCCTGCAATACTGTTTGTTCTACTTCAAGTTATCTTTAAAAGACTCAGTAATTTTTAGACGAGCCCTGCTGGATCAGACCAAAGACCTACCTTGTCCTGCATCCTGTTCTCAGTGGGAAACCAGAAGCCTATGGGAAGCCTGCCACACCTGAGGATAACACCACTCACCCTACTTGTGATTCCCAGCAACTAGTATTCAGAGGCATACAGACAACGGACATAGTATAGCCATCATGGTGAGTAGCCATTGAATACCTCCTTCTCAATGAATTAAACCTCTTTTGAAGCCATCCAAACTGGTAACCTTATTCCATAGATTAACTATATGCTATGTGAAGAGGTACTTTCTTTTGTCTGTCCTAAACCTTCCAACATGCAGCTTTATTGGATGGCCACTGGTTCTAGTATGAGGGAGAAAAACTTCTCTTTATTACATCATTCATAATCTTATACACCTCTCTCATGTCCCCTCTTTCTTGCGTTTTTCTGTAAACTAAAAAGCCCCAAACATTGTAATCTTTCCTCACAGAAGAGCTGCTCCAGCCCACTGATCATTTTGACTGACCTTCTCTAAAAAATTTCCAGCTCTACAATAGCCTCTTTTTGAGGTACAACAACCAGCACTCTACAGAATATTCAAAGTTCATTATATAGATTTGTACAATGGCACTGTACTAGCAGTTTTATTTTCAATCCTTTTCTAATGATCCCAAATAGGAAATCTGCACTTTTCATATCACCTCAAGTAGCCCAAGGTCAGTCACTACCAATTTAGCCACCATTATAAAACATGAATCACTTCAGTCTAGAGATCCCTTTGGAATGTCTCCTAACCACTTTTTGTTTTTACCACTTTCAATAATTTGGTATCATTACCCAACTTGGCCACTTTCATTGCTCAACTTCAGAGATGCATACTATTTTTTGGCAACTTTTCCCAGCACATCAAGTCTAAATAAATGTAAAGCAGCATTAACATTTATAACATGTTTCTCACTTGGGAAAATGTTGTTCCTAACCCATCACTTAGGCATGACCTACTAGCACTTAGGCTACACTACAGTATTCCAAGTTCTTACCAGAATGTGAAAATGCAAAGGACTTACACACAGAGGTATCAGTCTTATATTCAAGAATTAATCCAGAACAAACTGCTATTGTGAATTCTACATACAAACCAGTTGCTCTGTTGGCACCAGTCTGCCTCGAGAGACAACAGAATGCGCCTCCAGCGGCTAAGCCCTAGCAGCAACTTGGGGCGCAAGCCTAGCAGTGTGTATTGAGGTCTTGGGCTACCTAGACAAGACCCTCCTCTCAGCATCACTGACGTGGTCCAAAAGAAAGCAGAGCAATACATTGGTGTCAGCTTGGCTACAGCAGTTGACAGGAGGCATACACAGTGCCATGCAACCATCTTAGGGACTCCACTCTGGATGGAGTCCCTGTGTATGGTTTTGTGTAGCCTTTTCTTCTCCCAAATGTATTCAGCAAGGCAGTAGAGGTTTAGGATAGGAGTTTCCCTTCTCCTAGGTGGGCTACCTTCCCAGGTTGACGTGCCCCACCTGCCCCTCACTTCCCTCTACAGCACATGCAGAAATTGGCTTCTTGACTATTGGACCCACTTTTGGTCTTGTCTGCTCAATCCACCAGAGCCTGTCTTTTCATGCAAGGGATGTCTCTAACTCACCAAAGGTTTGAGACCCATCAGCTACCCTTGCCCAGTTTAGCCAGCCAGTTGAAGCCATTTCATGGGGTGTGTCCACTTGCTGTTGCTTGCTGACAGCTTCTAGGAGCCAGAGGTAAGAGCTAAGTGCAGGGTGGGGACCAAAGGTGGACAAGCTGCCCCAGAAGGAGCACAACATGTCCCCAAGAGGTAGTATCCCACCCCTAATACTTCATATACTCAAACTGCCCCTAACAACCCATATACCCCACCAGTTGCTCTAGTTAATATATTTGCAGTGGAGACTGGTATTACTGGTTTAGTGTGCATTTTGGCTGCATCTATGCAAGCCAGACTTGATCTTTTACCAATAAATTGATTATCTGTGTCCTTGTGATGCCCTTCACTAAAGCGATCAATCTGAACCTACAAAATCATTCACGTAATCATAATTCCACAACGCCTTAAACATTCTCCGGTATCACCTTTTCATGCTCAAAAATCCAACATTGTTAGATCCAATATGCATTTTTAGATCAAACATAAGTAAACCCCAATCTCAAATTCAATCTTAATGACAAGGTCAAAAGCTAGGCTTTATGTTTTACAGTAAATTAAGAGTGATACTAAATGAAATGCTTGAGATTTGTGATTCATCTCCCAATGCCGCAGATCTCTTTTGAATATACCCACAGAGGCTCCTAGACTGCATCAAGTCCACAGCACAGAGGGACTTTAACTCTTTCCTGTATGCCATTTTGCAAATGCAAATCATGCCTCTCCCAGCCAAAAGACGTCTGCTATTTGACCCACTATGAGAAGCTGTAAGCACACCTGTGAATGTTCTCAATTTGTGTAAGTAGTAGCTGAAAGGTGGGCAGAGATTACCCCAGGAAAAAAGCATATGGAGAAGGTTCAAAAATCCCCCAGAGCCCTCATGGCTACTTCTAAGAGAAAATGATAGTTTTGACCACAGATCTGTAATATCTGGTCTGTTTGGGGACTAAGAGTAAAGGTTAGTTTAATTAACCTACTACTGTATTGCAGAAGCATAGCACCACTAACTTTCAAAAGTAAGTTTCACCCTACATAGGACTGAATCAGCTTTAACATTAGCTGATTTCACTGGGTTTAGGCATGTCTTCTATCTATGATTGGGAACACAAAGCATTTTGTAACTTAATTTCCAGAACGGTTCCAGTGTCACATGTGAAAGTCTTTTCATTTATCCCACTTCCAGAATAATAGCATTTAACCTATGCTGGCTAGAATATACATTAGAATTGACTCTTGGATTCTTGCTCAAGCATATACCTATCTACTCTAATGTAATATTCATTTGAGTTCAATGGGACTTATGCCCAAATTTGTGGGTACTGAAGTGTTTGTAACCCGAAGCATTTGTACCACTGTATAGGTTTGCAGCCTTAGTTGTGAAAAGTGAAAAAATGCCTTCATCCTGTGTCTCCTATGACATGCAAGAAATGGTGTTTATCTAGTGATATTTCCATCCTATTTAAGCCTTGAAAATACAAACAATTTATCTCCAACAGAGAAGTTTTAAATTAAATAATTATTTAAAGGTTTTCATCTTTCCCTTCAAATTCTTAAATACTGAAATACTGAAATAATCAAAAGTTGGAAGAACTTTATGGTCACCTAATCTATGTAAAGGCCATTATTTTCCATAACTGATGCTTATTTTTAGCCTGGAATATATCGCTTGCAGGTGTTAATGTCACTTTGAGATTTGTATTAAAAGCCCGGATGAAAATAAAATAGATTGATAGTGGAAATGGTATAGTATTCTATTTAAAATGCACTGTATGCTCTAGCTAGCTAATGTAGGTTTCCCTCCATTCTACTTACAGAGGTGAGAGGTGAAAGAGTCAGTGGAAGTACCATCTGTGGAAACAGAATTAAAGAATTCAAATCTAGAAAGCTAATGCATAGCACATCAAGAAAGCTGCACCATTTCTTGATGTGCCTGTAGTAGGAAAGGCTGTGTTTACAGATGGCTCAAGCCAATAAGGATACCATGATACAAGAGAAAATATGAAAAAAAACCCAGTCATCAGTCAATATGGAAAACCACCCTTCCTGACCCTAATCTGGCTGGAAGTACATGCAGAATTAGATACTAAAGCATAGGTATCTGAGCACTCCGAACATTTTTTTGGTAATTTTTAGTAGTAACCCATTTTATCCTTTGAGCAATTATTTATTATTCAAGTCTAGTTCTATCTAGTCTCTTACAGTATCTTCCTTTTACTCCACTGATGTTGTCAGCAAGACTTTTCCCCTCAATATCTTCCCCATGGAAACCATCAAAATAATGAAGGCCCTCTATCAGGCTGATCAATTGCCCCACTAGCAAAAGTTCAAAAATTAGTGGAGTTCAGATGTTAGTATTACTAATTAAACTCATAGCTTCCACAGGACAGCATTATCACAAACATTGCACAATGTTACTAACACAAGTACTGTACATAGTTTAAAATGAAACTGCCAGTTCTGGTAGAAAAAAATGTTGCAATATCTATTAGAATGCAAGAGTACATAAAGAACTCTCCTCGATTTTAAATCAAGGATTGTTGCAGGAAGTTGTTGTTTTTACTAAGTTTCTCAATCTAAAAATAGTTAAGTATTGCTTGAAAAAGCATCCAATTGACGCTAATACTTTCCCTCTAACTTTGTCCCGGCCAGGAAAAAGAACGCGTCGGAGCAGAGGAAGTATCTAACAACCTAGAACGTGCTTTATTTGTGCGGGATAAAAACTTTAAATCCCGCCCAAAGTGTTTGCCTGAAGCAGGATGCTCGTATCCCGCTCTATTAATACAGTCATATCACAGCTGCTGCTGCTGCTGCAGGAAACCGCAAACGAGCTCCCACCACCCAAGTTCACATCCCAGAAGCCAAACGCGCAAGACCTTCTTGCTACCCTTTAAGCAAACGTTCATTTCACATCTTCGCTCAGCCAAGAAGCGAGTCCAAAGGTTGTTTACGGGGAAAAGAGGTCATCCGCTTACAACAATTTCCCCCCTTTCTTTTTGTAGGAAATGGGAATTTCTACACGCCCTTCCACCCCTCAAAAGAAGCCCAGAGGAGTTCGCACACCGGCCGAAAGTCTCCCTAAGGGGGAAAAGACCGAGGGAATGGGAGGACGTGGGGTGCGGCCAGGGGGTCCCCAATACCCGCTCATTCTTTCGGAGAAGGCGGCGGCAGCAACCAACGACCCCCCCCACAAGGCCTTCAGGAGAAGAAAAGGCTTCGGGGGCTCCCTTCCTTTCCACCCCTCCTCACATGGTAGAATGAGGGAGGCGGGAGGGGAAGAGACGCAGGCCGCTGCGACGCAGAACTGGGGGACTGCGGGGGACACATCTCAGGAAGCAAAACAAACCGAGGCGCTTAGGCCGCTGCTGGGAGGTGAGGGGTGAGAGAGACGGAGAAAGGAAGGCCTCATCCCGCTTCCCTATGGGATCCAGGCCGGGAAAGAGAGGCGGCGGCGGCTCACAGGGGCGACTAAGCGGCGGGGGGAGAGGAGGACTATCTCCCACTCAAGCGGTTCCTCGGCCTCCCCGGCCCCCACCCGATCCCTCAGAGGGAAGAAGGAACGAAGCCCCCCCCCCCATCCCGCCTTTACTGTCCTCGAGCCTCGTGAAGAACAATTAAACTCAAGGCGCTGAAATGGGCCCAACGCACAACCCCCCCCCCCGCCTCCTCAAGAGCGCCTCTTACCCCCCCTCCTGGCGGACCCCCCCGCTCAGGCGGGAAAAGTACTGCTCGCCACCATCACCGACTCTTCAAGATGGCGGACATATCAGCTCCTTCGAGTCCTCCTCTGTCCCCATCCCCCCCATTCCTGCCAATCAACCCTCTAAGGCTCACACCTTTCCTCATCAATCACCTCTTCTATTGGACAATGGCAAAAGCCTCTGTTTGCTACTGGTTCCAACGTGTCGTCGATCACACGCCAAGCTACTTCACCATTGGGCAATAAAGGGGATAAAGGCCGGGGTCACGGCTTTGTTTCGCCCAATCAGCGTTTCCAGACGGGCGCCTCTAACTTCCCACCTCTACGCCTTAGCAACCAACTGACGTCACTTTGAAAGGCGTTCATGCTGTCCAACTAAAACCTCCGCTCCTATTTAAAAATAAACCAATGGCGGCCAATCGCTTGCCGAAGAGCTCGGACCAATGAGAACGAACGAGGGCAAACAAATGACTAGGAGCGAATACGCTTCCCTATTGGGCGGTGTGAGAAACCACGCCCTCTTTGTGTAATTGAAGATATCAAACTGCCTGACAACAGCGGCTTCTTTAACTGGAGGGGGCGGAGCTGACGCGAAACGAGGCTTACGAAAGGCACTACTTGTAAATCAGGCGTAACCCGCTCAGAAGCAGGGGGAATTAGCTCAAATGGTAGAGCGCTCGCTTAGCATGCGAGAGGTAGCGGGATCGATGCCCGCATTCTCCAATTTTCTTATTAGTTGTTTTCCCCCTGTTAATGCACATGCTTTACAAATCCTTAATTGTAATTGTGGCATCCGTTTGAAAAAAGCTATTGTTTTTTTCTCGCTAACATTGTCTCGCGGCACATCTTCTACACCTTCAGGGGTTGTGTACATAATTTTGAACAGGGGAGGCTCACCCTTACATGAATCTACTAAAGTCCAAAAATCGACCCCTCTCCCCCAAAAACCTCTCACATCTTCTATTTCCAGGGCAGGGGTAGGAAGAGCGAAGGAAAGATGGTCGAAGTGCTGGTGCAAAACACAAAAGTTAGTGCTCCTTATTTTGAGGAGCTCGTAACGTGTGCGGCTGCCCATGATTGTTAATGCACACGATGCTCTCTTTTAAAAAAGCAGTAAAATATGTTAGTTAGCCTACAAAATAGGCAGTACTGACCTTTCCAAACAAAATATTAAGTTTAGGCTACAGATAACCCTATGGCACTTGGCAGTTAAGTCCCACCGAAACCAATACTGTACATCTTACTTCTAAACAGGCATATATATATATAAGGTTGCCCTGTAAATGTGTGCCTCCTGGATGAAAGTACAGTATGCATAAAGAGGCCAAGATTTAAAAAAAAGATTTAAAATTTTGTTTTATAAGGGAAACACACACTTGAAACCAGTGTATCTGGAACCTGCAGTTTTGAGGAACAGCCTCATTCCTCACTAATGCATGGCAGCAAAGTGTCCTGCAATTGTGTCCAGCATGTGACAGCTAACTCACAAGGCTGGACAAACCCTTGGGCAAAAGTGGACACATTTGTCACACACCTTTCCTTCCTGTGTGGTTTCAATCTGGGCAGCTATGCCAGTAACCATGGCAAGTCTGTGCCGGTCACTTTTCTTCCTCCATCCCTTGTTATGTAAGTCCGATATTAATTATTTCAGTTTTAATTACAGCGTCTACTCAGTGACTTGCATAACAGAAGCAAACCTAAATGCAGAAAGGATTTATACAAGAGATCACATATGCTAAAACTCAACAACGGACAGTTGCCGTTTTTTCCTGTTCAAAACAGACAACTGGAAAAGCAGCTCAAGATATCCTATTTGGATAATTGCTTCCCAGGAATATGTGTACAGTGGTACCTTGGTTTATGAACTTAATCCGTTCCGGAAGTCCGTTCTTAAACCAAAGTGTTCTTAAACCAAAGCATTCTTTCCCATAGCAGCGTGAGACTCAATTTACAAATGGAACACACTCCACAGAAAGAGGAACATGTTCTGCTTCCAAGGCAAAGTTCATAAACCAAAACACCTACTTCCAGGTTTGCAGCGTTCTTAATCCAAGTTGTTCATAACCTAAGCTGTTCTTAAACCAAGGTACCACTGTATTGTCATCAATGTTTCTTTAGAAGGATAACTAAATGGGCCTTTTTATTACAGGTGCTTCAGACATGTTTCAGTAATGCCAAGTAGCATCTTTCTCCAGTTCACTACAGTATTTTTGAATTCTAATAATATTCAGCCTCTAGCTGCTAAAGGTTCATCAGAAAGGTGAGAAATATGTGAATGCTTTGCAGATCACAGCTTTAAATAAGGTCTACTAAATCTTTTTTTTTAAGCATTACTCTTTACTGTTCTGTAAACCGGATCCTGCTATCTTAACTGGATTTGTGGCTGGGCTAAAAGATATGTTGCAGTCCAGCCCAGTGGGATTTCAGTCCCATGAAAATCAACACCTTAAAACGATGCATAAAACCTGAGAAGGATGCCCTGACCAGTTCCTTAATGCAGTTGTGAAAAGCATCCCAGGACAATCATTATAAATGAAGAAGCTGATAAATTAGTATTAATCACATGGTGATGATGCAGCAGCAAGCAGATTCCAAATACAAATATAGGTTTGCTTCTAAGAGGAACAAGGCGATTAATTTCCCCCCAAGACTCATACAACATAATCCCTTTAGATGAAACAAAATGTTCAAAATCAGTTTCCTAATCTCATTTCCATCACTGATCCTATTAACCGCCTGGAAGCAAAGCTATTGTTGGCTCAGACAGAAACGATGCACAACCTCTCGCCACGCACATATAGCCAAAACACTCTCCCTCCTTCCAAACCTTGATATCTACTCTACCAGTCCAGAGATTGGCAGGGGAGTGATAGAGCCATGAGTGTGGGGACAATACTATTCTGTTCATTTATCAAACTACTTGGGCACTGAAGGCTTAGCAGTGGCCCTCCCCATGGATCATTTTTATGCGTGTGTGTGTGTCATAGCTGTCAACTTTCCCCTTTTCTTGTGAGGAATCCTATTCGGAATAATGGAATTTCCCTTAAAAAAAGGGAAACGTTGACAGCTATGGTGTGGGTGGGTGGGTGGGTGTATGAAAAACTTGGTGAAAAACTTATTGGTGAAAAACATCTATTTGTAGTTTTAATGATAATAATAACAATAATAAAAACAGGCTGCTCAAGATGGCAAATACGCTTTAAAAATGCTAAGATTGTTTTGTTTGTCATCCTCATTCTGAAAACATAAATTGCTGTATATAAGAGGCTGCTGTTACTATTAGCCATTCAATGGGTTTCAATGCCATACATAATTACTTGGGAGTAAGCCCCACTAAACACAAGTAGTACTTCTAAATCAATATCCATAGACATAGTCTCTGGAGGTATGCAGTTATTTCTGATGAATCCATTACTTGATCCCATTCAAGAAAAATGTTCTTAATTAATTGCATTCTACTGCACTAGCAGATAATTATCCATAAGGGCTAAGGAGTGGTTTGACTGTGTAGTTTTCAGTATTAACACCTGTGTCTGATTTCCCAATGTGTCTGATTAAGGGGTTGGCGAATTTCTATTCACCAGAAACCTCTTATTTCTAAGGTCAGGAGGTAGACACACAACAGGGTAAATATCTGGGGTCCACTCATTTTCCTTTAGTGGTATGGGTGCTCCTGAGGATAATTCAAACTGACCACACAAATCCTGAAAGGATCAGGAGCCAAGCCATGCTTTTATCATTTGAAGTTTTTATTTATATAATTAATCAGTCTGTGAGGTTTGTTTGCCTGGGCCTGTCAGTCAACATGACAATGAATGAGTTTTATACATTTTCACACAAATAAAATATTAGTGCACTCTGCTTTTAGATTATTTAGGTGTCACCACATTTTATTCATTTATTGACAACATTTATACGCCATCTAATAACTGTTCTCCAGGCATAAAGCAAAAATTAAAATACTGTACGATAATAACCACAGGACAATTTTTAAAAGTAAACAAACTCCATTGTAAAAATTCAGCATCATAATGTCAGCAGCAGAATAAAGCAACACAGATGGGGGAAACCACTAAAAGTATCCAAAAAATATTAATAATAATAATTTCATTTATGAATAGCTTCGCATGAAGCATCTTGAAGTGATTTATAATATTTATATGAAATATCTAAAATACAGTGGATTCAAATGTTAACATTTCTGAAAGTCCGGGGGGGGGGGGAGGGAATAAAAAGCTTTCAAATTGCACTGAAATGTCTAGAAAGAAGGCAGCATATCAGATTCTTTGGGGAGGGTGTTTGATTACCAACCAGAACCTTTACTGCAAAGGAGACCTGCATGCTTATGTTAGATTATGTTAGATTTGGGGGGTATGCCTCATTTAAGAAAGCGCCTGTCAGCTTCACCCATGGATTTGTAAGAACATACGTTTTAAAAAAACCTGCTTTCTGATTAATCCCAGGTACCAGTAAAATATATTATTAATTAATAATCTAATTAATAACTAACAGTGCAATCTGATGCATGTCTCACCAGAAGTAAGTCTCTCAGGTTTGCATAGGATTGCAGCTCTATTATTTAACCAATCCATAAACTCACTTATATCGTTAAAAAAACAAAACATTCCTCCAAGCAGCAGCCAGCTATTATGTAACTGACTCACATATCACACAGCCATATAAAATCCTACCTAGTTATTGCAAAGGAGAAAGCATCACTATCGTATCAGCAGTAGATCTCCATTTTCAAATAAAATATGAGAGAATCGGGAGTTAAATAAGCTTTTGGATAAGTTAGTTTACAGTTATCATATCCAAACACATAAATCTGACCCCATTGTCTGCAGTAAAGGATAGTGAAAACCCATTTCCTACAAGGACCAACAGCACCCACAGATGATTGTCAGTACGTTTTATTTCAACTCTTCATCTTCTTCAACTCTTCATAATCTAGTTTTGTATTGGGGGATGTGCTGAAAAAGGCACATACTTATCTGCCTAAGGCTCCAATCACAGGATTGCTAAGTTAAATAAGTACCACACATTCCCTATTAATATTCATGTTAGTAGGAGCTACTGCTCTTCTTGCAATCCTTATTGGTTTATACTCCCATATTTCACAAAGGCCAAACATTTTGCTCCTACTTTCTCAAACCCAAATTGCAGGGATCTGCAAGGAACAAAGTGGGGGGGGGATCCATATTTCTATTAAATAAAAAATGCAAACACAATTTTCTCTGCAATACAGTATTGATTTGATAATAATGGCTGAACAGGAGAGGGGACATCTCAAGTACAGCATAGTAAGTTATTCTTAGACAACAACCTATTGAAAGCTTGTACACTTTTTGAAATTTATATTTATT